CTCCGGCATCCGCTTGAATGTTGTTCAAGGCATCCGAGAGATGACTATGGACCTTGGGCTTGCTGGCTCTGGGGGCTAGCTGATCCCTTATACCGCCGCCGATCCTCTGTGTCATGTTGATCGCGTCGAACTGTCTCTCAAAAGCAGTGAAGATAGCCATCAAACTTCTGGCAACATCCATGTGAATACAGTGATGATTGTTCCCAACATACACTCTGAAATCTGTGTATTCGTTAGTCAAGACTCTGTAGTTCGGCTTCTTGCTCAGCGTCTTGAGCGCATCGTTCACTGCTTTTAGTTCGAAAGACCAGTGGTGCTGAGCACGTCTTTCGTGATGATTGTGATAGATCCAATTCCTGGGGCTGGCAAACTTGTCTCTAGGACAGTTCGTTTTGTCGTGAAATTTGGAGGCGCGGCTGATGACTTGGGTTCCAACAACGTAGTATCTTCCTGTCAGGTCCTCGAAATCATCGTCATGGACATGCGCATCGAGATCGATGTCGACTCGCCAATATTTGTTCCGTGTTTTGTCGCTGTCACTCGGATCTCTCGACGAAACGGGAAGCTTGTACTCGTGAGGTGCGCAACAATAGGTACATTCGAAGTCCGTGAATGTTGCGGTTGCAAGAGCTTCACGTACAATGTTTTTGGCCGTTCCCTCGATGTCAGCGTTGACAAGGGCATAGTGAGGATAGATTAACAAGAAGCTCATCTTGCAGCCTAGGGTTAATGTCTCGAGCTTTCTCGGAGGAGGCTTCATTGGCTTTCTGGTTGCGCTAGACTCATCGCAAGCCTGAGCTGAAATCTTTGGTAGGTGAAATCTGGGGATGGGAGACATTGTGAGGTCTGTTCGATTATGGTAAGGTTCAAATGGGAGAAAGAAGCCGGGTTTCACTCCGGGATGACCGCTTATAAGGTGAGAGAGTCTGCCTCGCCCACGATACTACAAAGAATACAAAGAGACCTAACGAGAATCGAAAGACTCATCGTCTTGTGTGCCTCCCACGGCTATACAATCCATTCAAACTTTCCAATTTTCTTCCTTTCAAGCTTCATTGTTCGTTATCTCATGGCTTTGAAAAGCTAGACAAAGCTTTTCGCTCTGCACCACAGGCCTTTGTCACCTTATATCCCATACAAAGACTTATCTGTTTCTAGAGCAGTAAGTGCTTTGTTCCCTTGATCTTCGCATAATGCTTTGCATGACCTGGGAAAAGGACTAAGTTCATCCTGGTACCCGGGTTTCTGCAGTCTTTCCTCTGATAAGAACCGTACAAAACGACTTACAAAAACAGGCCGCAGGAACAGCAGTCTTCCGAATCAGTTTTCGAGCGAAAGGTAACACACTCGCAAAAATGTCAGACATCTCTGAACCTCAGCACCTTGGCATCATCAGTCAATGCTATGATCAGACGTTCGAAAGTTTCTACCAGCACGACAAGCACCTTGCAAGCACAGGTCAAGGTGCAGTTTCTCTTNCAACTGTTAGGGCTAATGGCAAATTAGTCGTCATCAAGCGTCTGAAAATTGCTCCCAATGTGAAGCTTGACAGCGTTCGTGAGCTCATCATGCTTGATCGTGTTCAAAAGCTCGGTCCCCACCCCAACATTCTTCCTTACCTCCAAATTTGGAACACGCCTGCTGCTCCTGGTGAGTGTCCAACTAGCAGAATAATCCTTCCTTATATCTCTGGTGGTGATATAGTTAACCTCAAAAGGCAATTCCAGAAGCTGAACTGCAAGGTTCCTGAAGCTTTCATCTTTCACGCTTTCAAGCAGATGGTCACTGGCTTCAGCTTCCTCCATGAGAACGGGATCTCTCACCGCGACATCAAGCCCCAAAACATCATGGTCGACCCTGTTAACTTTGGCGATCCAGCCCTCTTCCCCAATCTCAAGATTATTGACTTCGGTATCGCTGCAGAGACTACTCAGGACCACGAGACTCTTGACGGAACACCCAAATGGCAGCCTCCTGAAGCTCCCATCGCTGGTGCGAAAGCTGATGTTTTTGCCATTGGTGCTGTCGTTCACTTCCTCGCAACTGGTTGCGGACCAAAGCCTGAACCTTCTCGTGACGTTCCTGTTGAAAAGATCACTGACTATTATCGCACTGCTCCGCTCAATATCCTACGCCTCGTCGATCCTGGTGATTACGACTTCGCTGTTGGCTCTTTGTCTCTCTCCGAAGCTCAAGAGTTGACCTTTGGCTCTGGTAAGCCCCTTCCTCGTGGTGTTGGCTACTCCCCTCTTCTTGAGTACTACACTCTTCGTGCTCTTGATGATGCCTCGACTAGAATCACTCTCCCAAGTTTGGCCGGTACTATGTTTGATGATGCTGACAGACAGATCAACTTCTACAAGGCTTGGTTCGGAGAATGCAAGGCTGAACGTAGTCAGAGAGCTATGCTCACCTTCGCTGTCACTGAGCCCTACACTAATTGGACTCCCGAGCCTGCTAATTAGGTACAATGACGAATAACGCATACATCTAGGCTGGTCCGGATTGTCCGAACATGGTAGGTTTTTCGATTGTAATAATGTCAAGGTAGGCTCTCTGTTCCCCTATATCAATAGTAATGCATAATTTCTGTTCAGCAATTCTCTCTTCCTCGAATCCTTTGCTTTCGTTGTTTGTGAAAAAATCTCCGTTTAGCTGTGATATTTTCTAGCTTCCACAAGGAAGTCTAGTGAAAGGCTGTTGAAAGAATCGTCCGCTTTGTTCTGTACAAGTTAATTTGCTTCTCCTTTGTTTCCGTGCAACGCTTTTTCTGAGCTTGCACGCTTCTCTTCAACCAAAATCTACTATGGCTTGCCTTCTTTGTTGTCGAGTACAGTCAACGAAATCGATTCTCAATATATACTGCGATATTCGCAACCTTGCGTGTCACTACATATCCAGATTGCTCTCGGAATTACTCATACAACACCCGTCCAGAGACACATTTTGTTTGCAAGCGAATCTATTTTTCTCGTTCCTCATATCTCAACACGAAATGACCCAACAAGAAACCGCAATCTCCTTCGTCTCTATCCGAAGCATTTTTCCAAGCTTCCCTAGGAAGTCACCAACACCTATGCAAAGTGCCTGGAGCATGGCCGGAAGACGAGATCACCCTTAAGATACCAGGAGGATGGGTAGAAACCGACAACGACGACCGGTGCCAGCATATTCTCTGTTGGATAGAAACTGCATTCGGTTTTGAACATTTCTGCAGTCGGCACAAGAACGATGAAGAGGTTGTCGAGATTTATCTCGATGGGCTGGAACTTTGATAGACAATGTATACCTCTGCACTTCTCTCCCCTTCAATTGATATTGTTCAATTGATCTTGAATCCAATACTGTGCTGCAAAGGGTGTTCCACGATATGAGGCAGGGTGCCTGTAACAACTGCAAGGTCAATCTTATAAGCCACGATACCTCGACGAATATCATTTTGTCAGGACTTGAGAAGTCGCAAATCGTACCCAATGCACTTGTAATGAACTTTGGTATCCGCCAAATCCCAGCATTGCATAATCAATATGATGATCTTGTGCTCAGTCAGGACGCGATGCACGGCAGCAGCTTCGTCGTAGCTGGCGAACGGTCCACATCACATACGTAATTTCAGCACTCGAGCTTTCGTATTCATTGCGTCCATGTCTGAATGTTGCATTGATCAAGTGGTCCTTCTCTGCGAAATTGGACGTATCGAGTGCAACGAGGTTGAAAGTGCACGAAACCGACTCGATTGGTCGATGGCAACGGGTCTCCAGCAGGGATCAAGACGAAAGAGGAAACACTTCCATGCCTCCATCAGACGTTCAACATCGTTCTCACGCCCAAGAGTTTCTCCCCACTCACGCCATCTGATGAGAGAGTCGTGGAACTGGCGGTGGATGATTATGAGGCGTACTCGATTCCGAGGATGGATAGCTCTGACGACCCTGATATAGTCTTCTTGCACGACTTGGGCGGCACAGACCTCACTCCCACATCATCTACGACATATGCAACCCGGGTGTCCGGAAACAATTCTGAATTTCCAATTCAGCCTCTGGGTCACGTCCTGGACAGTAGCACGCAAGAAGACCATTACGACGATCATTTCAAGACTTTGATTGCAAAGATCCTGATACCTCATGATGCGAACCCTCAAAGGGGGGGACAACGATGGTCCCGGAGTGCCATCGTCTCGCACTCTAAGACCTGGATCCCGGTACGTGTCATGAACTAGATAGTTTGATAAGATCGTGACTGATTGATCCTAAGCNTACACCATGCAATCTGCGCTATCAGCTCATTGACTCTAGCACTCGACGGTCAGTCGAATCTTCTAGCGCAATCATTCAGGCACTATAGTGATGCCATTAAAGCATGTATCGCTGAAGGAGAAGGCTCTTCTGCAACGCTTCCTCTAACAGCTTCGCTGTACCTGCATTTCATTCTTCTCCTCTTCGATACATGTTGTGCTTCTCGGNGGTTTTTGCCAGAAAAACAAGTATGGACTGCGCATGTTAATCAGCTCGCACGTCTAGCGTACCAACTAGACCTCATAGATGACTCTCAGGCGTCTCTTCTGTGGTACACCTTTCAACTGGATCTGAATTCGTCTCTGGCAGGTGACTCTGAAGCTGGTGCCTTTGTGCGAGCATACAAAACGAATGAAAACCTATTACCTTTCAGGTACAGGCCACGATCTTTCTCCGCAAAGTTGAAGAACAAATCGTACGATGCGACCGCCTACAATCACTGTTTGGGTATCAAGAATTTCATATGCACCAAGCTCGCCGACCTCAGTCAGCTGGCTACTGAGACCCGTGCAAGAGTCGAGCTTGATCCTGCGAGCAGTGCTGATGTCCAGAAGCATATCGTCCGGTTCGCAGACCAGCTCCAGCGATGCTGGCAGCAAAAGTTATGGAGATTTTTGTCTGTCAGCTTATCGCGAGTTGAACCTTCATTGGCCCTCAGAATCAAGACTATATATGACAGAAGCTGCATCCAGTATTCTACCGCCATGTTGTATCTCTACACTAGCATGTATGCGAATCAGTACTGTCATATCCCTGTTGCACAGCACTCTGATATTGCACGGCACTCGAAACATATTCTGTATCTAGCATCGGAAATGGTTGGGACCAGCAGCTCTGGGCAGTGTCACCTTGTCCTGCCAACTTTCCTAGCTGGGATAGTGAGCTGCAGCAGTCAAGACAGGGCCGTATGCCGGGCTCTTTGTCATGCACTAAAAGACGGATGTTTCAATCTGAATACCGGCAAAGTTGAAGCACTGCTAGACAAAGTATACTCGAGACATACATGTCGGTCGGGCAAGAAGGGAACGTGTTCAAGGGGAATGGACTGGATATCGCTTGCCAGAGAATGTGGTATAATGGATGTCAGTCTCGGCGTTTGAGACGCATCTGCTCATAATGACGCGAACCAATGCGGCCTAGTCATCTTTGAGTCTTCTTCGCGCTAATTGCATAGCTGCGAGACATTCTCAGATTTCAACACCATGTCAAGTCTGATGTCACTGACTCGAAGTCCCTGATTGTCGTTCTATCACCGTATCTCCCTCTCATGTTGAGAACTTTGGTAGATCTGTTCCGCCATCTCGGCGCCATGATCTGGACGAGACCTAATCAAATACAGGGTAGTGGACCCATCGATGCGCTCCTCGTATGCCTAGAATTGGCGCTCGAAACTGAAGCTAATCAAAGCGAGACATACAAGATGTCGTATGAAGACGACTTCTGCAAGGATGACTTCTTGTCGGAATCGGTCCAGATCAGGCGCAACGTTTGCGACAAGCCGCAAGCACAAAGATCGTTGATTGGTCGGATATCGAGCAAACACCGTTTTTTAAACTTTTGTCTCTGAGTTTAAATATCTCCACAAGACGAAGTCTTCTGGTCGCAGGGGTACAATAGCGGATCTTCAACCATGTGGCTTTGAACGCGGCCCGCCCGTTGTTACATCAGGGTACATTGATGACTGACTGAATGTACCTGCGCCTCAATCGTCACAAGAAGAACCGTTACATAGGGGTTCGGCGTAAGCGCCTCGTACTTAAGGGCCAATCAAAGGAGTTTTGGTCGAGCTGTCTCGAATTGTCTTAGGTGGTGTAATCGAACGATATCCTTTCTGGACGATGCCAAGCGATCAAAAAGGCTCAGCAAACGATTACGACCTTCCATCCTCCGGTCCATATATTCCGATCAAGACAAAGGAGATGTCCTCGTCATATCTATCCTGCCCGTCGTCTTTGCAGCACTTTCCAATTCTCTGGTTATCGCATTCTCATCACTTTCGACTCTCGATTTTTGGGCAAAGGACCGACATATGACTACATGATCAAGAACATGCTACTTGCACTAGCGTTCATTGTCACTGTGGTCATTCAGCACGCAGCTGCAATGCCTTGCCTCTCTCAAGGGCCCAGCAGGTCGAAGACCAGCATCTCAACGCCATGATCTACCGTGGCACGAATGGGTGTGAGGGATGTTCAGAGTCAATTCAAGCCTTACTCCAATCCGCCTACCCTGACATCAACGTTACTTTCGCTGGAGCAGATAAGGTTGTCAAGATCAACGCTGATACTCTTCGCGATATGGACATGTTTCTCCAGCCGGGTGGTCCAGGTCAGTATCATCCTGTCTTCTTGTCGCGTTTGATTCTGAGACAATTCANNGATCTTGATGAGTCATGGGCAGAGGCAAAATCGTATGCTTTTGATGTACGCGACTTCGTTGCTGGCGGTGGCTGGTACATTGGATTCTGCCTAGGAGCTTACCTTGCTGGGCCANAAAACGGCTTCGATCTACTTTCGAGAGGAGACAGAGTTGTGCGAGAGATTGAAAGGCCACGCACTCAAGTACGCAGTACAAAAGACACTGTAATTCAAGTGGACTGGTCTTTCATAGCTGGAAAGTATCAGAGCACAACAGAACGCAAACGGTGGCTCTATTTCCAGGACGGCGCAGCATTTATTTTACCCGATAACTCCCCGACTACAGTGCTTGGTCGCTACTCTCACAATGGCGATGTTGCCTCGACTCTCAATGCGTTTGGCAGTGGGTGGGTCGCAAATATTGGCCCTCACCCAGAGGCTGATCAGAGCTGGTGTACGTTCGACATCTATCAAGTGTGCCATGATCTTCCGCTGACCGAGCTTACAGACGACCTTGCCAATGTCAAAAATCCCGACGGTGTCAGAAACGACATCGGTATCGACTTTGTTAGAGCTGCCCTGAGTGTCGCTTCAGAGAACACTTCCGAGCCACGAATGTCGAAGCTGACAGCTTTGAGAGATTTGATTACTGCAGGCAACTTATAGATCAGACTAGGTGGGCATGCTGGCTATATCAAAACTATCGGGTATATGAGTACATCGAACTTATCATATCTTCAATAGATACACTATGTATACATCAACGCAGAACAGAAGCAATGGAAACGAGAAAGGCTTTGATATGGTAATGGGCTTGGCATGGAACAGAAAGCAGAAAGAATAAAGACGTGGAAGATGCGTTCGAACGTTGTAGTTTGAGTCTTCCGTGTAAAGCTTGTTGTTATGACCGATGTGAAAAGAAGGACGGTTGATATGACTCAGGCATGCCGCATGTATTGATACCAGAAATGAAAGATCCAAATGTATGTAGTCGTGTCACAAACTCGACGCGCAATCAGCCCTCTATGACTTATTGGAAGCTGAGTAGTCAATCTGAGAATTGCGACTTTCGTAAGCCATACCAACAACTTCGATGCGCATATGATTGTTCTACTGCAGATCCCCGAAAGTTCAAATCGCGAACGAGACAGCTTCCAGGAGAATCTTGAAAGTTCTATCAGTGATCATTGTTATCAACTATGCATCTTGTAAAGTTGGCTGATATGAGGTAGTACGTTTTCAGGGGTACTTGAACCTATCTCAATGGTCTTCCCCGATTATCTCCACTGCTTCCATGCTTTTGAGCGCTTCGGATGCTTCCCTGCGAACGACTTCGTGGACCCTCGGATCGTCTACTCTCTCCATGACCTCAGTGAAAGCCGCTTTCCATACTTCCCAATTCTCTAAATCCCATAACCAGCCTTCCAATCGCGCAAATTCTGCTTCATCGTCTTCACCTGCACGACTTTGAACTGTGCAAGCTGTCTGTTTCTCCGCACGGCAATCTGGAGATGCCTGCAGTAGAGACTGTTTCTCGCAAACATAACAAGCTCGCCATACCCACGATGCATGAACTTTGGGCACAAACCATTGAGCTGCTGCAAGAGTCTGGCCTGCCAGGTGTCCAGACCATCCGACCGTGTTTTCGTCAAGTGTGCGATACTTCGGTAGCAACCTTTGCAAAGGGCTCTGCCAGCCCATGCGATCGATTCCTTGGATGGTTATTCTGGCAGAGAAAGACGATAGATTCCGGTATCTCTGTTGTTCCTGACTGCCGCATTTTTCTGCTCCTGTCCATGGATTGCCAATCTCTTCTAGCCAGCTCCAGCTGGATGCGAAGGATAATGGCTGCAAGCTTTCCCAAAGAGGCACAGATCGACTGAGGTTCGTTATATCGTCCACTGAAGACTGTGTCGTGTCCGTAGGGTCGATGGATACATTTGATATCTGCCGCTTTTCGACTTTGAGAAAATTCATGATCATTGCGAAAAGTCTGTCATGCACGACGCTGTTTGGAGGAAATGCCGAGACACAGCTGCCTACCAAGACAGCGACCAGCACGGTATGGGTCCGACACGGCCTGTCTTCGTGGTGCAAGTCGATCTGGGCTTTGGTTCTCCATGCCTCGCTTGCCAATTCATCTGTGGTCTTTTGAGCAGAGGCGAAAGGACTCAGATGGCCCTCCGCACAAGCTACAATAAGATCCGCAAAGAGATCGATCTCTTCTGGCTCGGCAGCCCAATATGCGTCTTGTTGAAAAGTGTAGGGTAGTTTGTCGTCCACGGTGGGTTGTCCTTTTCGAGCTTCGGTTCGTGCAACAGGTAAAGGGTCAAAGTCAGCCTGGGAGCATGGCTCGCGTTTTATCTCGACGGTTACGAGCGTTTGCCCCTCAAGTTGATGCGGAGTTGGCTCATTCGAGTAGCTCGCGGTGACTCAGCTCGGAGCGCAATTGATACAAAGCGCTGATGTGTCAAAACGCGACCACGCTGCTGTGCCGCTGCGTCAGTTGCGCAGCCCAAAGATCCATAACGAGGTAAAAGAAGCTTCTGCCACTGATTCAAGGTTCGTGACAAAAACGCTACAAGCTTGGTGAACGTCGTCAACAAAACTGGAAAACTAAAGATACACAACGCTGCCGTCTATGTACCGGTGTGCCTGATTGGTCAATTTTCGACCACCGTTGAGGTTTGACGTACAACAGCCGATGACTCAAACGTCCGGATATGTCGCTGCCTGCGAAGCTGATCATCGCTATACCAGAACCAGCCATGCCGCCTCAAACAATACATCATTCCTCGACAAGATGGTTGCAGGACATCAAAGATGCCAAGCACAAGCAGAGACTCTGTCTGTATTTTTCTCTCGTCTTGCCAAACAGCATAATCACGAAGCGATAAATCAATGACCAAGGGAGACTTACCATTCATTTCTGCCTTTAAACTCCAATCACACGGAAAATGCGGACCCTACGCAATTCAGCGACCAAAACCGACACAGTCCCTTCTTCTCCCCCTTGTCCACAAATATTGCCTAAGGATTATCAAACAAATAGAGTCCGAGATTTCCTCTCTNCTCTCTATGCAGCCGCACAAGCCAGCGGCGTAGACGAACCACCTCCAACTCTTTCTCCCAAGACCTATTCTAGAATCTACAACAGAGTACACGAGTACGATATTGCAACAAGAGCACAAGACTCCGGTATCCCTGACAAACACATCCATCACTGGCTGGACTCGCAGATCAGAGACTACTGCATCAGTATTCGAAACCTCGTATTCGGTGGCCACGGCAACAAGATGGAAGATTCGAACGCCTCTTGCTTCCACAATCTACTATCAACGTACATGTCTTGCTATCGCAAATTCTGTCGACTGGCCACGTTAGTGGGGAACTTGTTGCGCAGCTGGCAGAGGCATGGATTACGTAGACAAAGAGATGAGAAAATCTATGTGGCTTCTGTGGAAGAAATGCACGAGGTCATATGGAAAGACATACTCGGGGTCGATACGCAGGGCCCATCGTCGAACGATGGGCTAAGGAATCTAAAGCATGCCACTGCGGTGTTAGCTGAGACAGATGCAGACATGGGAGAGTGTGCTCCGGCCCTTGTTGAGGATGTTATAATGTCCTTGTCTGTTCTTGGCATTGCAGTCGAGAGTTGAGGTCCTTGTATCATGGTTCCTAGGATAATGGCCAGACGACATGGAAGTCACATCGCTGGCTTCTAAGACATTACGATGAGAGCAGTCTTGCAGATATAGCACTAGAACAAGTGTGGTCCGATCAGAATGTTCTGAATTGTACAATGTTCAAATCCATATACGTACACATACACCAACATCATCAACTACAGTATCCACATCATCCCAAACTCTTCCTTCTCCCTCTCCCTCTTTCGCTTCCGCTTGCACTATCACTCAAATCCACATCCACCATATCCACATCCTCTTCTGCTGCATCCTCTTCCTTCCTTCTATTCACAGGAGGCGCGGAATAACTCCTCCAACCCCCTACAATCCCCGCAAGCACACCAATACCACCTTCAACAGCCCTTCTCAAACTCTCTCTTGACGAGCTTCTCGTGACTCTAGGTCTCTGCTGCCTTGACCCTGCCAGAGGAGAAACAGGGATCTCAGACCTCGAGTGACGGCGCTGAGCTCTAGACACCAAACCTGCAAGATCAGCCAATGCAGGAGTGGGAACGTGAACATGAGGACTTTCTTCAACGTCAACACCATCGATAGTTTCAGCGACGACCTGTTGTTGCTCCGCCGTCAGAATATCCTTGAAATGTGTTTTTGGTGGCTGTGCAGAAGTGGTNGGTGATAGCAGGGGTGCATCTTCCATATCCACATCTACCAGGTCTGTAGAGTTGGTGTTGGGGTTGGGGATACTGGGCACACGATCCAGAGTAGGGAATGTAGATTGCAGAGGTGTGTCGACGCCGAATTGTTTGCCCCAGCGGCATTCGGAAGGGTAGTCGCAGCGGTTCCAGCAGTCTTTTACTGGGCGGACGGGTTTGGCTACGCGCCAGGAGGAAGTGTGGCCAGAGACGCCAGCAGTGATGGGAGAAACCACAGTTGCAGTGGTGGTTTCTTCCAATTCATCCTCGGAGTCATCGTCTTCGAAGACACTGTCGCAGGGACTGTTGCGCTGTCTTTGTTGCTCGGTCAAAGTGAGGAGATTGCGTTTCCACACTCCCCAGTCCTTCCAGCCAGCATAATCGAATTCAGACGAACAAGCTTTGTGACGACGAAGCCTTTTGGTACCGTCTTTTCGAGAGCGGACGACAGAGGTGCCCGCGCAGAAGTAATGGCCATCATCAAGACAGCGGCGAGTGACAGATAGATTGTACTGACGGTGGCAGATATGACAAGCCCAGAGCCATTTCATGGGCTGTCTGGTAGGAGGAGGTAGATACTGAATCAAGTCTATATCGGCAGTGGCAGAGTATGTTCGTTTGAGAGGTGCGGGAGTGACAGGCTCTGCCGGAGAGGAAGGTGAAGGAGGAACTGCGAGACGAGAAGATCGGAATGGCACAGCCGATACGTTGATCTTTGCAGGCATCTTTCCAGAAGGTTGTGAAGAAGGCCGGCTTCAGAGGTATGTTTGCTTCGTTTGAGATAAATAGTTTCGATGTCAAGGATCCAGTCCGTGACAAGAAGAGATGAGATAGGAGAAGCACAAGTAGTGAAGCGTCAACGATTCGAGTTGTACCAGGAGAAAGCGATGATTTCCTCCGTTGCAGCTAAGCCAGATAACTTAAACACCTGCTCCGCAGCCATTGATCAGGTCAACAATGAATGTCGCAGATTTGACACCAAGCGAGACAAGATTTGACAATTGCTCAGTATATCCTCGGGTGGCTAGCGAGACATGTTGTCGCAAGATTGCCTCGGCAGTCTCTTTGTCGCCATGTCTTGGTATCTGAAATGTCTTTGTTGGCGAACATGGTTCACTTGCTCGGAGCACGTGGAGTCTTTGTTCCAAATTTGTAATGTCGGACTGATTTGCGAAGATGCTCGCTTATGTCTTTGTTTGCTACTTGATCAGTCTTTGTCGAAACTCGTGGCAGTTCCGACCCACGTAGAGATGATTGTTATGCAAACTCACATGATGTATTGGCGCTAGGCGGCCATGCGACGAAGACAAAGGTTTCTTGACGCAGACATGTTCCACCTTGAGATCTAATCGACAATCCCGAGGTTTGAGAGGACGACAAGTGCTCAGTTGAGGTTTGAACAGGCAGTGGATCACGTCATTGTCAATAGTCACGGAGAAGGAGAGAGGGAAGGAAAGATCATTGGAGAAAAAAATGTATTATTGTTGACACACACACACGTGAAAATGATGAAGAACGCCTGGAAACAGTGCAGCAAAAGACCTACCAAATCAGAGTTCGCAGGGCCTGCCTGTCGTGGGAGCGGTTCTTGCATGGGAAGGGAGGGGAACTTACCTAAGACCTACGACGAAGGTTGTACTTTGAAGGAGTGGGAGTGGGGCTTTTAGCAAGCACATAGATCATCTCAGCATCAACTGGACTTTCAGGAGCGAGCTGCTTTTTCTTGTTGGGTTTGGGAGTAGGCTCATCATCGCTTTCAGGAGAGGCAGAGCGCGTAGAGCGGGAAGTCTTCTTAGGTCTTTGGTGAGGATTATACTTGTAAGAGGGGAAGGCTTCAAGGTGATTAGCTTTGTCGGTTTCAGCGCATTGAATGTAGAATTTGCGAACGTCTTCAGGCTCAAGCTTCCAGCTGGCGCCAGCTATCCTAGAGACGTTTTGATGGTTGTCTTCAGAGGCCCACTGTTTGATACGATCAGCATAGGCAACGCGATAGCAGACAAATGAGTTGAGAGATCTAGGAATCTTGCCGGCCTTTTGGCTTCACCAAGTCTAACAGCGACAGAGCGAGAGGCGAAAGCAAGCATGTTTTTGAGAGGCAGATTACTATCAGCAGTAAGAACGCTCATGGGCGCAGCAAGCTCAATAGCAGGTGCTTGAACCTTTTTGGGCCTAGAGACCTTTTGACGTTTGACGGGAGTGGATGATGGGCTGCGAGAGTCCTGATAAGTAGTCTTCTTGCCAGCAGTTCTGCGCGATCTTCTTGTAGGGGTCGAGACAGAAATATCAGACATTGGTTCAGGCTCATCAAAGCTTGGGAAAGCAGGTGCATCAGGAGCAGGAGTGAATGAGAAGCCAGGATTCTCTATGGGCATGGGCATGAGCATGGGCATAGGCATAGGCATGGGCATCATGGGTTGCTGAGCGTAAAAGTCAGGGGCAGGAACCAACATGAAACCAGGAGGAGGCTGATAACCAAAAGCAGATGTAGGGAAGGAGTACTGAGGGGCATACATAGGCATGAACTGTTGAGGGGCGAACTGACCCATGTTGGATGAGTCAAAGCTGTTGAAGCTAGAGCCAGAGTTGTTGAAGAGACCAGTCTCAGGATTGAAGGCTGAATCAAAGTAGGAAGAGACAGAAGAATCAATCGAGGGAGTGGACAAGTCGTCGGGAAAGTCGGAGAAGTCAAAGTCAAGGTCCATGCTAGAGATATCAAGGTCAGGAAGACTAACAGTGCTCGAGCTCTGCTCGGCAGTCGAAGTCATCAAGTCCTCAATAGAGAAGTTTTCAAGCAATTCAGACATCTTGTTGTGGTTATTTCGGGATTTTGTGTGGGGTCGAAGAAACAAGATTGTCGAACTGCTCTGTTGTGTTTTTGATGTTTGGAGTGTGCATGTGTGGTTTGTGTATTGACGAGTCCGTAAAGGTTAGTTGTACACTTGCGAATCTATGCTTCAATTCATCTTAATGTCCAACGACAAAGACCAGAGAACAATGGCCGACTTGGTGGTGAAAGAAAGTTACTGATGATAACCAGTCCTAACAAAGCCGAGGAACATTGCATTGTGCCCATCGCTTTGACGTGTGGTTTTCCAAAGGCGATCACAATGAACAATCTAACAAAGAAGCCACTCCTGTGCACGAACAATGCACTAATTTGCGCAGCGATGCGATAGCGCCAGACGTTTCAAGCGGTTCGCGAAAGCACGTCCCGGGGTTCACAAGGTGTACAAGATATGCACGTTGCACGAGATCGTATGAATGGTCGTTGGAAGGGTCTGTGACATTTCCGTTCGTCTATGGAATAGGGCCAGAATCGAAGCCAGCTGTCGGAGCGGAGTTCTCTTCGTTCCAGGATCGAGCTCTCAGAAGCATCCTCGGGCGATGAATGAGCGGCTCTAGTTTCCGATGAGGTAAATACTCAATTCCTTGGCTGTACCTTTCGGGAATGCTGCAAGCCGCATGTAAAGATTTGGCGCTTTGAAGCAAGATTCAAAGCTAGCTGCTGTAGATGCACATGGCAGAGGTCATGTCTGAGCCCAAGCTTGAAGGCGTTGCTGGGTGAGCGGCATTCACTGACCAGGTCTCTGGGCGGCGAGGCCGGGCTTGTATGGATTTGTCGTGGGATTTGTGAGTGGCAGATCAAGCTGCTTGAAAAGTGTCGTTGAGGTAGTCGACAAACAAGTCCTTGATGCGGTCCTTTGTCAAGTTGTGTGTGCGGTTCATAGTAATGAACTGTCTGCGCAGACGCTGCAGTTGCGGCAGACCGAGAGGGTTGGCAGGCAGCTCAATGTCGTGCTCAGCTCCAGCAACAGAAATCTCGCCGCCGCTCTCTCCTGGATGATCTTTNTGCCAGGCCGAGATCTGAGTGACAATGTCGGATGTCGTCTTGTCCAGCTCATACAGGTAGTTTTGCTCGGTGGCAGGAGCCAGGACTGTGGCCGAGTTTGGCTTGACAGCCTTTACTTTTCCGCCGACCAGCGTATCCCAAAGCTCTTCCAGCGGCGGTGTCTCGTCGTCGTAGGGTACCGTGTAGAGCGGCGAGTCCCAGCGTGTCATGCCGTTGGGCTCTTCGTAGCGGAAGACGAGATTCTCGAACAGGTCGGTCTGGTAGCCACCAGTACCTTCGGTAAGGGCTTTTTCGTTAAGTTCGCGACATTTCTCGACGGGCGTTCCAATGTGCACCTGCACTCTGTCAGCAAGCGATTCAGGGTAAGGGGGTGGTGGTTGACTCACGACACAACTCGGGGTGCGCTGGGCCTTTGCTTCACAGAACATCTGGTAGCGGAAGCCCTTGATGTAGTTCATCGAGTCGGCAATGACAATCGAGTTTGCTGTCAAGTCGCGCTTGATGGCCGAAGACAGAGTGGCCCGCGCATCCTTCTCGCTCCTTGCAGCAGCATATACATCGCGATCAAGTCCCAAGTTCTGATCGTTTAAGTGGTGGATCTTGAGTTTGGAGATGCGCGCATCCTCAGAAGCAGCTATCTTCTGCGCAAAGTACTCCTTGAGCTGTTCGCTGCGGTATGTCTTGCCGCTTGACGGAAACCCTGATATGAGTATGAGCTGAATGGTCGTCAGCGCTCGTCTTTATCTACACCATGATTGACTTACTGGCATGGCGGCGCTTGTGTTTGTTCAGTTCGACCGTCCAAGAAATTCACCATGACGCGCCTGCATTCCGCTGCGACGTCACGTGAAAATCTGATGTTGAGGTTCGCACCCTGCTCTGAAAAACATCATCTTCTTTTCTTTGCACAATCGATTACGAGGTAAGAAAGTAGCATGCCTCAGAGAGCAATGGACAAGTTTGTCAGGTACATGAAGAAACTATCGGGAAGCGCGGTCAATCGAACGTGACAAGTTTTTGTGCCTTCAATATGTCACACGAGGAAATCTCCCCTTCAGTGTCTTCCCGTCCATCCTTCTATGAACGTGGCTCGCGAGACAAAAAGTTCGGCAGGTCATCGATGCTGATTCCTTCTGAATTAGTCCTCAAACTGATAATCAAGCCCATCCAGGAATCAGGACTGTGTTCGTTCCATCGCTGCCGTGTTCATGACTCGGCTCTCGAGGCAACTAATTTCGACGCGGGCGCGCCTTCAGGCAGCCAACCTGATCATGAATTACGATCATAGCATGGCTATAAGAACAAGAGAGCCTGCATCTTTCTTCATCATCTCAATATATTCCGACAATCTCGCACTCTCTATTCAGCAGACTGCAGTAGCGCATCTCTTCTCTAATCATGCCAACACTCGATGAAATCACTTACTCCCGCGAGGCCACCGTTGCTGCCGTCCGCGATTATTACCAGTTCCTCGCAGACATGTTTCTACCAGAAGGCTTCATCGAAGAACCGCCGGCTGAAGGATGGCCATCCATCACAANNAAAAAAAGAGTTACCCGCTTGGGCAAGAACGACGAAGTCTTTGAACTGATGCGACATCTTCCTTATCTCCCAGACGAAAGTCAACTTGTGGCCCGCGCCACAGCTGCCAATTGGTCTAGCATACTTGCAGATCATGTCCCAATCAGATCTGCCCCTATCCCATTCAAGCGGTGGGGTGTCAGAATTACCACAGAAGGGCTAGACTGGGAGGACGTACCCTCGTCAGCATTCGGCCTTGCTCACGGCGGTCGCAACAACGAAGTTTTCATCTTCGATACACAATATGGCACTGTGACCTGGATAGAAGCCCCCGATTTCGATGACAATCCTCTACGGAAGACAATTTCTCGTGCATCAGGTGGCTCCGAGTATTTCGAGGACTGCACGCCCGAGAACGAACACGGTTGGCGCCGTCACAAAGCATGGAGCATCGTCGACTTCTTCGAAGTTTTGAAGAATGAATTCAGAACATTGGAATCTGTGCCTGTGTATCCGCATCAGATCGAACCGTGGTCCGATGCATTTGAGAACAAGGAAAACCTTGACGAGTTTGATGCTTTGACTCGCTCGGTCAGACATGCCTACCAAGAGCACGGTTGGCCAGATATATCTGTGTATAACAAGGATGAATGTCAAAAAGCAGTAGACAAATTAATTGATGAATCAAACGATCGATGGGAGGCAACAAGGATGAATGGTAGACCAATTAATTGATGAATCGAGAGATTGATGAATCAAGAGATTAATGGTATGGCACATTTCGCCCAGCAATGTATCTTTACCTCGCAAGGATATTTACCAAATTCCTCACAGAACCAGAATCATACATCCGGGCTCATAACCTGTTTAGCGCAATTGATAGCGCATCGTGGGATGGATCGTAGTTCGAACCCCACACGAAGCCTTACAATGGTGGCAGAGGCAGAAAACCTGCAATCGACTCGCACTTTTAAACCGAAGATCATACCGGTGAGCCCTAGATGAGGCAAGTGCCAGAAACAGAGCGATTAGTACCTGACCAACCTTGCTTCGGAAAATTGATGTCTTTTTTTTTCTTTCCACGGACTGAAGATGTGTTGTTTTGTCGACAGCAGGTGCGGTGTTCGAGCGTCAAGTCGAATCGCATTTTTGAACTATTATTGATCATTGAGGACATGTACTATCCTACTGGTAATATGGTAGACATAGACATGGGCATCTAACTTCTCCCGACATCCTCCATTCTGTTTCGATCGCATACAGTCACATACATTCTGACAACAAAGAAAGCCGGAAGCTTGCCTAGACCAACCGCATTTGTACCCTCCAATGGTTTGGGTAGCTCGAACGAATCATGTTGCTGCGTAGACAATCGTACATTCCTTGTTCTCTGTCAAATCACACCCGGTATGAACTGAGGAATGTCGCAAGTCACGTCTTGCTTTCGGCACCTCTTCATTGTCTTTTCGGGCCGGAAACGGTACACACCACCGACACTCTTTGTTGTGCAAATCTAGATGGGTGTCTGGACTCAAGCTCGAGATGTTGCTCCAACTCTTTGAGCCAGATCTGCAGGGTATCCTCCAGTCCCACAAATTCAGTAGACTCCTGTACTCGACTGTTTCGGTGCTTTGAAGTCAGAGATCAGCAAAACATGTCTGCTAACTTGCTTACCCTGCTTGGAAACATCACACTCGATGCTGGCGGGTGTCCGCATCCCTTCATCAGCGAGAGCTTGTATCCCTACACCGAAGGCTGTAAGTTGCACTCTCCCCTGCTCCAAGACTAAGTGATACTGACTTTGACCTCCCAGACCTCGGCGNGCCGCAACTGCGCAAAGAACCCCCTCGATACCACCGGCCATGGATCTAAATGCTGTGTGCCCTGTCCCCTCTCTGACTGGGTAAACTCGTCTAGCTTCCCTGGTCTCACAGATGGCGCGGCATGGGTCAACGTTGTCGGCTTCATCCTCTGCGGCTTCCTCCTTCTGTCCTATTTGGTTTTACCAGCAGCAGCAACACGCCGCTCATTCTTGAATATTGCTCTACTGGCTGGCATCATGATTATGGAGTTGGGATTTATCGTGCCACTCGCTCAAAAACCAGAACAATGTTTCGATCCGGTGACGCCGAACGATATCCACAGCAGTACTTCTTGTGCGGCTACAGGCGGCATAGTGGTGTTCGGGGGTATGTTGACGGTATGTTGGATCGTGGTGCGCTCGGTATTCATGCACCTCCAGATTTGTTGGGACATAGTACCAGGCCGTGTCGCCATGATCGCAGCAAACATAGCAGCTTGGTCGGTTACTATCGCGTTGACTGCAGCAGTGCTGGCGAAAGTGGGAGTCTCGTACCGCTTTGGGGGTTACTGCCATGTCAATGTGGGCTCGACGTCGACGTACTGGGGCTGGATGATTGGGTTTGGCGCATTGGCTTTGCTGCTCCAAATTGCTACGTTTGTGTATTGCGCAAAGGTGTATTTGACAGCAGCTATGCATGGACGAGCACCCCCTTCCAGCAGCAACGCGGCCACCTCTGTCAAATCCGCGAGCAGCAAACGGCAAGCCTGGACTGCTGTGCGTCGACTCAAGCAAGTGTTACTGCTTCAATGGCGCTCGTTGGCTATAGTCGCCCTAGCCATTTTCGTCATTGCGTTTGTGTGTATCGTGTTTATTTTCAAAGTGGATGCGTACACGACCAGCACTTTTGACGACACGAGCAAAGTCATTCCTTGGGTGCTTTGTATTCTACAACAACGCGATACGGACAAATGTCTTCCCGACATCCAGAAACTGATCCTGCCTCAGTCCATGGCTGTGGCTGTTTTGTACGTTATTGCTTTTGTGGGAGTGGAGGCATTTATCTTGTTGTTCAAGTTCGAGATCTTCAGGGCGTGGTGGAGGTTCCTCAAGTCGCCGTTTGATGGAAGGAGGAATAGCAGTACTTCGTCGCAGAACCCGAGTTGGTTGGAGAGACCGCCGAGATTTGCAATCGATAGGGGGAGTATGGTTGCAGTGGATACGCCGGAGGGAGCAGAGACTGGGAACACGGTCAGAAGGAGAAGTTCGGCTGCCAGCGAAAGCAGCAGCGAGCACGAGTACGAGCACTCTGAACTGAGACACCAAGAGATGGAGAAACAAAACCATCATATTTAGAATTTCATAGGAAGGAATAGAAGAGGGTATATCTGCAAACAGTTTAATCAATCAAGATCAGGGAACTTTCTCAAGAAGTGACTCGGGCACTCGTAACCGCCAGGGTTGACATCCAAGTACTTTTGGTGGTAGGCCTCTGCGTCCCACCACTCGCCTGCGGGCAGAATCTCGGTGGCAATCTTGCCTTGCTTCCACCACTGCTCTTGGACCTTCTTGGTGACTTCTCTGGCAATCTTGTCTTGCTGGTCGTTGTGGGTGAAGATGCCGCTGCGGTATTGTGTGCCTACATCGGGGCCTTGACGGTCTTCGGTGGTGGGGTCGTGCATGCGGTAGAAGAATTCGAGCAGTTTTTGGTATGACACTTTCTCGGGGTTGTAGTAGATTTGAAGAGCTTCGGCGNNTCTGTGAGGATGTCAGCATGCGCTACAGTAGAGCATTTGTGTATGTCACTCACGACCAGTCCTTCCAGTGCAGACAGCGCGGTAGCTGGGGTTCTGGGTGTCGCCGCCAATGTAGCCGACTCTGGCATCCAGCACGGCGTCCTTGGGGAAGTGGTGGCGGTACATGTGCTCAACACCCCAGAAACAGCCTGCTGCTACTGTCGCCTTCTCGGTGCCTTCGGGGACAGAGACGGCGCCGGGTCCCTCAGGTCCGAAGCGCATGGTCGAGGATGTGAAGGGGCGCGACAGGCGTGCGAAGAGCGAGTTCATGATTGGCGGTGTTGCGATCGCGACGGCGATGAGGAGGATAAGCGTGAGTGGTTTCGTGGTTGCGATGTCTTTGGCTGAGAAGTCGAGTGTGATGCGACAGATGAATTGACGGCAAGAAGTGGTATTTAATCAGAAGGAGCGACTTGGTCTGCACCTTCCAGAATTGTTTGACACCCACCCCGCCGGCTCTTGCTCTTGCTTAGCTAACCATCAATCAAGCGTCATGGACTTGGACCCTTAATCGCCACCTGCTCACTTGCTCCGTCCTTCGCCTCGGCTTCGAGAAGTCCTTGGCACGACTTGACAGCATAACTGACTCAAGCTTGTGCAGGCATGTCATCTTCATAAGTTCGTTATGCACCCTCACTTCCTCCCAAACAGCAAGTCATCTTCTGTATTTCTACGTGAACCAGTTCTTCATTCATGAAAGAAGAGATCAATTCCCTCGATCAAGCAAGAAATGAGAGACCTCCGTCACTGGGCCTACTGACTCTGAATACAGTGAATCCTAATCTTGACTTATTCTGACGACCTTGTCTCACACATTTAATACTTTACTGATAGCCTTGAAGGCCTACTAACTACATCAACCTCACGCGAGGTATGGTCCGTGTCGTAATCATTATCGACGTCACTCTTGGGCTAGCTGGGCGGTACAACAAACACAGATAAACCCCCAAAACAACACAGCCACACGAGTGCTCAGGCTCCCGTAGTTGTAAAACCGATAGCCTCTCTCCTTCAGCATGATCAGGTAAATGTTTATCATGCTGTTGAGACTCACGATCGCTCTTCTAGCCAGGAGTACCACTATCGATGCCTCGTATGAAGATGTAGCCCCTATCTCCCAACTATCGTGTTTCAGCTTCAACGTAAAAGTTCAGAGCATATGGCAGGATGTGAAAAGGTACATTCGTAAAGAAACATCCCCTGGATTATTACTCTATATACATCATGAAAGCCGTCAAAAGAAACAAATTGATCATCGCAATCGTGAAACCATCCCTCAAAGTCTATACATCCATTACCCAGACCATCCAATCCTCCCTCGCATACTCAAGTCGAATCACATCACAGCCTGCTCGGATCTAAGATCCATCAAACTAGGAATCTCCGGCATGGGCGGCACAGACGTATCAAACGGATTAACCTCCTGGTCACCAATATCCCCAGCCGCAGGGGTTGGCGGAATAGTATCAAGATTAGTATGCTTCCACCCCTGATTGCTAGGCAAAGACATAGGACAAGCCGAAGAAACACTGTTGCGGAAGCTGTTGCGTCCAGTATAGTCAGGGGCGTGGAATGACGAAGACCTGATATGATGGTTCTGGGTCGAGAAAGAGCCAGAGCGACTGCCAGGAAGCGACGCTGCCGATGCAGTAGAGGAGCGACTGGCAGGTGCGGAGCTGAAGGCACTTGAGAAGCGGCGGAACATGGTTCCAGAAAAGCTGGATGAGCGGGATGAGGCACCGACAGTATCGGGCTCGGGCTCACCGCTCATGAGGCTGAAGACTCCCTTCAAGGCTGACACGCTGTGCCCAACGCTTGTCTTGACTTCATTCCAGCTTTCTTTGAGGCGTATAAAGTCATGCATGTTCTCTTCAAGCGCTAAGAGATGTTTCAAAACAATCTCGACGCTGTCGGCGATGATGGTGGTGCCGGTAATCCAAACAGCGGCAGCAGTATCTTGGACACTCGCAGGCTGCTGCTGGATAAGAGCAATGGCAGAAGAAGTGGCTTTGTCAATCGCATGATCTGCCATCTGCTTCTGCATCTGAACATCGACAAAGACCTTGCTCTTCTCATCACATCCGCCATTGCTGACACCAGACTCGAAAAGATAAGTTCTAAGACTGTTGTAAACGTTCTTGAGAGCGTCCTCGTGTACATGAGCAATCGAGGCATTCAGATCATCGAGACCGGACAGCATACTGTCGGCTTCATCACCAAGAGTGGCTGACAATGTAGCAACGTGATTGGTATTGTCGAAAAGAGCTTGAGCCTGCAAGGTCTTGAAGAAGGTGAAGTCGCCAGAACGGTGTGCAGCGTGCAGGTTGTGGCGGACAAGGGCGATACGCTGCTGCCAGTGCAGTGTCTTGTTCATGTCGAAGATGACGTTGAATTCTGCCAGCTTGACCCCGGTGTGTTCTTATTGATGAGCCGTGATATGCGAGACAAACGATAGAAGAAACCTGAATATGAGAAAAGTATGTATGTACAAGGTCCAAGAAGAAACAAGAAGGTTCGACTATTCTGGTATGCTTGCAGAAGATGCTCGAAGAAGGGTTGAAAATTTCGCTCTGCCTTATACCATTTCTTCAGCCTACACACCACGACTGAGATGTTGTCAGTGGCTGTCCGGAAGTTGTTTGTTCATCGGGTATATCAGCTTACGTCAAGCCGGTTCCGACTAGCCGGTTCATGGAATCTTCGATGATGCTTGGTGCGATAGCTCGAAGTAGGGCGTATAAAGTTTCTTTGCGAAGAAGCTCTTTGTCTGGAAGCTGTTTGCGGAGCCATCCAGGGTCTTGCGAAGGCTCTATTGTAGCTTTGAGAAACATTCAAAGAACCCCTTCGCTTAGACCTGTCAGATATGGGTTTGAAGTGCGGATGTAGGTAATGTCTGCATCATTGATAACCATCAGTCGTACCATCTGCCACACTCGATTATCGCTGTAATAGGCAACCTTCCAATCATCTTCCTTACCGATTTTCGGTATGCCGACTCGGGTTCGGCTCTGCCTGCCAGCCGACTTTCCGTGTGACCACATTCCATAAAATTCACTAACACATTCCTTGCTAGCCTCCAAAACGGCAGCCAAAGACACTGCTTTCAACATGCGACTATTCTCCTATAGTGTATCTCCTTCAATATGGATCTCAAAGCATCAAATCAACGAGCTAGTGGTTCGTGAGTATTATATGTCACCCTATGTGAACTTCCATGCTTCCTTTCGAGAAAATCTGTTGTACACTTCGACCTAAGCCTGAACGCTCGTCAGCTCCTTCCAGGATCAAACGAGACCACCGGCACGAAAGCGACCGTGATGGATAAACGCAATAGCAATCTATATCGAGTTTGAGACTGATTGTAAGTATATCGAGATCAGACGCAATGTCCAGAAAGCCAAGGAGGAAAGATCTCATTTGAACCACCGTTCGTATCCTTGCAGACTTCGAGGAGTCTGGTCACTGAATTGGCAGCACTGTGACTCAGTTTCGAAGCCTTGTCACCTCAAGTCAACACAGACAATGCGAACGGTTGCTTCCTGTCATGAGCCAATTTCATGATCCGGTCTCAGCTTTGTTCGTAGTTGAAAGCGGTAGAACTCGAGAACATCTGGGGCGTGCGGTCTGTACAAAGAATGTTGCTGAAAACGGACGCCACCACCTGTCAATAGGATTACGATCGTGTTATCAAGCCCCTTCATGGTCACAATAGTAGTCTTTCTATATAGCTCAATCGTGGGTGCTGTTTGTTCTGTCTCGATATAAGCAGAATCATGCGTTTCTCAATTATTACCATCACATCCGCAGTTGTTGCTGCTGCGGGAACAAACGCCATTGACGTGGCTGGTAAGTTCCACATTTTTAGGCCTAGCAATACACAATCTGACATTTCGGAAGAAATTCCCGGTTATGAAGCAATTCCCAAGGCCGCAACAAACAAGTACATTCAGGATGCACCTTCGGCCATTCCCGATTTTGCGCCCGGCTCATTCGAGCCAACGTACATGCCGGAAGAGGACCTGAAGCCGAGTAGCATACAAGCACGCAGCGTCACTCCCACATCGGGCACCGCCATCCCCAGTCCAGTTGCCGACGAACCGTCTGATGACAGCTATGAAGCCTTTATGGAGTGGATGAACGCCCGTCTAGCTCAGGGAACCTCCGAAGAGGCTGAGCACAGCCATGTCGCACGCAGTGTTGCTCCTTCGCCCAGTGCAAAGGTTGAGCCCCCTACCGACGGTCCGGCTGATGACACATATGAAGCATTCGTCACCTGGATGGAGTCTCGCTACTCCAAGGACTTCTCTGAACAGGTCAAGCAGAAGATGCATGCTCGAGATGCCCCACCTGAGCCACAGCACACCACTACCGCCGCCACTGCCACCGCGGCCCCCACTGACGGTCCTGCTGATGAGAGCTACGAAGAGTTCGTACATTGGATGAACTCTCGCTACCCTCAGGGCATTTCTGAAGAAGACGAACACAAGAACTTCGCTCGTTCCCTCGATGAGCATGATGAATACCCTTCTGAGGATTATCACGAGCTCAATGCCAGATCTGTAGATACCGACGAGGTATCGCAAGATCAGGGACACGAGATGCCTGATTGGAACCTTGCCTGGAATGAGGAAGTAGAGCATCACCTCCAAGCCAGATCGGCTGAAGAGGATTACGAGCAGGAGTCTAGTACACCAGCTCAGGGTAACCCGATCGATGCCCGCACCGAGTCCGAGAGCGAGTATCCTTATCTCGAAGAAACCTTCGAGGAGTTCCTTGCTCGCCAAGGCTTCAGCACCGAGCAATACGCCCAGGACGGCAAGCCCACTGAATCACACGAGGAGGAGCCCAAGCCTCAGGTGGCAGTTGACTCGAAGCCATCAGTCTCTGAGGTCCCTGCTTCTCCAGCCGCCGCTCCTACCCCCAAGCCGACTTCTGCAGTCACCTCGTCTGCAACCTCTTCGACATCCGCATCGCAATGGTCTGGCCCGATGAGTGAGACGGCCACTGGCTCGTCAAGCTCTGCTACCAATGTTCAAGCACGCTCTGTGAGTTCCCACTACCGATTCCGCCACCACTCAGCACATGCGTCGAACAGTGGTACGGTGAGTGCATCTTCTGCAACCAGCTCTACCACCACAAGTCGCAAGGGATTCTTCAACCTTCCCTGGTAGCTGAGTGTGGCTGTTGTTGCAAAGATAAGATGCTGACTGAGTTTTGAGATCTTCCAAGGTTAGAGACTGGATGTCCATAGATTGAACCATTTCCTATGTAATGAATGAAACATGATGCATTTTCTCACCACCTTTTCCACTCTCAATGTTGCACAGAACTGTTCTGGATTTGGCCAACGGTCATGTTCGAGTGTAACAAAGACTCACTCACACGAATTGCAGCTCTAGTCCATCTCTGCATGTGTATCTTTGTGAAGTAAGAGGCGCCTGACAAGCATTTTTTTGGCTTGTTGTCCCGAAATGGTGATGGACGTCAGTTCTTTAGCCGCATCGCCCTATAGAGTATTATATCCATACTCCACCTTCACGACTTGCTCGTAATGCTTTTAAGAATGTGGCGGGTATTCCATTGTATCGAGCGGCAGACCGGAGGCAGGGTCGCTTCGCCTTACTAGATATGCCCTTTGTTGTCCGAGCCTGGACTTGTCTCCAGCCGCAAACGTCCACTTTCCAGACCTCTGTGCTTGGATCCACAAGCAAATACGAGCACTTCACAAGCGGAGACGGATGCCTCACTGGCAAAGCGGCGTCGTTCACTTTGTGTCGATCCTTACTGCAATCAGCCGCATAAATAGATTCCTCGTCCCCAGTATCTGGGTCTTTTATCTTCACAAGAGTTGACTCTCATTGTGAATCTTCTTCGACGGACGAGGTCATTGTACATATCTCTTCTCTTCGGCCGTCATCGTTACATTGCACATACCAAACCTTTCATCTCTCGTTTTCTCTCGCATCAAAACAAACAACATGCACCTGTCCAGCATCTTCGTCGGTCTCGCCGGCCTCCTGGCATCTGCCAGCGCCAGTCCCACCAACAACAACACTGTTTACAAGCACTTCGACTGCGGTGTTGACCTCAGCCGTGCCAGTGAACACTTCAACAAGACTGTGCGCCTGATGCACCAGTATGTTTTCAAGGCCCATAGTGGCACACAGGTTGCTGATCACGCCGTCCGCGCTGCCGCCGCCGGCCCCATCATTGTCAATGTTGCTTTCCACATCGTCACCACCGCCGCTAAGGCAGGCACCATCACTCAGAAGATGGCCGACGACCAACTCAACACATTGAACAAGGCCTACAAGTCCAGCAACGTTCAGTTCAACCGCATTGCCACCACCTTCACTGTCAACGACGCCTGGGCTGTCGGTGCAGGCTCTGACGCCACTGCCATGAAGACCGCTCTGCGCAACGGCACCTACTCCACTCACAACATCTACTTCATGACCGACCTCACTGGCAGCATCCTCGGCACGTGCAGTCTGCCTTCAGACATCGGCCCGGGCACTCCTGATCCCAGCACTTACATCACCGACGGCTGCATGATCCAGGCCAACACCATGCCTGGCGGCAACATCTACGGCTTCAACCTGGGCATGACCGCCGTTCATGAGACCGGCCACTGGATGGGTCTGCTGCACACCTTTGAAGGCTACAGTTGCACTGGCAGCGGTGACTTCATCCCCGACACTCCCATGCAGAGCACCAGCACCGATGGTTGCNCCTCCAAGCCTCCCAAGGACAGCTGCCCCCAAGTCGCCGGCGTCGACGCCATCCACAACTACATGGACTACTCGGACGACTCTTGCTACACCAGCTTCACTGCTGGCCAGAACAAGAGAATGGCGAACATGTGGGCCACCTACAGACTTGGTCGCTAAGCTTTCAGCCTTTCTGAACATGGATATGATCAGGGGAAGAATGTTTCCAAGGGCCACAAGATGCATGGAAAGGGCAAGGCACCTCCGTTTCTTTCTCGTACATAACTTCTTTCTTTCCGCTTGATAATTGCGAATGAATGCATCACCGACGGGCGTTTGTTTTTCTCAATTCATGTCTATTGCCTTTTGCAATTTACCGAGTGTTGTAGTCAAAGTGAAGTGAAGTGTCAAGGAACGTGGCATCGCGTGATGTGAGGAATGTTGTTGTTCGCTGCCGTGCATCCGACCTCGCTTGAATTATGCCAAGTGTTTGTGCAGACGTTGAGAACACTAATGCCATCGAATGGCAACCAATACGAAGCTGTTTTGCATGAAAGCCACCAATCCTTCGCACAATCAATACTACTCAATGTCGGCGTCGCAATGTCTTCTTCCTCATTCACAATCCAGACTGGTATCTTGTGCGCCTCTGATACGACTCTTAAATGGCACAAAAGTATAGGGAAGCGTCCGCTGGCCGCGGCGCGAGCGCATCTTCATGGCTTGATGCACCGGAGTCAGCAAGCCATATCTCTCAGCTCATGAACAGCTTTCATGTCCCCGGTCTCGCAATAGCGATAGTTGATGGATCTGACATACATTCCAAAGCGTTCGGCTATGCTTGCATCAGTTCCCAAAAACCCTGCACCGCCGACACGCTGTTTGATATTGCTTCGTGCTCTAAAGCTCTTACTGCAACTGCTGTCGCCATGCTTGTGGAAAGCAAGGACTTCTCAGGTGTAAAATGGGACTCAGTGATGACTGAATTGTTGCCTGATGACTTTGTCCTGTCAATTCCGGAGGCTACCAAAGATGTCACTATTGAAGACATTCTAAGTCACAGATCAGGCTTACCAAGGCATGTANTCGTTTCCCACTCCCGACCCTCATGAGCTGATTATAATAGCCATGACTTGAGTATCCTGGGAACACACTCGAAATACTGTGATAACGCCCAGTCAGTCGCCAGAAATCTGCGCAATCTTTCTCTGAGCAAGGCGCCGAAGTCGACCTATCAGTACAGCAACATCATGTACACAGCCGCAACTCACCTTATCGAGACTCTATCAAAGAAATTCTTCTCGAGATTTGTGCACGATGAGCTTCTGCAGAAAATGGATATGAACTCAACATTCCTTCAGCCAAGCGAAGTGTACAGCAGCGACCAACAAAGCCTGCTTTCCACGCCATATTACTTCCGAGATAGTGCTTATCATGAGACTTGTCATCAGGAAACACCCGAAAGTCAAGGAGCAGGCTCAATCCACACAAGTGTCAACGACCTCGCCAGGTTCATTCGAGCCATGATCAACCAATCTGGCCCCATCACACAGTCGATATACGAGGCTGTCACAACACCCCGAATCACANAAGATCAACGAAGCAATCCCACGAACAACGGCAATAATCACCCTCCTCCATCCTATGCTCTGGGTTGGGATGTCAAATACTACCGCGGAACAAAAATCATCTCTCACGACGGCGTCATCACCGGCTATGGAAGCCGTATGTTCTTCCTGCCTGACCACAAAGTCGGAGCTGTGATTCTCGGCAACAGCGACGGCGCATTCGACCTCTCATTCATCATACAGAGCTCCCTTGTTGACGAGATTCTAGACGTTCCGAAGGAAGAGCGGTTTGATGTTGCAGCCCAGCGCTTGAAACGACTTACAGCCCAAGAGGCTCGGCGGGAGAAGAACCTCAAACGAAACGCTGTCAGAAGAGATCAANGCAAAGATACACTGAAGGTTCCTCTCGAAACTTACCTTGGGACTTATCGCAATGCTGGATATCGGAACGTCACTGTGCAAGAACAGGCAGGCTCTCTCTTCATTGATGGACGCGATCGCTCTATGCCTTTCACGATGCTTCTCGAACATGTGAGCGACAATGCCATCTTTCGAGGGTACCTAGCCGATGATACAGGTGAAGACGTTATCCCTGTTCAATTTCGCTTCGATCCAGATGGGCAAGTATCTGCGATTGGTATGGTTCTGGAGCCAGCATTGGGTGACAACTACTATATCTGGTTTGACCGCATTCATGAGGCATAGGAACATTCGCAAGAATCAGTCTTAATCTGACGTAACTGAAAAACAAAACCAATCGGCTATCCTGACAAAACAACTCAAACCTAGAAAAACCAGCAGAACGAAGCAGCAGCATACACTAGCATCTATGCAACTTCTAGTACTCGTCATCAAAAATCGGAGGTTCCATCTTCTCGCACTTTAAAAGATCAGGCATCTTCGTGTTTCTGACCGAAACTCTGCCAGCCAAGATATCTTGCTTGTGCTTCTCATCCTTGGCCTTCCATGCATCGACCGATGCTTTTCTCTCCTCTTGCAGCACGCTTTCAGGGATCAGGTACTGCAAGTACTGTTCCGGNACTTCGGCCTTCCACTTTGGCTCAGAAACGGGCTTCGCATCGGTTTTAGAAGACTTGCCGAAGTGCTCGTCGGATGCGTCGTTGGTATGGTTGACATTGGCATTGCAGTATCGCTCGTTCTGCAACTCTCTGCGCACCTTCCACTCGCTCTCGCTAAGCTTTTCCAGCGCATCAATTACTTGCTGCGGCACACTCTTCGGGTCGGCATCAAAAACGCGGCCATCAGACATGTAAACCTTGGGCGTGTAATGATCGTCCTCGTCCTCGTCCCCGTCCCCGCTGTACCAATCTCCACAGTCCCATTCATTTTCCCAGAGATATTGCCAGATGTCGTTTTCCCTGGCGTCGAGTTCTGCTGTGCGCAGCAGGAGGTAGGAATCTTCGCCCAGCAAGGTTTTAGCGGCATGGTGGTGCAGACGGAATTTTGCGTCGCTCATGTCTTCAATGGCGAATTTTCTGAAGGTTGTCTGGTTGATGGTTGGAATTGTTGCATCCTGTACGAGCAACTGTTGAGGGGTTTGGACCGCAGCGGCGGCGGCCATTGAGGCCAAAAGCGAGAAGGTTGCCGCGGAAGTCAACATTGTTTGTAGTTCGAGAGATATCGAAAAGGTTTATTGACAAGCAAGTGTAAATATGGGAAGTAGAGTCGGTCTCGAATCCAGATATAGATGGCGGGATGGGAGACGCTTGCCCCTACTCCCCATTGTCGTCGAGTCAAGCTTTGCATCCTGAATCCTTCATGACATGGCTATACGAGGGTCCGCGGAGGTTGCAGCTAATCAGGAAATAACCCGGACACACAACCCCGCAAGGAAACGTTTGATGGTGCGAAGTCACCTTTGCGGACTCCGGGGCCAGACGCATTTCTAAGATACTCTAGGACACCGTACTTGTTGGGAGACTCACCAGAAAGAGTCGCTGGCTCGAGGAACCCCAGCATGAGGATCGGTGTACGGAGTACAAGAGAAGGGAAAAAAGAACTGTATCAGTCGCTCTACTGGTTTTGGGCTCTCTCAGTTACTTGCTGAGTTTGAAGCTTGTTCGTCTTCCGAGGAGTATCTAGTTTTTGCTTGTTGTGGATGCCTGGCTGGGTCATACTGATAGCATGTAAAGAGGGCAGCAACATATCTCTATACGTGAGTGCTAGAGTAGACAGACTACCCAACGGCTTCTCAAGCAAGCTTTTCGCAATGCTCTTGTCGGCACTTTGCGATAACAGTGCTCAGTGCCTATCACTTCTGGATGCATAAGGATTCAGAGATACCAGTACCGAACACGAGCAACTGCCAAATAGCTCAAGCGATAAGTGGCCGTGTAACGTATTGAGCTCGAATTTGTTTTTCAAGCGGACAAACAGAATTGATACCAAGAAACATTCGAGTTCTTCCTCTCTGCGTTACTTGGTCTTTAGGTAAGGAGCGGTTAATACTGATGAAACAGAGCAACCAGAAGGATAGGTAAGGGCGACCGAATCCTTCATCACGCTGTGCTGGTCCGGGAATATCGCCCACGGCTCGATAGAACTATGTTTCTACTCGCGATTCAGTAAATGTAGCCAACTCCCGCCAGTGCCATTTGCGCACAAGATGATAGAACAAGAAGCTTCTTTGGGGCATAATCTTTTGACCTGGTATTTTGAGATAATAAGTTATCGGAACACAGATGGATTAGATGACGACAGACAGAAGAGACAAAGGAGATAAGAGGATAAGAAGAAAAAGAATCGAAAAAGAACGAAAAGAGGATGGAAACGCCCTTTGACACATGTTGTCGGCTCATCTGGCCATGCAATCTCGCCCTTGTATCAGCATACATCCATGGCAACTCTATCTCTAGAGAAGCACGGCAAATCCAGCAGCAGCGACTGCGATCAGCGATGCAAAGACGCCGCTGATACTGAAGCTTGAAGCAGCACCAGTGAAGGTAACTGGGCTGGTCGAGGCAGCTGCAGGGCTACTTGGTGATGCAGCAGTCGAGAGCTTGCATTGAGGTCCAGGGCATGGAACGGTAGCAGTGGTTGAGCCGTTGTTGCCAGCAGCAGGAGTTGTAGCAGGGCCTTCAGGACGTCCAGCACCGCCAGTAGGGGCTTGAATCTGGCCGTCGGAGATTTGGGTGACTGGTTGAGGGTTACCAGTAGGTGCTTGGATTTGACCATCGCTGATCTGAGTGACGACGTTGCCAGCAGGGGGGTTGTTGGCAGGCTGAGGAGAGCTTCCTGAGGTTCCAGGTGTGCCCGGGCTGCCATCACCTCCATTGCCACCGTTTCCACCATTGCCTCCATTTCCTCCGTTGCCTCCTGGACCAGAATCGCCGCCGTTCCCTCCATTGCCGCCGTTACCTCCGTTTCCGCCATTGCCGCCAGGGCTTGAGCCGCTAGGGCTGGAGGAACCTCCATTGCCTCCATTGCCGCCATTACCTCCATTGCCGCCGTTTCCTCCAGGGCCGGCATCACCTCCATTGCCTCCGTTTCCGCCATTACTGCCATTGCCTCCATTGCCACCAGGACCAGAAAAACCACCATTGCCGCCGTTGCCTCCATTTCCTCCGTTGCCGTCATTGCCTCCTGAAGAGCCAGTAGGGTTGGCAGGTGCAGGAGCAGGAGTAGGCTTGCAATCGCAAGGTTGTGTGACGGTGTAGGTTTGAGGAGTTTCGGCGCACTGGTGGCAGACGACTTCAGTGGTTGTGAAGCCTTGAGGAACGTAACTTGGACCAGGAGTCCAGGTGGGAGTAGGTTCGGTACATGATTCTGTGACGGTATACACGACTGGTGTCATACCAGGAGATGTACCAGTTGTGCAGAGAGAAAGATAAGTCGTTGTCCAGATTGTGGTGAAAGGAGTGACTTGGGCGGCAGAGGACATTGAAGCCTCTTCGCACTTGGGACAGTAGGTAAGTGTGACTCCATTGGTCACGGTGACCATTTGTGGAGGAGCAGTAGTATCGCAGTCATCGATTGTCAGTGTGACGTAGACTGGTGATGCAGTTGAAGTGCTGACTGCAGCAGAGGTGATAGGGGCAGACGATGACTGAGCAACGACGCCAGAAGCCGCAATGGCTGCAGCAGCTGCAAGCTCGATCTTCATTGTGAAGGTTGATCGAGACTGTTATTAGAGCTAAAGGTTATTACAAAGCTGTATGGTATGAAGCGAGCGACTGCGTGAGTAGATGATAATGATATCAGAGAAAAGAAAAGGCTAGAGAATCGAGCGAATGAGATTCTGGAGCGACTTATTGAAGGAGAGGAAGAGCCCGAACGAATGAGTTTCCTGAAGCAGCAGATGACTTATACAGACACTGCTAACGGCCATGTTTTGCTGTAGTGATGATGCTGGAATGTAGGTTAATTGCTGTGCATTCCTTGGCCTGGGCAACAAACACACGAAAGCGGATTGACGTGCAAGTCACAGCAATGAGATAAGATTAATTCATGATAGAAGCTGGTTGGACTGCCTTTTGTTTAGGTTGGCAATGGTGAAGAGGGAAGTTTGTGTTGTTGAGATCTCAAGATCACTGGTCTGGAAGATGCACGCGACAGTCTTGACATCTCGAGGTCCGGGCAAACACCTTCACAAAATGGCCATGAGGAGACGTTAAGTGTGCATATTAGCTGGCATAAATGCTCATATTTCCTACACGTATCTATTCTAGCTTGATACTATATTCACTGGTGGTGACGGGTGGATTGTGCTGATTTAACACAGCCAAGTCTCAAGATCTCCCCTCATGTAACTGCTCATATGCCTTCTCATCCCACTCTCGTCTGTTCAACATGTTTCTGTCTCTTGTACAAGACTCACTCCCAGCCATGGGTCTCTCTTCAAAATAATGCTTTTGTGAACAATGTCCTCTGCTGTACCTGATGGAGCATTGTTCGTACATCACGTGTTTCGTCCTTGACGCTGGCCTGAGCAATGCCTACCTTGAGGAATGCAACAGACTCTCCAGCCACTCTCTATATACCATCGGAATGCTAGCCACTACCGAGAGGCCACCAGCCACCAGTTCTCGACTCAGTGTGTATGCTGAGCAAAGTCGTCAAACACATGTGACTCCTGAGCCAAAGTGGAAAACCAGACTATTGTAAATCTCGCATTCCATACAAACGACCAACCACCCGGAATGCCTATTACAATCAGATGGCTGGGTGTCTCTACCAACAATAGCCTTCTGTGCATATATTACCTTGCATCTTGTGTTGATGTCTGTTTTGTTCCTGCATAATCGTGCATTACAATCTGCCTGTTCAATCACAATATCCCTGTTCAGGACCAACCTTCTCGCAACCACCCTAGCAGATCCCAAATCCCTCAGCCACACTTTGCATAGATCTTGCACAAAGTCTGAAGGACATCACGATCAGCCTATCAGATTTCTTCAGAGAGTTTTCTTGCATAATTCCCACCTTACACTACAACCATGGCATACCTTACTCAGCAACACACTTACCCAATGCGGTCAACAAACAAAGAGCCCCAATGGGCAACCGTCTATGACGATTTGTTCAGCCAATACGTGGACATCGATGCAGACGACTTCAAATTCGGCACGAGCAGTTCAGACGAAGCCAGCAACAATGAAACCATCAACTCGATCGAAGGCCACTTCACCGACAGTGGCGACAGCAGTTCCTCGGAAGCAGCGGCCAGACGTCTTTCAGACGATTTCTGGGCCAGAACACTCGCCGTGCTGGAAGAAAGCGCCTCGTCTTTGGAACAACAGCAAGACGGCAAACAACAAAGAGAAAGCGAGCAACAAAACCACCGTCACAATTTGTCGCCTGCCGCTTCTTTTTACAATACAAAGAATACTCCCCATGCGGATTTTCTCAGCCTTGGTGGTTTCCCCAGTCCTCACATCTCGACTGTTCCATCTTCGCCTTCAGNNCTGGAAGCAGCGGCCAGGCGCCGGAAAGCAATCAAGTACCAGCAAGAACGCTCTGTAAGGACTCCTGAAAGACCTGTTGGTGTGACGAAGACACACCGTTCGTCCAGCAAGTCGCCAAAGATGATGTCGCCTTCGCGTTACAGGGCTGGAGCCCAAGACGCCTGGATGGAGAGCATCTACCAAACTCCCAACAGAATGACCAGCATGACTTTGCCTGTCAGAAGCATGCCTTTGACTCCTCCCTCCAGCGGAAGAGGCAAACCTGCAGTCGGACTCGGCTTCCAAGGATGGAGTGACATTGACGCTTCGCCTTTCCAGCCATTCACAAACTCCACTGAACAATCATCACCCTTTTCGAACACCTTCAACCAACAGAGTATGCCCAGACAACTCTACAGCCCTGAAGCCTCTCCCCTCACCAGCCCCAGCGTTGAACGCGGAGCCCTGTTCGCCGAAGAACCCACCATTTTCCGCGACATCTATTACGGACAACCCTCAACCACAGATTGCTACAACAAGTCCGCCTGGAGCGCAAACTCTTTCGGAGCTGAGGACATTTACGAGCCCTCTCCTACATTCAGCCCATGGATGGCGAGTGAGAAGAAGGAAGCAGAGTACCAAGCCTCCCTGACCAATTTCCAAGTCCACAACAGTCTGTTGCCAGCAAGTTACAATGATCCCACTTTAGCTCCTGCTTATGCGGAAGAGCCATTGAGTGGTCTGGATGTAGCGGCGGAGGTTACTCCTTACTACACCACAAACGCTTACTCTACTACCACAAGAAGAGAATCACGCACACCCTCGCCACCACGCAACCGCATTGGAAAGCGCAACTCGTCCTCAAAGCCACACAGTCGCAAGTCCAGCTCGGATCATAAGGCATCCAGAGCAAACAAGTCTGGCGGTTTTGTTAACTACACACCTTCAGACAGCGAGAAGCTGCTTACAGGTGTTGCGCCATCGGGAAGCAGCAAGACGAAAGCCAGACGTGAGAGAGAAGCCGCAGAGCGCTGGAGAAGGTTCAGCCAGGCTGCCGCAAAAGCTGTCGCCGAAGCAGGTGGCGCACTACCTGAGGTTGCACCTGTAGCAAACATGTTACCTCCTCACACTGACATGGTCGATACCGAAGCAGGAGGAAGTTGGACAAGAGCATGAAAGCTCGGTGGAAGAAGTAATGGAAAGAGCGCAACTGTCAAATTTCCCTCAGTATATAACTCAACTGTCAAATTTCCCTCAGTATATAACTCTTCTATATTGCCTTCAGAATTAATTCGTGTTGAACACTCATTTTGAAATCCCTTTTCTTAGAAATAGTCAGCTTTGCCTCCGATAGTAATTGCGCCATTGGTCAACTGACATTGCCGAGCCGAGAAACGGACTTGTGCTGCTCCCACGTCGAACACAGTCAAGACGTTTCTCATGAACACGTCTCCGATGATAGTGTACCCTCCATTGTTGCTCTGAACACCCAAAACACAGAAGCCCAGCCCAGTGTCGATGATCAAGTCAAGCGGGTTGATGTAGAAGATCTTACTCGAGACGGCGACGCCGAAACGAGGGACTGTAGCATTGCAAGCCACTGTGTACAAGCCATATGTCGAGCTGATAGTAGAAGGAGGGTCGAATGCCGCAGCAAGAGCAGCAGCAACATCGGTAGGTGCATAGATCAAAGTCGTTCCCGAGTCAACAATGACATTATAGGTGGGTGCGTGCAGTAAAGGTGTCTTTCTCGTGTTTCCGGTCATTTTGACATCAAAGTCTGCATTCCAGTTTTTGCTTACTGCCCAGCCGTCTACACGAATGGCGTAGAATTGGTACTCGGGCTGGCCTGTTGCAGCATCAATGCCGACAACAGAGATGTTTGCTGAAGCCCAGGAGCTTCCGTGAGGGATGTTTGGGATACCGCCGACGGCAAGGACTCCTCCAGCTGCTTGAGCAGTCTGGGCGACGTCACGGTCAAGAGCGATGCTGAAGATCGGGGCGGTGAGGTTTTCGACGAACATGCTTGTGAGAAGAGGGTTGTAGGGAATGTTCAGACCTCCAACGTCTGCACTTGGGTTGCTGCCGCCGTATTGGTTTGTCAAGGATACGTAGGCGAGGCCAACCAGTCCAGAAGATGTGCCATCGCCATACCAGCCCACCACAGTAACGAGACCCATGGTTTGATTCTCAACTGTTATGCCAGCGAACGTCAAATCCTCGGTAATTATTTGACCGTTGAGGCGTTCTCCATCAGCATACGAAATATTGAAGTTGCGGTTAGGGACCTGCTCGGCTGTCGAGGACAAGGAGTAGGTAGGTCCGAAAGCACATTGTGATTCGTCAATCACCTCTGAATCGGTTGGGTCAACACAGGTAAACTGATTGTTCACGAGCCAGGTGTCGCTGCTGCCTGTATCGATGACTACTTCGAACATCTCGCCACCTGCTTGAAGAGGTGCAAGGAAAACACTTCCTGCATTGACAGACAGAAGTTGTGCTGTTCCGTTCTAAGGCTTGGTCAATCGATGTCCGCAACTTAACATGTTTCTCCAAGAACTTACTTGGAGACGCGAATAAACACCATCTACATGTTGGCCAGACCTGATGGCCTGAAGGTAGCCAGCGCTCAAAGAGTTTGTCTTCGTGTTGGCTCGTCCGAGAGGGATAGTGTTTCCAGTAACTCTGTTCGGACTGGGTCGTTGGACGGCAACGAGTCGACGTGGTTGATTGACTCTGAAGTCGAAGTTGTCTCGAGCGGCAATTGGGACAGTAAGAGCTGCCAGAGCAGCAGCTTCAATGAAACGCATATTGATGATCAAGAGAATGTCAAGACTCTGCTTGGGAGCAAGAGTCAATGAAAGAAACCGGAGGATTGTTTGAGGAGAATGCAGTAGTGTATAACTGTTCTTCGCCAAAAACAGACGAAGCAACAGGCTTCGCGAAGGAAAGAAAGCCAGCAAAGCAGGGTCGTGCCTGTGCTTTTGTCAAATGTGGTACCTGGAGGTCCAAACACAATCAGATGCAAGTTTGTATGTGTGTTGGCCAAATCCCTTGCCTGATGCAAATTGCGCCGCGCATTCCTCTCGAATCTACCCACTTCAATCTTTCTTTTTCTGATGATCTAGGCATTGATACCAGCCCGAGTCATTCCTGACTTTGAAAAACAATCATAGCAAGGTTTTCTTGGTTCTTCTAGAGCGGTCGAGTTCGGCAGAGGTCATGAATGCATACCATAAAGCAAGTCTATATAAACCCTTTCGTTACCACAAACGCCTACCCACTTTTCATTGCCAAACGCCCACCGAATTCATGAACGTATTAAGCTGCTTCCTTTCCAATTCATCATAAAGCCATAACATTTTCAAAGCCAAAATCAACACGACTTCCATGTTCCACCACCTCAAGCTGGTGTGATGGCCGGAGGTGCAGCAACTGCTCGCTTGACTGTCGTCATGGTCGGGCAAGCAGGAATAGGGTATGGGCTTGTATTGCCAACACAGAAGTTCTCATCATAGCANACTGATTGCTATGTCAGCCCACAGATCGATCTGAGAATGAGAGAAGCCACTCACCCTCCATAACGCTTGCCACAAGAGTTGATTGCATCCACGCAGATAGAGTGAGGAGTACAGCTGCTGGTCGAGAGCTTGGTGTCTGGGGTTGTCACAGCACGGGTCGCCAAAGGCGTAGTCGTAGGAGTTTCGGTAGGAGTTTCGGTAGGAATCTCCGCAGAAGTTCCGGTAGGAGTTTCGATGGAAGAATCATGCCATAGTTGAGTGTAAGGAGACTTGACGTTATGTTTGACTTTAGCAGGGTCGCGAGCATCGATAGACGACGAGGCATGATCNACTAAGAGCGCATCAGAAGAGGTGTCCACTATCAAATTGTCAAATTCTCCATACCCATTGTCGCATCTCGGGATAAGAAGTGCAAGAGAGGTCGAGATGAAGATAAAGATGGCAAAACGCATGTCTATGTAAGGCGTGTGAGGTTGGCAACACAAGAGGTGGAGTTGGAGAACGAATGACGAAGCTTTGTTTGATTTTGGCTTTCAACTTTCAACTTCGAGGGATTCAGAGCTCAATATGTATCCTGAATTCTGACTGACGACGATATTGGGGCTTGTTCAAGCAAATTTTTCAAGGAATGCGTAGATGTCAAGATGTCATTCACAGTGTATGTGATTCGGATATCTTCTGATCGGGGTGGTGTGTGGCAGGGAAGCACAACGATCGGTGTCGCAATGGGATACAAGGTCGTGGCAAGCAATCCTGGCTTGAACATGCGTCCATTCCTTCGATCGTGGATAGCTGATTGAGAGGTCCTGGTTCTTGGAAGGTGCAAACAGTGCATTGGTATCACCATGCGTAAGCCACAGAAAATCGACCCTTGCTTGCTTTCGGCATCCATTTCCTTAACTGATATGTCAGCTGCCGAGGTCGTATTGGACATGCGAGTTGCCAATTCATGTGCAATATTCTCAAAACTTTATTATAGATGTGATATCCTAAAGTGGATTGGGGGCTGATGACAAGGAATGCGAACATCATAGTCGTGTGGATATACTGTCGAGTAATGGTTGCAAATACTGTAGCAGATCGTAGATGCAGTCTGATGGTGCGACGGTATTGGTTCAAACTCAGCTGGAGCTTGTAGGCAGCGTTTATTCTGGGAATGAAGCTGTTGAGCATGTAGCTGTACAGTGAATACGACTTAGAGTCGTAGTTTGTGTGTCTAGGGGTTTCAAGACTCAGAGGCAAGCACGAATAGGAGATGATTCGGAGTATTCTTCCATCCCTTTTCTTTGAGGTCTGTCCCGCAGGACTCACGCAATAACTCCACCGCTCCCATCAGATCTGTGTAGATCACTACTCTGACGACAGGCAACATGCAATACAGCGGCCAGAGCAACAGAATGTCACTGCTAGATGAGTAGTCATTGCCACTGCCATTTTCCGCTTTCCCGTTAGATTGTCTTGGTGGATGCTGACGACTTCTTGCAGAATTGCGGTGTTTTGGAGTTTGCGATCTGCAAGCCAGGGGGTTGTTGTCTCTTCAACATCGAGATGAGGCACTTGCATCAAAATATCTGATTGTCGATCAACATCTACGGTCATTAGATACTCACCGAGATCGTACTGTTGACGATTGAAAAGGAAGATCGGCTAATAAAAGGTAGATCATGGTAGGATTGGGCATCTGAGTAGGAGTCCCAAAGCACAGGGATACTCCCACGTGGCATGTGTTCTTCCGAGGGCAGAGGCCGAACTTCGGACATGCTCCTTGTTTTCCATGTGTCGGGGCAGCCGTCCGTAAACCTTCTCTTCTTTCTTGTGACACCACAGTGTAGCCCTTGACCACGCGTTGGCGGACTACCCGAAGAACATCTGGTGGCGCCTAGACCAGGTCTCGACCCCGAAGGACTCTTGATATTGCAGGAGAGATCAGCATTGCAGAGGCCTGGGCGAGCTGAGTACTCCACGAAAGGCGGCATCTCTGTTCTTGTGGCTGAAATCTGGACACGACGAAGAACACGCCATGTTGCGCCGAACCATTCTCTGGGGACTGAAAAGAGCACAAGGGTAGATTCTGGAATTCTGCGCTGCCCGGCAGATGGACACTAAGAGCTGGGGATGTGTTTGGGTTGTGTCGGGGACCCAGGTGGCTTGCTGGTCGTAAACATCAGGAGAGCACTGCAGGAGGCGCACCTCCAACCACGCGCTGGCAGAGAGCTGATTGAGAGTATTTGTTTGGTTGTGCCGGCGACTCCGGTGAGTTTTTGATCGTGAACATCAGGAGAGCACTCCGGAATGCATCGTTCTTACCATGTGCTGGCAAAAGGCTGGCGGAAAGGAATTCGTTGATACAGGTCAGGTCGCGTTTCTACGACAGCTGAACCTGACTTTCTCTTGGCTCACAACTGTGGTGCCTTCTCGCGTCCAATCTCTCGTGGTTCCTTGACGGCTCATCTATGATTCAGGTTAATGACTCGAATTGTTCGTTTGCTTTGAGGAAGATTGGTGTTAGCGACTCGGATCGTTCTTGAACTCGTTTGCTTTGACAAACGTTTTTGTGTACTGGACAAACGCATAAGTAAAGTCCATGTTGAAATAGGTTGATCGTAGCCTGGCGATCGGGAAGAAACCACTAATAGAACAGCTGGTTTACAGCAGTGTTCATGCGAAGTCTAGGCTTCAACTAGCGACAATTCATATGTTGACTGGCGGTTTGTGTTTGATTGTGTATCATGAGTCTGGCGGTGAGAGAAGCCACTCATGAAGTAATTGGCTTGTGAATGGTATTCTCGAAGTCTCGGCAACTCTCATCTGTCAAGAACGAGTGGTGTGGTGCGATTGATTTCGTATTAGCGATTCGAGATATGCTTCGAAGGGTATCCGAATGAAAGCAGCAGGGTTATTGGTTGTTTTCTGTACGTTATCATTGCGATCTGGGTTGTCGAGGAACATCGAGTCTGGTTGTGGACACATTATGGTCTTTTGACCCATGTAAGAACCTCATCGTCAATATACTTTATGGTGCAGGTTCTCTTCTGGTGGTCAAAGGAGTGCATTCTATGCTTCATCACAATGTGCCGTCGAGACGCGTGGCGCACAGCCATCGAAGACGACTCGATGGGAAGCACGATAATCTTACTCGAAGATTAGAGCAACAGCAACGAGCGCCGTTCCCGCTTCACATTTTCACAGACCACCGTAGCAATGTTCGTGCGGAGCCTACAGTCCTCGATTAGTGATCCAGTATTCGTTTCCAGAGCGACGAGATGCAAATAAGCAAAAGGGTATTCAAATGAAGGCGGCAGTGGTGTTAATTGTTGATTGAACCGTCATCGTCCAGGCGTAGTCGTATTGTCAATCTCTGTCCAAGTATGTAGAATTCATCTTGTGTCCACGGTCACTTGAGCGTGTATGTCTTCTTTGATAGCAGTAGTAACTTTCGTTGCGTATAATCCTGCAACCTACCGTACAGGTGCCTAACCCGCGCCCATGCAAGATTCGACGCGACAGCAACAAGTTCGCGCGAGGTCTCACATCTGACGCAAAGCGATGGAATGACGCGAGAGCATCTGGTCTTGGTTTTGTATATCCTCATCATTTTGTTCCTTCTCTTGTATTTCACACTCGTTGATTTCGTCTTCGCTGAGCTGGTGTGTGTCGGGTCAAGTCGCAAGGTATCGTTGAGTCTTCTTAGTTTCTTTTCGATGGTAAAGGGGCAAATGTATCATACATCGCGTCCGGTCGCGTTCACTATGGGCGGCCGTCTCTTTGCGACGAGTTATCAGATAAAGGCCGTCTGAGAGTCATGGGTCTACCACAATGCATCCGGAATACGCTTCACATGGGTGCTTCGCCACGGTAGCCAGAGCGAGCAACACCATGTGCCTTGGTCGCCCTCTTGCTCCTCTTGAGGTTCAATCCACGCGGTTCATAACACGCGGTTCATAACACGCGGCAGCAAGGCTCATGCTCTCTACTGCGCCTAGCCCAACGAGGCCATCAAAGGGTACACCCACAATCAACCACAGCAGCCATCACATTCCCGGGCTAGACTTGTGGTCCCACAAACTCACTGCACATATACAGCTGCAGCGACATGTCCATTTAGTATGAGAGGAAGAGAGAAGAAGGAAACAAGAAGACCAACAACAAGACTCGACAAGGAGATTGCGACCGCGCAGAAGCCAAGACGCGCGTCATAGACCCCTCATCGGTGTTTCCTTCACCGAGGTCCGAAGAGCAGCGTGCCAAGACGAATGGACTCTGCTAGTATGAAAGACAGGGTTGTATCCTCGACGAGTAAATTCAAGAGCGATAGGTCTCGGAAATGGTAACGACGGGGTATATATTTGATTTGAATGTTATAGCATCATTCTTTGGATAGACTCTGAGGTATATTGGGGTAGAGCCGATGGAAGTTTTACGTTGTGGTGGTGTGATATATAAGATATTGTGTTTTCACATTGTAAATCTTGAGAGATCAGTGCATGTCGCATACAAACTTACTAAGGAAAGTTGACCTGGCCACGATTCTGTGTATCATTGGTTAAATGTTATCGGATGATGCCATATAACAGAGTATACATCAAAGCTATAGATAAATGAGATCAGCAAGAGGCAGTAGGGTTGTATACTCGTTGCCGACACCAAAGAGACTCAGCTGTTCAAGAGTTATGGCCACCCGGGACACATATTCCGCCCCCGCAACTTCCGCCAGTCTTTCCGCTCTCAAGAATGTCAAGCGCACCAAAAGCGCATCACAATCCAGGTAGAGCGATCAATCCGGCATCAGTGAGCATCAGTGAGCATGAAGGCGCAACTCCAAAATGCGCGCTCACGCTATCTGTCCACAATCTCCACAATGGAGAAGGTGCCAATTGCAGACCTTGAAGCCGCAGCTGGAGAGCAGACAAACTGGCTTTGGTTGCTGAATGCAGGCGACATGGCTGCGCGAGCGCGTTCAGGTATCACTTTACCAGAGAATCTGCCTGGCTCGCCGGTGCAAATTGTAGAACTTTTAGCAAAAGTAAGTGAATAACAGAGAAGAGATGGAAGGCTGACGACTAAGTGTGACGTTTTCCAAAGCCGTATGCTCTGATTGAGTATGAATCGCCCGACGATGCGAGAGCTGCGTATGAAGTAGAGTCCAAAGCCATCTTTGCATATGCCGCGCCGAGCGTGGTAGAGAATACCATGGCCAAGCTGCCACCGAATCATCCAACACCTACGCTTCTCTCCACCGATCCACCAACATACGAGTTCTCCAATGGTCTGATTCTGATGCACGAGTTCATCACGAAAGAGGAAGAGGAGGAGATGATACGGGAATACCACTTTGCGACAGCTTCACGAGATGGATGCGCTCTAAAGCGAGGAGCGGTGCATTACGGCCCGCACTTTGACTATACCACCTTTGCTGTGTCAAAGTCGGCAAGCACACCGCCCCCTGAATATCTCACGCGGTTGCTGAGTCGCTTGCCTGCCAGAGACGACAGAGATATACCTGATCAGTATACTTTGCAGCACTACCCGCCAGGCACAGGCATACCTCCACACGTCGACACGCATTCAGCTTTCGAGGAAACCATCTACAGTCTTAGTTTCGGCGCTTCGACACGCATGGATTTCAAACTGTGTGGAGAGAAGGAGTCGAGGCGGCTGAGACTCCCAAAGCGATCGCTTGGTGGTGGGAGTGAAACACCTCCGCCGCCGCCTTCACCTCCGGTCGAAGTGGTCGATGAAAAGACGGAAGAGTGGGAATTGGAATTGCCTGCAAGGTCGTTGTTACTCATGAGAGGCCCATCCAGGTATGGGTATACGCATGGCATCAAGGGGAGGAAACACGATCAAGATGGGCCGAAGCTGGTGGCGAGGCAGGATCGGTATTCGTTGACGATGCGGAAGATTAAGCCGCCGGAAAGGATTGGCTGCAATTGCGAGTATGCGCATGTATGTAGTTGAAGGATCATGGCTTTGCAGGACGAAGTGATGGTGCATGAGGGGAAGTGAAGATGGGAGCAAGCTTTTTGTGTCGGGCGTCAGGTACGTCGGGCACCATGAGATCGAAGTCGCTGGCAAAGCAGGGGTTGCAGATATAAGTGGTTGGGACGGCCTTGGTTGCCCACCAGATCTTGTGAAAGCGATTTTCCTGGCAGGCGGTGCAATGGTGGTCGACGCGGTCAGGAGTAATGAGAGGCGTGTGCAGCTTCCAGGTCCAGCCTTCTTCTTTCCATGTGTTCCTCTTCAGGATGATGGCAAGGTGGCTGTGGCGCCGACGGGCAAGATTCTCGCGCCACTCACGAGCACCAGATTCGCGACGGTATCGTTGCACCTCTGGTTTCTGTTTACGAACAAGAGACGTAGCTCTGTAATTCTCTCTGTTTTTAGGTTTCCTGTGGTACTCGCGTTGCGACTGTTTCTTTCTTTGTCGAAAGTCGTGGTCGTTCTTATAGCGCCATCTGGCATAGGCTAAGCGATCTTGTTGATCAGGGGCCGCCAAAAGTTTTTGGTCGCATCTATTATCTTAACTATTATTGTCTTAACTGGTCGAGTAAGCTACGCGGCGCAATGACCAGAGAGAGTGTGCTATTCCTATGCATGGCGGCGATTGAATAAAGCGTGATGCCAGAGAGGAAAGGGCGAGCATGGTGCTAAAGGTCTGCAATGGTTAGGTATGTCTAGAGAAAGGAAGGAGCGATGAAACTTGGCATTGCTGTCAGGCTGCCAAGAACAAGATCATGATGGTGGCCCTGTGCCGTCTCTTGTTCCTGTCAAAAGTCAACGGGCCGACACTTTAAAACTTGCATGGTGGAGTCTGGTCTGGAAAGCTTGTTGCGACTGTTTGCTGTTTCGCTTATCTTCATGTTTGCTGCGACGAACATCTGTTCAACCTCGTCGTCGCTTTGGAAGTGCTGGAGATGCTAGCCTCGGCACAGGCGAATGCGGCAGGTGCTAGGCTGCAAGCGGAAGCGCTCCTGCCTCCTTCGCGGATCCCTGTACAGGACGCGGATACAGGCAGAGAGGGAGGGAAATGGTCTGACTGGCTTGAACCTTGAGCCTCTGCTGAGATAGTCTACCAGCTGCCTCTGTTGCTCCTGCTGCCCGACTACGACGACTTGTCGACTCGAGGCTGCTTCTGTGCCAAAGCTGAAACGTTTCATGGCACATTCCTGAGCCCCCTCGTCTTATCAGCATCAATATCGCGACTGCTGTTGCTGTGCCTGTATGTAGGTACCTTCCTCTTGTCCATCAGCTCATGCGTGTAGTACGAAGCTTCCCAAAGTCGCGACTGCCTCGTAGGCGTGCCACCCTCTTCTCTTGTATTCTCGCTTTTGCTGACACGCCCTTCTTCTCGCAGATTGCCATCGCTTGAACATCGACCTTCCTGCCATGCGTCTTCTTACCATTGTCGCATCGCTGGCGGCAGCTGCTTCTGCCCAACAGCTTCTCGTATATGGCGATTCCGCCCTCCCTTCGTGCGCTGAGCAATGTACAATCCTCCAGAGTGCCCAAACAGGCTGTATCCCCCCGGCGGCACCAGTCACCGACGCAACCATCTACGAATCGTGTTTCTGCCAGTCTGGATACCTCACCACCCTCAAAGCTGCAGGCTCGACCATCTGCTCAGACGTCTGTGACGCCAGCGATGTGGCCAAGATTGCATCCTGGTACCAGTCCAACTGTGCCGACAACGGTGTAGCTGCTGCCGCCAAAGTCAGCGCTGGCACTACGACAGACCCGACTAGCACCACGCCTGCTTCGACTGTTGCTTCATCACAATCCACATCTACCTCGACCAGCTCCACCAGCTCGCAAGGCACAAGCTCGTCTCAGAATGCAGACCCTCATCACGATTGGTAAGTCGACAAGTCACTCCCCAACTACTCACACTAACTCAGTCCAGGTNGGACAGATCATTGGAAGTGGATCGTCATGCTCATTGTCGTCTTTGTCGGGCTGGCCATCCTGACCGTCATCCTCGTCCTCCTACGCCGCCGCTACCGCCGTCGTCAAGATGTTGCAAACGCTCCTTTCAATTCGGGCATCACCCGAAATTCCCTCCCTGCCCTTTCCGTTACACCACCCACACTCGGCAAGGCTTCCAGCAATCAAGCCAGCAGGACGAGTCTACCAAGAGTCAGGGAAAAGGACAGAATGACTGTCACAGATGTGCCCGTTCCTCCCTTGCCTGTATCTCATGATTTTGCTACAAAGGAACGAGGAAGCACTCCGGATATTGAGTACGGACGCGCCAGATGAGCGACCAACACATGCTCTGACTTTCTACTTTTCATTGATACCCACCACATAGTTCTAATCGAATCTGGAGTTTTTGTGTTTTCTTTATGCCGACTTCGACATTCGATAATTCTATGCTCAGTTTGTGCACGTACTGAAGCCTGCATTATTCCGGATAAGCTTTGATATCCATCTACCACCCAAGGAAAGCTTCACCACCACCTCCGAGAAACCCTCATGCAACTTCTACTCTGATTGTTCTCATGCTTTCCCCTTCAATGACAGCACAGGATGCCTCTCAAAGCACACGACAACACCTGCAAAGACATTCCATAAGACATTCACGACGGCGGGGATGCACAATGCCAAGCCTTGATATATTACACCCATGGCACGAGCCAATGTAGAAAGCAAGAAAATTTCAATTCCACTGCTTCAAGGCCATATCTTACCGGAACTCGCCAAGGACCGTTACACCTGCAAAGAGAAGGAGGTCCTATTCGTTCCAGGTCAGGGTCATGCCTGACTTGCAAATCCGCAACGAAAGGGTCGCCTGCCTACTGTACCTCGATTGTGTGTATTCTGAATACCGCCCGGCCGCTCGTCCAGCCTTCTCACCAGGCTCTGCTTCAAACGATGTGGTCATTCCAGATGACGATCCATCAGGCTCGGTCCTAAATCCTGTGGTCATTCAGGATGATGAACCCCTGAATCCTCATCTAACATCACAAACTCCAACGCCGATGTCAGAGAACCTGGCAGATGCTGGGCAGGATCAATCTCCAGCATTGGAACTCGAAGATTCTTCTTCAGACTCAGACTCAGACTCGGACTCGGACTCGGACTCAGTTTCAGCGTCGTCTCAATCATCTCGTCCATCATCGAGTTCAGGTTCATCTGTGGCATCTGGTATATTCTCGATCACATCTTCAGACTCGACACTTGACCAACCTTTGACAACTGATCCTCCATCAATTCCGGAAACATCGTCGAATCCTGAAGCATCCTCCACGCCTGGACTATCATCGACGCTTGATCAACCATCAACACCCCAACCGTCATCGTCTTCTAACCTCTCATCGGCTCCTCGTTCATCAACAAGATCTCGATTCACTCCAGCCTCTGATTTCTCCCCTCCAACGACACCAATATCCGAATTTTCTCCTCTCCTCCACACGCAGGTTTCAGATGGCAAACTCCTCGTCCAAGACCAATATCGCCTCCACGGCGTGACGACAGCTGTCAACCGGCACCAGCTAACATATGGAACAATACTGTCTGTTCCAGATGTAAGCAAAGAGGTCATGTTGCCTCAGCTCACTGCGATAATTGCGAGTCGACCAGCCATCATGCCTCTGATCACTGTCTTATGTGCGATCAACTCGGCCATAGTCACCGCGATCACTGCAGTCTATGCCGTCGTGTCGGCCTCTGTACCCCATAGTACTGTGTCCGTGGCCGTTGCAAACAGTGTGGTGAGACTGGCCATTATGATTTTCAGCACTGTACTCGATGTTTGGTGCTGGGTCATGCGCATTATCATCATTGTGATGTGTGCGACGTAGTCAACTGCAAGACGGAGAACCACTGTTACGTGTGCGCGGAACTTGGTCACACCTCTAGTGATCACTGCGAAGATTGTGGAGAGTTTGGCCACAAAAGCAATGATCACTGCCGGAATTGTCTAGAGGTTGGCCATTACTGGGAGGGGTGTTCCAAGCAATCCCGACGCATTCCTTGTTGGATCTGTGGCAGCCAAGAACATCTTAGGGATACATGTCCCGATCTAAAGCAGAACAAGCTGTNNAAAGATTGGGCATTCAAAAGGCTGCAAAGATCGCGCTCTACCAAGCCCTACTGCGACTGTTGTTTCGCAGTGCGGCAGCTGGGAAAAACCCCTTTCCAGAAGCACAAACTTTCAGAATGCCCAGTGCTGACTCACAAGATTGCTTGCTTGAAAAAAGACCACGAGAACCAGGAGTGCCGGGAATGGGTTCAGAGGGACTGCCAGAATGCACCTAGTCAGGTCACTCCTGCTGAGTTCTTGCCAAACGGCGGCTTGAGAAGATTCATGAAAGTTAAAGAGAAGAAAGATGCTCCGGGATCCATACCTCCGAGTGTCTTCACAGTTATGTCTGTGTCCACGCAAACCACCTTTCCTGAAATTCGTGTTGGCCGTCAGTCACATCATCATGAAGAGCTCGAGTCTAACGAGAAATCATCTGTCGAGGGAAAGGCAAAGACAATGGAAGTACGTGAGTATGACACGCAGTACCGTGAAGCCAAACGCGGAGACGACTCGAGTACATCTTCCCGCAACGAGGCACCCAACAGAAGCTCTCGAGGAACACTTGACGAGGATCAGCGAACAGAAAGCAAAGACCATGAGCTGACCAGACTCGACAAAGAAGTCCAGTATCAATCCGATGTACAGAAGGCCGTGCAACAAACTATGCTCGAGACAGATGAGCAATCTGATGTCGAAGCCACGTCTTTGAACTCTGGAGACTGCCACTACAGTTACCCTCCCACAAGCCCATCCTGTGGAAACGATGTGCATACTGATATGGACGACCTGACTGACAATTCGTTAACCGATGACGATGGCTCAGAAGAGAATCTGCCCGAGGAGGCTGACATGCATGTTTTTCAGACCCCATGCCCTGACCCCCAGATTTCCGACAGCATGGAGATCGCGCAAGCAGACACTCAGCAGAATGATAGCTCATCAAGGGGCCAGGAGGTTAGGAGAGAGACTTCGATCGAGTACTTTGACGAACCGTTCGTTCTCGAATCACCTCATGTTTCTTCTGATCGCAGCCGCAGCCCGTCTGTGACAAGGATCTTGAGCTATGCTCTGGACATCCAGATGGCCTCTTATGATGTTTTTGTCACACCTGCGCCGACGGAGACTGCTATCTGCAGCACTGCCGAATGTCCGAATTCATCGTCGAGCAATGATGCCATGTACACTCCCTGTCCCGATGGCAGAAACTTGATCGCGCACGAACGGCAATCAGGCCTTATGGGAGGAAACCCCACACGAAAGAGAAAGCCCAAGCCACGCAAAGCGCACGCCAACAAGAAGCAAAAGGCTGATACAGACCCGGAAAATTCCAATGCAGTCACTACTGATGGGACCATGCAAGACCACGCCGTCATCGAAAGGAGTCAAGGTATCTCGTTAGCAGAAGGACTCGATATCTCTTGGAGAGATCTCTGCTACACGGTGATGCTCGAAGCACCAAACCACTCCTCCAACTTCAAACAACTCTGCAACCTGATCCGGAACTGGTTGCACAATACATTCCCATCAATCGACTTCGACATCAACTAACAGGATATGATGGACAATCTTCAGGCTGTCGTGGCGAACAGTTCCAACTTGGAGATACGCGAACCTGGTCAAACGAGACAGAAGAAGAATCCTATCCAAGTCTCCATCCGCGAAGATGCCATCAGAAAGATCAAGATTGTGGTCTCCTGCTTCAGAGCAAAACTCGCAAGACCCGAATACCACCACAAAATGGCAATCTATCTCCTGCCCAAATCAAAACTTCGTCCCGAGATATCCTTCGAAAACCTCATCGGCATGGCTTTACACACACTGAAAAACAAATACGTCGAGGAAATGGAAATCGTGACCTGGATTGCAGAAGCGGTGGCTGGCTACCAAACAGTCCGAACCGACTTATTACACGGATCGCCAAAGTATTTCGACAAAGGAGATTGGGTCCTGCGATTCAGGAAAGAATTGCGCGCGTCTTCTTTCTTCAAGAAGAGAATCTCGGAGTCAGGGGATGAAGAGTGGAGGTTCCGCAAGGGCTGTGCGGAGTATTTTAAAGAGTGGGATGAGTCGTTGCATTGGCTGGCGTGATCTGTCTCTTTCTGGGAAGAAATGCTCAAAGCCGAAAATGATTTTCTGAGTTGATACAAGCACCTAATTGACAACGAGGCTAACCGACACGCAGGAAAATGGAGAAGTACTGGAGAAAGGGGTTATGAGAGTTGGATGGAGGATGTGCCTAGACTGAGATGAATAAAAGTTTTGTTTTGGAGTTGGTGGGAGTATCTTTGATTATTTATGTAGGTTATGTAGAAGATTCAACATCTTTAGAATAGACCATGTATAGATTTCAACATCTACCCAATGAGATTTCTTATAGATCTTTTGTGCCAGCAATACGTCTGAGGTTATTAGCGTACTTTAAACCTTTCTCTTCGCTATAAATTCACGATCTGGCTGTGAGTTTTAAAATATATCTCGCTGGAGACAAGCGCTATTTGCGGAGTCTACCTTCCACGGAGAGTCAAAGGTTTGTGATTGGTTGGATTTCTAGGCTGTCAAAACCGAGCACTATTCCTAAGCACCGAGCAGTTTGACATCAAAGGGTCGGATTTGTACTACCTTGCAATTTGCTTGAACCAGTTTTTGTTTCTTGTTTGTCTTACGGATGGAATGGTCTCACACTCAGCTAGTCAAGTTTGACTCAAGCGACTTCAAGGTAGTCCGGCGTCTTGCATCTGGACTTTCAGGCCAAATCTGGTTGGCCGAAAGCAACGATTCGAGAGAATTGCGCGTACTGAAAGTGCTACGCAAGGACGAAGACTACAACGATACCGCAAGACAGACCAGGGCTCGCAACTTTTCGAACTCACGCAAGCAGGCGGATTTCGTACTCGGTCTTGTGGATTGCTTCTGTACCGATCAGAGTGTCGTCTTAATCACGNAATTCATGCCGGGAGGCGATCTGGAGTCTTATATATTGCAAAACGGAAAACTCGGTGTCGTAGAAGCACAATTTTATGCTGCTGAGCTCTGCCACGCTCTGCAATTCGTACATCGTTGCGGAGTCATACATCGCAATCTCGGCTTGGAACACCTATTGCTTACTGCCAGCGGACACATCCGGCTCACGGGCTTCGGGACCTGCAAATGTGGCATGTCACATGCATCCAGAACGACCACGTTCTGCGGCAGTGGCCTCTCACTTGCGCCAGAGGTGCTCCTAGATCTTCCGTACGGCCGAGCAGTAGACTGGTGGGGGTACGGGGTATTACTATTCGAGATGCTAGAAGCTGCTCCACCTTTCCGTGGAGAGGACCAGGACATGGTTTTTGAAGAGATCTTGGATGATGACAAGCCTGAGTATCCACCAGATATGCCAGAAAGCAGCAAATCCATCTTGCGGCAGCTGCTGCTTCGTGAGCCGGATGCGCGCCTAGGTGCCGATCAGACTGATGCTGAAGCAGTCATGGCGCATACATTCTTTGCTGGAATTGTCTGGGAAGACATTGCATGTGAGCGAACGTTACCGCCGCGTCTGTCATATCATCATGAAGTTAAAGGGCAAATGACAGAATCATCCGTGTCGCTAGGAACAGGGGATGACCTTGGTCTATTTGGTAACTTTTGATGTATTTCTCGTCATTGCCACTATCACTAGCAAAGTTACTCTTGCGTACGAGCGCTGTTGCTAAGCAATGTTCATGAGAACCACCAAATATACACAAAAATCGTACAGATCAATCTGTAACGTAAGAGAGAAGACAAAAAAACATAAAATATACTCCGAGTGGCTATATACCTGTAAAATGAACTTCTAAAATCTTGACTTGTCTAGTCTAGTCTAGTCTAGTCATTCATGCATGCTTTCCCTTCTTATCGCACACCTTGTGGAAATCCTTATGCTTCTTTGCTCCCTTGCCGATGAAATCTCTGAATTCGTCAAAGGGACAACTCGCACCAGGTCCACTCTGACACTGCGGAATGGGTCTGGGCGCTGTGTTGGCGATGAACCTCACGTACTCTCCAGGCCCGGTGGTTCCGTCAGCATCGACGGCGCCACCGCGGTCACACGTCATCTTCTCCATGCCGACGTGGCCGAGGAAGGGGATGAGGTCTGACATGCGCCAGGCGCGGGTCCAATTGATGTGGTCAGTGGGAAACTGCTCTCCAGCATCGGATGACGAGTTGAAAAGCCCCAGAGCGGTGGCGATAAAAGGAGGGACTTCGCGGTGGGTGAAGGAGAGGAAGAAGCGCTGCTTGTCAGGCCAGCCACCGCTGGGCGTGTCGTGCTTGTCGATGTGGGCGAAGAGCTCTGACTGGGTTTCCAACCAAGGAAAGCCGAGGTAGGGGGACAAAGGGTTCAAGGGCCCAACCATGTAGGCGTACTTGAGGTCCCAGTGGTATTCGTAGGCCATCCATTCGGCGTCGGTGAAGACGGCGCACATGGGNGAGCGCTTTCCAAGGATGGCGCTTTCGTAGCCGCAGATGGATTGCATGCCCACTACATCCTTGGGACTGAGCTTGAAGGGTGCAAAAGGAGCAAGACGGGCAGATACGCTAGACCCGTACATGTTGATGAACTTGTGTTGCTCCTTGGTACCAGGCTTCTTGTTGAACTTGTCGCACAGCTTGTGCGGGACAAGCGACTCCATGGAACCGTTGTCATTGTCGAGGATACGCACGACCTCGATGTCCTCGTGGTGCGGGAAGCCTCTCGTGAAGTTTGTAGCCGTGTCGAAGGTTCTGCTCTTNTTGTCTGCCAATATCCTGGTCGTGTACTCAGCCAGATCCGGGTATCGGCCGACGAGATGTTTTCCGACTTTCTCGGCATCGCGTGCGCCCGAGGGTGTGAGTTCTTCGAGTTTGTCTTCGAGGATGGGCGATTGCCATTCACCCATGAATGCGAGNGGCCCTGACCAGCCGTCCCTGTGTTTCTCAAGTTTGACGAGGAACGGCTTGATGTATTCTTCGTATTCGTCATCGTTCNNTGGAAACACAACTGTCAGTCGTGTTGGATTCGCGGTTTTCGGGCAGGAACTTACAGCGTAGATGGCTCCGTGCCTCACGATATATGACGCTGCCGTAACGTTGCACCCAACAGGCGCCGTGTGCTCGAGTCCGAATCCAACTGCGTCAAAGTATGGCGACGTGCCTGGAAGATGGAGCAACGGGTCGAATTTGTATCCCTGCGAGTGGTCCTGCACTCCAATTGGCGTCTGTTGGTCCGATTGCGACGAGAACAGCGCAGGAAGCGCGAGAGCCGGCATAGCCAGCAATAATACGGCCAACATGATATACCAAACAAATAACACACGGGTCTCAAGAGTTCGGCAACGCCCTGTCGAGTACTTTGATGTCGTTCAGGTACATGACGTCAGCTGCAGGCACACAAAGTGACGTGCGAAATCTTGGAAAAGTCTAACGGTTCTCATCTAGATCGCATAGCATTAGAAGCTGCTTAACTCTTACTACAGTAAAGAGCACCTTTAGGAAACATAGAGATAAATATCCACTATCGATCTGCTAGAGTTTGCGCGAATGCGACAAGGCTACTATATCCAATTCCCTCTTGAATTCTATACTTGAAGAAGTTCAGATCAGCACAGTTCGTAGAAACAATTCCAGGCTTCATCTGCCACACCCAGGTCAAAAAGTGCATTGTTTGTATCTTGAGATGCTGTTGGTGGTCATGGGCGGCGTAAGTTGCTAAGGATGGACAGTATAAAGAAAGCCGTCTACAAGAAATTCGCCAGATCCGGCGTAGCCATTATACCTTTCTTTATTCATTAACCCACGGACACATTCAGTTCCTCTCACCATATCCTACACTTCAACTTCAGAACAAAATCTTGGCCAGCCTCTCTATCTAAGCCTCCCTTACCTACCGCAAAATGGCTATAACTCGCCTTCTATCCGCCTCCTTTCGACCCCTTCTCACCTTCCTATCCACCCACTTTCGCCCTCTGTTCATCTTCTGGATTACTTGTGTGGTTATTCTATCTCTATACCAAGCCTTGAACCCAACTTCTGCACATACTGTTGGTGTGCATATTGATCCTCTTGCGGCTTTGATGCAGGAATTCGCTTTTCAGATTTTTGTAAGTGTCAATCTTCTTGCCTAACCTGTTTTCCTTCATGTTTTGTTTCCCACTGGTCTGTGATGGTGATGACTAACGATAAATACAGACCCTCTTCCCCCTCTCTAGGCAAAATCCTGCTCAGCGTTTTTTACGCCGCACTCCAAACCCTAGGCATTGTTGCTGTGTTTATCGTTTTGTCTTTGATTTACCTGCCTCTGCGATTTGCCGTCTGGATGCTTTCGGTTTTGTATTATGATTTTGTGTTTGCGAAAGTTGAGAAGAGTCTTCCCTAATCAAGGAGGTAAACGAAAAAACAGTCCGGGGAGTTGGACAGAGACGCCTGAGAACTCGCCAAAGAAGGAAGGGTTTGAAGATGAAGAGAGGGAAGACAAGGAGATGCCAATGACGCCGAAGTCAATGCAGAGTGAGGGTGGAAGTGAGAGGGTTGATAGTGTTATGGGAGGAGACAGTGTTTCTAGTTCGAGGTTTTGTGGTGTGTCTCCGGAGTTTAGAACAACTTATACCAAGGAAGAGTGAGTGCTCTGGTGGTTGTAGGTGGGTGTGGGTCTTGCAGTAAGAGGTGCTATGTTTGACGACGGATTTTCTTGTCATTTTGTTTAGATGAGTAGGACAGGATGAGAAGCTTTCTGTGTACCATTCACCCTCGACCACGCGCTTTCTTCTTCAGCACCCATATCATTTTTGAACTCCTGAAGCATTCAATATTGCAAGCTCTCGGAATGTCGATCAGAAAACATTCGCTTCCATCAATCTATTCAACCCCTTCTCACTACAATCTACACAGATCAGAAAGGGAAAAGCAAGGAGAAAGAACGCGGTAGATCGTGCCTATGAGGGCGAGGCATTAAGAGTAGAGATCGGAAAGGAAGGAGGTGTATATCATAGAGGAAGCGATCTGAAGCAAAACCTTTACAGCAGCAAAATGCTCTGTCATGCCTCATAAAAAGGAAAGAAGGATGAAGAAAATGTCCCGATGTCGCAAACAAAAGACATCCATGTTTGTAACAAATGTATATCGAGAAAAGAAGAAGAAGAAAGACAAACACATCAAAAGAAGAAGAAAAGAAAAAAATCCCAACCTCAACATCACCACCTTCCCCTTCCAATCCCCTTCCACCACCACCCCATCACCCAGGCGACAAAGGCAACCTAACACCTGCACCCACAAACCAACCCCCAAACACCAGATACCAAACCCAACCCAACAACCCCCAGAGTATCCCAAACAACTGTCTAAGCACACTGCCAGCAACAAAGAAATATCTGTTCTCAGGTGCATACCCATTGGCATGTGCCCAGGAATATTCTCCAGAGGCGGCGGCTAGTAAAGAACCAATGTAAGACGCTAACACACAAAGAAGGATGAGGCGCCAGTATTGGAAAGCGTCGATGGCGATGTTGCGGCAGAAGGTGGTTAGGAGGGCGGGGATGTCGAGTTCAGGAGATGTGTTGGAAGAGGAAGTAGAAGAAGGTTTGGTGGTTGAAGGTGCGGTAACGACTTTGTAGTGCGAGAGGGCTTGGGGTGACATGTCTTTTGTTGGTACGCGAGGACGTTTGATGTTTAGAGTGTTGACTTTGGATGGTTTTCCTGGCTGAGAAGGTAAGGGATCGTTGACTGTGAGTTGCTCCTCGGTAATCTCATTCGATAATGGAGATTTGTTTGAGGCGGTTGGCTTGCTGGTGATGGGAGAGTTGGAAGCCGGACTTGGTGGAAGTGGGATACTGGAAGGAGAAGAGACTATTGGACTTGTCTGATTATTGATATTCGTGGTTGCAGGAACTGCAGTCTTTGGAGACGGAGCAATTGGGCTCGTCGAGACTCCACTGCTTGTCCCCGAGAATGTAAAAGACTGGAGAAGTGAAGCGACCTTAGTCTTAGAAGCAGCTACTGGACTCGTCTGAACTCCACTCGTCATTGCTTCAGAGAATGACTGTTGTTCCTTTGCAGCAGGAGTGATTGGGCTAGTCTGGACACCACTCGTCATGACTTCGGAGAGAGGCTCACGTTCTCTCGCAGCAGGAGCGACTGGACTTGTGTGAACTCCATTGCTCAGAAACTCGGCGAAAGATTTGCGAGGTACGGGACTTGTCTGAGCATTGACCATGGTAGGGGTGAATTTCTGAATCAAAGCGGCAATTGGGCTGGTTTGGACACCATTGCTGATGACTTGTGACAAGGTCTTCTTCGGCGATGCGATAGGGCTTGTTTGAGTTTCTGCGCTGGTTGTCTCCGTCACCTTTTGGGCCATTCAATGGGGCTGGTCTGTGTAGCATTGCTGGCATTCTGANGGAATTGGTTTGGGACTCATCTGAGTGCCAGCAGAAACCATCTCCACAGGCTTTTTGACCGAAGGATGGATAGCGACAGACTTTACTTCCGACATTCCAAGCGTTTGTTGGAGCTTCTTCTTTGCAGGTCTCTCAGACATGATACTTCGGATGCTGCGATCGTCAGATGCATATCCTCCATCTTCAGAGTCATAGCCATCATCGCTGAGAGCTTCGAACTCATCGGCGAGGTTCATGCCACTGATTGAAGCGCGCTTGTTCTTCTTGGAAGGGATACGACCATCAGCCTGCATAGCAGACCACTTCTCCATAAACTCATAGAGCACATCATCGAGCTCTTCAGCAGGAAGATCCTTGCTGATAGTGATGTGACGTTCAAAGATGTTGAGTTTCTCATGCAAGGTGTCGAGTTCTTCATCCTTGGTCTCCAGCTCTTGCCTCAAGTCTGCGATATCACCTTCCAAACCCTTGGTCTCTGTAATCTTGTCATCGCGTTCTGTTCTCGTCAAGTCCAACTCTGCAGTGAAATTGCGGACTTCAGCTTCCCTGTCTTCAATAGCCTTTTCCAACTCTGGAAGGTTTCTGAGTTCCTTTTCATTGGCCTTGACAATATCTTCGAAGTGCGAAGATTGACGACGTAATTTTTGTTTTCCTGTTGCGTTTCTTCGTGTTCTCTTNTTATGAGATTCGATGTGTGTTTTCAATCTTGTGATGATCAGGTCTTTNTGCTCGAGTTGTTCTGTCTGGTTTTCGACTTGAGTTTGCAGTTCTTGGTTCGATCTTTCATAGAAGGCGAAACTGTCGTCTCGCTGAGCGAGTTTTTCTTTGAGATCTTTGATTTTGTCCTTGAGGTCCTCGATCTCTTGTTGCAAGTGTGATTGTGGGTCGACCGAGGCGGGAGATGCGGGTTCGCTCGACATGGTTGGATTAACGGTGTGATGTTTGCTTCTGGCAAGGTGAATTCGCAAAGAGTGGTCTGGTCATCATGGTGAAGAAAGTTGATTGTTGTGAACTGACAAAGAATTCAACCGCCGCATTTGGAAGTGCTGGAAGCGACGGAGAAGTGAAAGTTGCAGATGTTCAAGGTGCAATCATGGCCGGAAATGGAAATTTGACAAGATTGTTTCACTTGTTGATCTGTTTGTTCAGACATTAGTAGCACGTTCAGCAAACACTTCTGATTGGTGCTTCAAGCTCAAATGGCTTCTTTGTCTCGGGAGTGTAGAAATTCTTGCTGTGTTGCATCAAGGTATCTTGCGAAATGGATTGACAAGGATTACAGGCGAGAGTCGCGTACCCAAGCGTGGTGATAAAGACCCAACACCTCCTTCTTAGCTAACCCGACCAATGTGTGGTAATAAGAAGTGATGCAGATGAATCGGCAAAGGAAAACAAAATATTATGAAATGGTCAGAGATGCAAAAATAAAGCGATAGAAACCCAAATGCACGCCTTCTTCCTTCAATCACGCAGAGGCCAGTCGACATTCTTGGTACGCTTGGCAGGCGACCTGCTTCTGCTGGGGTTGGCCTTTCTCTTTGTACCTTGAGACTCATGCTTTTCAAGGACATGGAATATTTGATCGGCGTCCAAGACTTCCTCGTCGGGAATTTCAGGCAGTTTCCAGGGGTCATAGGGAGTGACGGGTTGTTCAGGGTAGAGAGACTTNTTCATGTTTCCGAGAATTTTCTTGAGCGTGTAGAAGGAGCCACCTTGGAGTGCGTCCCTTGCTTCTCTGCCTNNGTAGAAAATGAATCAGTTGGGAGTTGCGAAAAGAACAAGATGTTGTGACTTGCCACGAGCAAGATCAGCTGTTATCTGTCTGCTCAGGATTTGCTCCATGTGAGGAGTCTCGCCGTAAGGGAAGCGGGCAGCCTCCTTGCGATGCCAGACCTCTGGGTGGGGCAATTCAGGTAGCGTGGGACGGACAGGGGCGGCCGCAGCAGGAGCAGCAGCAGGAGTGGGAGGAGCCGTAACAGCAGCAGCGGCACCGGCAGCAGGAGAAACCTTTGCAGGTTTAGGAGGGATCTTNCCTTGTACTGGCTAGGACGGCAGCATTAGCCTTCTCGACTTGGTTTTCGCAATGCGCTCTCTGTCTCGAGCTTGCATGACTTGATTCTTGGGGTGCTCGGGTCTGCCAATTGTAGTGCCATCCGGGTGGAGACGCCACTGCTCGCCTTTTCTGGGCTTGATGGGTTTGTACATGGAAGTGCTGTCTGGGAACTGGTCGTGAGTGAACCACTGTTCAGCACCCTCCTCGATGCGCTGCTCATGGACCCGAATCATGTAGCGAACTCTGCGGCCGAGCATCTCAGGGTCGTCCTCACCGTCTGCGATGACACCGTCCATGCCGGGGTAGTTGTCATCCAGGTACTTCTTCAATCTGCCCAGCTTTTCCTCAAAGTCCTCGAGGTTTTCGACACCTTCATCAGACAGGAAGTTGATGGCTTGACGCAACTTTTGCTTGATATCGACAGGAGCGGGCACCTTTTCGCCGTAGCGATTGCGAACAGCAGGCTTGTCGGTGACTGTCATGGGTTCTGGCTTTGGAGGGAAGGGGTCCATTTTGTGTTCGGGCGGGGAGAGTCTTTGATCAGACGCTTGGCTGGCGAGACGGTGCGGGTACGTCGAGTGGCAGTCTTTGGCTTGTCGGTAGTAGGTGGTGGAGGCTGAGGGCGGCCACGGGGGCGTGCTGGAGAGCGCNGACTTGTTGGGGGAAGTGGTGGGCATTGAGGGAGCTTCTTCAGGCGCCATGGGCTGTGGCTGTCTCGAGGCGGAGCGAGTGGAGCGTCTGGTAGTCGAGGGCTCTCTACGAGTGTTGGTAGGAACAGGGTGTTTGCCGAGCTTGGTGCCTTTGCCGTGAATCTCGTCGAATCGCTGCTTTCCAGTCAAAGGCTTGGATACAACGGCTGGAAGAGTTTCTGTATCCGTCTCGGTCTCGCTGCCAGAAGCGAAGCCGCTGAAGGATGATTTCTTCTTGGGCGCCATGATTGATGTGTTTTGAGCTGACTGCGAGTGTGAGTGAGAGTCAATTCAGACCGGGCGCAAGACAAGACAAGTCCAGCGTGTCTGCGACAGTCTTGGAAGTCGTCGAAAGAAGGGGAAGGTGCAATTGTTGACTGTTCTTTCCTCAGCTGAGATGAGCCTGCATTCCTTACCTGAGGATGCGTGCCTCTGCTGCATTCCACGCAGAGAAACAGCAAACAACCGCCATGGAGACTGCTGGAACAATCGCTCAGTCTGCAGGTACGGCCCCAATTGTCTGGGCCTAGAGAAGATGTTCCAGCGAGGGTAATTACCTGTCTAGTCATGTTTTGTGCTCGATGCGCTCCTGCCTTTGCGACATGAATTGTGCCATGTCTCCGAGCTCATGCAGCTGGGCTACTAGGGGCTCTCCAGCATGTTGAATCTGGAGAATGAAAAGACCATGCAGCTTTGAGAAACTGTCGATAGTCCTGGCGCCTTGAGATGGCATGTTCGCTCGTCCTTGTTGGTGTGCGCACTCGCGAGAGCGCACCAGGAAGGAGCAGAAGAGCGACGCCGCATTTCGGTCTTGGCGCTCGAGCTTGACTTTTCGCTGTTCGCCCAAGCTCCAACTCTACACCATCGTCAACCATTCCTGATCGTCTTGCGCATCTGAATTGACTTGGAAAATCAGCTGAGAATTGGTTGCTATCATAGTGCGACTCCGCTGTCCTCAATTTCTGGCCTGTGATCAATCCACCTTGATGGCGTTGATGTTTCCGTAGGCTATTCACAAACTGCTGACGAACAAGCATGGCTACGCAGTATCGTAAGATGCGCATGTTTCGTATGTCGTTATCGATGGAGGCCAATAGGCAACCACCACCTGTTCCAAGGTAGATGGTAGCTCTGAGTTTGTATTCTTCAAATATGCGCATACTCGATGCATGCTTACGACTACTTATGATGTTGAGTATAAACATCAACCTGCCTTCTTTATGAATCTTATCCGAACCTGCTTCCCGACATGTTGTACCAACCATCCAAGATGCTTCCACAGACCATTCTCTTCTTCTCTGTCATTGTCTCGAGATGCACTGCTCATGTCGTCTCTCCTCACAACCGCCATGGCCTGGCTCTCCATGACAGTAATACCAACACGGTCACCTCCACCGACCTGTCAACCGAAATCGAGACCATGCATGAGACCGTAACCCTATCTACTACTTCCCTCCAGACGGCCAGCGAAACAGACCGAACCACCGTCACAAGCGGAGACTCAAAGAGCCACACTCAAGTCGTCACCCACTCCAGCGCACCCACCACAACAGTCACCAAAAACTCAGTCTCAACCATCAACATCGATCAAACCTATCGCACCCTAACAGAAAAGGAAACAGTGACAGAACTCTCAGTCTCGACAGCTACAGCACAGCCTCCACAGACCAAGACCAAGACCGAGATTGAAGAAGTCACTGCGCCGAAAGCCACTTGCTGTAACTTCTCAGGCGTTCAGATTGAGGGTCCGTACCCAACACACCTCGCTGACAGTCCTATCGACCTTACTTGTCTGCATCCACGATGGGTAAATTCCTTCCTCACATATCATCCTTCTCATCACACCATCTACTAACCTTTTCCGCCTATGAAACAGAGAGCATCCTTCCGCCGGCACATCGACCCAACCTACAACAACAGTCGTTTCTGCGCCGCTGGTACACCCATGCTGCACGATTTTTGGATGAAAGTGTTTAATGGCGCCTGCTACCGTGGCGAAATCCCAGAAAAGGATATCTACGAGATCTATCAGGAGGAGGGCAATGAAATGCATATCAAGTGTTTCTCGGGTTTCATGGAGACTCTGTGTGGGTTCCATATCATTACTAATACGGGCCATGAGATTGATAAGATTTGTGGTAAGGATTGGTGAGGGGATGGAGGGGAAATGTTGGGGGTTGTGAGAGGATGGTATTGTTTGAGGTGGGAGTGGTAGGTACCTCAATTCAGAATGCAGAGAGTATCCAATGTACAGCACTGATCCATTGAGAAACTTGAAAGGTCCACGGCTTCTCCCCTCCCTCTCTCTGCTTCTGAAGTTTCTGAAATGTCATTGACCGCTTTCTTGATAACGATAGTCGTCAAGAAGGTCGCATCTCGTCATTGAGATGTCGTGCAGTAAACATCGGGGTGCAGGGTCACGGTGGCGCAAAAGTGCCGTGATGTATACCACGCAGGCAAGTGAATGTATCAGCACAAGGTGGTATTCTGACCATCGAGCCGCGGCTGCACGACAACGTTCTTCTGACCGTTCCAAGCAGGTACCTGTCAGCCCTTCACTTGTCAGCCCTCATGGACGATGTGAACCAAGGCTTCTCACAAGATGCGTGGGAAACTGCGTTGCTGCGTAGAAAATGGCACGATGAAAGCTGCACAACGCCAAGGCTGATAGATTGAATCAGGCACGAGCCAATCGCCAAATGTTTTCTTCTCGACGCGAATTGAGGACGACCTAAACCTTGCAACACCAACAGGCAGCGGCGTCCCATCCGCCATTGACCGTCATGGACGACACCAACAACACGTCAAGTCCTGGAAACGCTGGTCTGCAGCGGCGGCCTTCACTATCTCAGCTCTCGGATAACCAATTGCTTGCCGTCTTCGATTCTGGCTTTGGTCCTTCCAAGCTCAACACGATTGGATACGACGAATGTGCAAACTATTATTCAGACGACTCGGATGATTTCGATGCCACTTCGACCACCGACGACGCCAACCCTCCTGAGAAACCCCTTGCTCCCTGCGATCGCGAGGATTGCGTAGCGAAACTCGCTCAACAAATGTCTCGTATCACCATCCTCGAAGGCTTCATGCAGCTCAGAGCACGCAACAACACCAGAGACCAATCGCCCGATACCCCAGTCAAAGAAGAGCCCAGCCCGCATCACCCAAACTGCATACATTCCCAAATCAAAATCCTCGAACAAAGGAAAAAGGAGATGCGAGAATTGCTCGACGAGGCCATGCGCGGGAGAAAAGAGATGGGCAAGCGCGAGGCAGAAATGGATGAAAGAATGCTCGACGTCGCCAAGATGCTGGACTCGGTTCAAGAAAAAGAGACTCAGATCGGTGCTACTCACCACGCCATCACTGTCAGAATGGATGCCCTGGACGAAAAACTCGAGCTGGTCAAAAGGAAGAATCCGCACTCGTGGACCGCAAAAAGACCTCAAAGTCCGAGAGCAGGTCATCGAAGAGCACACCAAAAACTCGAAACCAGCCAGGAAACATTCNAAAAGCAATCCGCCATGTTGACCAATATGTTGCGTCAACAGCACGATGTCAAGTCGAAGCTTGATGTAGCCAAGGATGCTCTTGATGCGCATGAACATTCCGTGCTGCAGAGGGAGGCTGCTGTCACCAAACGAGAATACATCCTAGTGCAAAGAGAAAAGGCGTTGCTTGCCCACGAACAAGCCGTTCACAGATACGTAGCGCAACACCGCCAGAGCGAAGAAGAATTCAAACAGCGGATGCAAGAGTTGATGCAAGAATCGTTGCAGAACACTGTGAGAGATCTGCCTTCGGAGGAAAACAAACATGTTTCCGAGGCCGCTGAAGAGGTACATTTCATTCACACAGCTCAAAAGCGACATATATTGACCAAGTTGCAGGAACCTGTGCAAGAGGAAGTCACGTCAGCTTCGCATGCCCCTGAGGCGACCATCTCTCCACAGCCCTCTTCATACACTGAAGCACCTATCCCGAGCTCAATGATACCTCCAGTCAGACAGCGTAGAGAGTTGTACGGCAGGCCTGACTCTCGCTTGACCAGACGCATTCGATGAGAAGCATTGCTGCATATGGAAGCAGACTTCAACCGCCATCTTCTCTGCTACATAGCAAGAAGGAGTTCTGAAATGCGTAGATAGATAAGAGCTAACAGATATACAATTCTCACTGCCATAGCCTACGGCACGACTTGATTCCACCTCAGTACGCAGATCAAATTTTTACAAATCATGTATCTTTGTAGTTTCCTTGTCTGTAGACATAAACAGGCAAAGAATAGTGTAGAAATGACTGGGCTCATCGTTGTGGCAGTTGTCCAGGAACGTCGAGCTTTATAGTTGTAATTAATGTCCTTCATTCCATCAAGTTGGTTCTGTGGTGTAGTTGGTTATCACTTCTGTCTAACACACAGGCGGTCCCCGGTTCGAACCCGGGCGGAATCATTGCTTTTGCTGTTTTCTGGCATTGTTTTGCATGTCTAAGAAGTGTGGTGGTAGCGGTCGTGGTGTTGCAAACTTTTGTGTATTTTTCTTCGTTGCGAAGCCTTCATCCGCATCGATCTATACCACCATTCTCCTGCTCCCGATTGATTTCAGAGAAACCAGTAGACCTCATCTTTTTTCCATTAAGGCTGGGTGGACATGGAACGGAGTTTGCATAATATCTGGCTGTTGATCGTTCAAAGCCAATTGATTCTTGCAATCTCGAGAAGAAAGAAGAAATTGTAGAAGTTACCAAAACAAAGAACTCATCGTTTATTCATGATAATTATATTATTTCTCCATGTAAAAGAAAAACCATTAATCATAAGTCATCAGACACCTACCTTGACAGTCCAGACCAGCTAAGCTGTCTTTCAGGTTTCTTACCCTCTTATTAGTTCCAACCCTGAGAATTGATCTTTAAATACTGCTCCATCTGAGGAACACCAACATCATGCTGCATCTGAATAGCAGTAACATTAGCAAACGTCGGCATACCCCCAGCCATACCAAACCTCTTCACCAAATATCCAGTCTTTTCATCTACCCAATTACGCAACATACGTGTGGTTTCGTCTATCGCAAGTTTACCGCAGTAACATCTTTTGGTGTCTATTTCTTCGGCCGTGGTTTTGGGATCTAGGTGCGAACACACGCATGGGTGGGGATTATCCCAGTGTTGGGCTTCGTGGTTGTGCATGTCTTTNTTCACTTTTGTGCAGAAAGAGCAGGTCGGACAGCCGATACAGTCGAGATCGTGTTTGGGGTCTTTTTTGTAGATGGAGGGACGGCGGGGTGATTGCTGTGGTGGCATGTTGGAAGCGTGGTACTCACCTTTGTAGCTGTTCATTGCCCAGGGTGTGAATGAAGTGTAGGATTGGTGGATGCGTGAGCCGTCGAATACAATGTCGGTGGCAATCTCTGCATCATTAAGAGTTGTGTTGTCGGTGCCAGACACGAGTTGATCAAAAGCCTGCTCGCGAGTGGTCCATTGAACGACACGGAAGCGATATCCAACAGAAGTAAACATCTCAGTCGTGTCGTAGATGAATTGATTAGGCATGGGATCACCTCTCAAAACCCAGTTCTCAAGAACTATCTGAACTTGACCAGCAAGATCAGGTCGAGTCTGCATGCGTGCCAGAAAGAGGATGTGGTTGGCTAGCTGGATCATGTCAGTAAATTGGCGACGCTCGATCAACGAATAAGAAGTAGTATATGTCTCCAGGACTGGTGGGTTGAGAGCAGTGCATCCAGTCATGAACTGAGTCATCTCCAGGATGTGCTCATGAGCGGCGAAATCGTAGCTAGTCATTCTGTTCTGGTATAGGAGATGGGTTATCGTCACGAATTACGCGGATCGCCAGGATGGGAGAAGAAAGACGAGTTCGAGGGCTGGATGGCTTATGTATTGAACAGACCGATGACTGGCAGAAAACAAAGAACTTTGTTGGCTTGAATCATTGTCTTGGTTGACAATGCCACAATGGCTGCTGTCTCGGATGGCTTTGTGATGCTTTGTCTCTAATGCTTTGTTGCTTTGTCTTCGTCCAGTCATCCACTATCCTCTTGGATTAGCATCCTTTGCACGGCGATATCGCAATGTAGTGTTTCCACTTGGAGAAACATGCCTACTCATCCGTTCTAAAAGTCTGGAGACACTATCTTTGGTAGGATTTCGAGGGGTCGCCCTTTTCTGGCCTCTTTTTACAATATCTAGTTAAACAATGTATAAATTAAAAGTGTTTGGCTAGTTATAGATATGCTAATTGAATAGTTAATCGATTTTGAAAGAAGATAAACCCTGTTGTTATAGTAAGGCAACAAAAGATAAAAACTGCTTGTACTAGATGTTTCCATCTGTCCCACCAAAAAGTTATAATAGTAACCATGTTCAAACGTATATAGAACTAGCACCATGAGGTCGAATACCTAGAAAACAACACAATATGTAGAGCATATATTGAATACCATCAGTTTATAGTTTCGGAAAATTCTGTACATTGGAAAACTTGTAATTCTATATTGTGGTCGAAATCACGCCCAACAAGCAGCGTCTCCAGACTTTCGGAAAAGATGGGTAGTTAGTCAAACAGCTGATTACGAGTAGTACACAGCAACTGTCATGGTTCGATCATGCTGTCTCCGATTGCATATGTGAATAGTCAAAGAGTGTATGTACCTTCGACTTTCAACAGACCTAGAAAAGCTCCGAGACTGCTCTTCTAAAGTTCTTATAGTCCTCGGGGATTACTCGCAATGCTCCATGAATTCGGCAGCGAGCAATGACAAATTTGTGCAGATCTCAGAAACATTGTGGCTGTCTGAAGGAGAGCTGTTATAGTAGATCTGGAGGAGAAGCTAGAGCAGCACAGTTGGATTTCCGGTAGTACATTCCAACTTCACTCCCCAGGTCCACACAAGGCGGATTTTGAGATGTAGGACAAAAACGTCGACTTCTGTAGGCAGGAGTTGATACAACGATTGTATGTCTGAGCGGGATCCAATACCATCCGTGTCAGTGGTGCTGTCCATCTCGTGCCAGATTGCCGCCAGCAATTGCGAGTTTACGTGAGCCTCAAAAAGATAAGGGAGCTTCGCTTCGTGCTGAGCTTTGAGATGCGGTTCTTTCAGAGGATCAGTCGTTGGCGTATTCTTGTGCCGTTGCAGGGGGGAGAGTCGGTACTTGAATTGGATGTGCAGAAAACATAAAGTCAAGAAGTTTGAGGCAAACGATAAATCATGAGAGACAGTCGTGCTTGCTGGTATCGGGTGCCTGCCGAGAGTCGCTGCGTCAAAATCTTGAACTCGTTGCCAGCCTCGTCAATGTGAACCCATTAATGTGTTTTTGTGAGCATTTTCTGACTCTATTCGTTTGTCCTCGTCTGTACACGACTCGGTTTGTTTATTAGAATTCCATCACAGGTATCTTGGCTTTACTCAACCGCCGCTCTCATCCTCATTCCGTCCTGATCGCGATTGATGTCCCTTATGATTAACACTTCAACACGGCCACTCCAACTTTTTGTCACTAAGGAGCTTCACTCGTCGGTCCTCGTCTTGGTCGCAGTACTCATAGCTTCCGTAGCTGATGAATGGTCATCTCCAACAACTCTCCTGTCCACCAGACGGACATGGAGTATTGACGCTTCAACCAGCCTCAGACTGTCAATCTGAGAAAGACCAAGGCAGGCATTGACGTTCGCACCACCACCAGTGCTGCACCACATCACCAAAGGTACGCCAGTTCTCCGAAGGACCGAAGCTCTTCCTTGATGCCACCTTTGAAGGTCATTACGACGTCTTGCATCTCTGCGATGGCGTCCTTCGCGGCGCACGCTTCCGAGATCCGATCTTAGACCTTCGTCTCCACAAACACATACTTGTGTCTCTGTGAGTTGCTTTTTAGTGTTGCAATCGCACGATCAGGTCACTGACCAAGAGATATAGGACCACATTTCTCTTGCTGCAGGTCTCAGATTCGTCCTCTCGCGCCGTGGCAGAGGCTCTCATAGCTCAGAGCCTTCTTGTGCTGCGGCGAGGAAGAAAAGGAACGCGGTCCAATAGCCATTGTAAGTTACACGCTGCTGTTGACATCAACTTACTTGACTGACGCATTCGCGAAACAGGGCGCACCCACCAACTTCCAGAAGCTTGAAGTCCAACTTCCTGGTCTCTCCGAGCACTAGTTAGTTTCACCTGTCCTGCCATCTAAACAAAGACTTGCCTGCTGACTTCGGCTGCCCTAGGCGCACTTTGATCAACAACAGACCTGTTCCTATCACTTACCCTCTGAACTCTGGTGAAGCTCAGCATGCCGCTCACCTGGACCGTATCAAGGCCCACACCAGAGCACTCAACGAATCAATCATATCAGTCACCATCACACAAGTCAGCCACCGTAGCGCGATGTCAAGCCTTGGTCAGGCACCTGTCAGGAATCGATATGTCAACACTCCCCACAATGGGCTGGCGCGACTGTTTAGCGGCACAAGCGATACCCAGAAGAAGACATTCACAGCCGAGATTGACGTGGAAAAGCTGGTGAAAAAGACAATGATTGTGACAGAAGCTTCGCTCTCGTGAAGTGAAGTTTTGACATAGCAGCATGAGACACAAAAACAGAGGCTGCAGGTGTGGAAGACGAACAGCTCTGGAAGCGAATCAGATTCAGAGTTTAAGAAGAAGACGAAGGAAAAAAGAGCAGACAGACGTTTTGCAGAGCATGCCTCAACACCAGCAACAAGTCAGTCACCGCAGCGCAACATCAAGCATCGATCAGGTACCTCACAACAGCTGGGAGGCCAACACTTCCCAGAAGATATTGGCTGCTACTGTTTGGCGGCGCAAGTTGCACCACAGAACAAACACCTCCGGCCGAGATTGATTTGGTTAGACACATGAAGGCTGCCGGCTTCGACACAGCGACATGATCAACAAGTCCGTCGAGTCCTTTTACTCTGTGCATGGCATACCCAAGGAGAGCAAGCTAAGCTACCTGATCGACGAGAAGCCACAGGCTTGCAGCTTCAAGGCCCAGTTGAACGCGAGATTGACGCGATCGATGCCGGCACCCAGATAGCAAGGAAGAAAAATGGGAGAAGAAATTGGACGAGGCAAGAAGGAGCGAGAGCCGTCAGGTTGTAGACGGTGCAGAATTACAGCGACGACCGGTCCGAAGTCGACCAGCGAGACTACTTGTTCGAAGCATCAAATAGTCGGAAAGACCCCACTCGTTCTGAAGGTGGCCAGCCTGTTATCGAAGACGACACACCGTGCGATTCCTTGATAGCTTCGACGCTCTCTTACATCATCCACGTTGTTGGACAAAACATACTGGACCGATGAATGCTACCGATATCTCAACTCTGCATATATTTCCTATCGCCCTCAAGCCATCCAGATGAAACGCAGATGCTGCTGTCGAGGTCACTCTACTTACGACATAAACGTCCGCGACTGCGAAGAAAAAAAGACCACAAAGACCGTGCAATCTTGTGCGTGACTTCGAGCCGCAAAGCCAAGAAGAGATGGTATCGAGACCTGTCATATGTTGTCAAGGGGGAGAGTTTATGACACTACAAGCGCCAACAACACAACCAGACGCAACTCCTCGATGACATCTCTGCTCCATCACATTGGATCAGCCTGCGGCACAGAAATAGATGGTGCAGATGCAGAGATGGGGGAGATGCAAGCGTATCGAGTACAGTCTCTGCATACATTGTCTGATTTGCTTCCTGAATAGCGAATGCCGCCAGCAATCATTTTCCCGAGCAAAGCCACTCGCAATAATTGAGACAACACCAGTTGTTCGCCTGTTGTATCAGCGACGACCTTCAACGCCCTCACCTTCTGTCAGTGGATCTCGAGACGACCAGAACACAACTTGCCCCCTGATCTGCTTTCGACTGCCTGGCCCTCCCCCTCAACATTGTCAAGTATTGATCGGGCTGCAAGGAATGTTCTTCAATTGAAGTTTGCAATCATGATCGTGATCGATGCTCTGTACCATTCAGTGGAGAACCACGGCAGCAAGAGCGATGGCGTGCTGCGACGGAAGATCTGTTGAATGAAGCGATAGCGAAGGTCATCAGCGCACTCAAACCTCACGTCTGCGGATCTGGAAACCATTGAATGGAGATTGAAGTTCCAAGAGTTTTTCGAATATTGAACGCAAGCAATCTATTCATCAGTGTGCCATGATTCTTCCTGCTGGTGTCGGTTGAATGATTGATTGAACAATAATGAAATGGTGTGCCGCTTGATATAAGAAGCCAAGTTGACATGGATCGCGGCGAAAGGGAAATTGGAGTCTGAAGCTTGGCAGGGCAGCCCCGCCATTCAACGTCGGTGCCTGAAAGCTTGAAGACTTTTGCGACCGTCGTTCGCATGTGATTCTGAAACCCAAACAGCTTTAATCTCCCTCTTAATCTCTCTCCAACAGCATGGCGCGCCGTCGCGGGCTGCCTGCCGATGGTGGCCAGGTGACTCCTCCGAGGGGGCCGAAAAAATCTCGTCCTCGAGCTTCGAAGTCGACCAAATCTCATGGACGCAAACCCATGAACGACAGGACGGATTTCATGGATGGTTCGCAGAGCGCGGAGTCAACTCNNCCAAAGCGGCTTCGGCACATTCTGAAAGGCGCTTTCCCACCGCCTTCACGACAGCTCATGACTTCACAAGCATCTCAAACAACTAGTGCCGACAATCCGGACGACCAAGACTCATCTTTCTCAGAAAGTGTAGAGAAGCTATTGTCGCCGCGGTCGAAAAGTATTGAGGATCTACGAACTAGTTATCGGCAAACCAGTGATACGTATAACACAGTCACCAAGCTGTTGTATCCGCAGCTGCTCTCATCGCAGGACTCCGACACGATAGATGTACAACGGGAAATTCTTCTACTGGAGCTATCCCTTGCGCAGACGAAGCTTGCGCTTGATTATAGGATATCTCACTACGAAACAACTCGAAATGACCAGCCATGGACTTCTGTCCTTCCTAAACTAGCTGTCACCAAAGGTTGGCTCGATGAATGCGTCCAAAGAATTGAAAATCCCGAGTCAAGGCCTAATCTCGAATCTGGAAACTTCTTCTATGAGCTATCGCATTACTTTCTTGCCACTGTTATAAAACAACATCAGGACTCGCTATTTGAGGGACGACCATTACCCTCTGAAGGCGACATCTTTGAAGTTTTGCAGAGAGCAGAGCCACGAGCACGGAGATTCGGCCTTGGACCATACTTAGAAAGGCTGACCGGTGTACAAACTCTCGATCCTGAGCTCATGCCGGAGGTCCTACTGCAGCTTGAACGTAGAGTAGCTTCCCATACAAGCGCAGTGAAGTGGCCTGTTCCGACAAATATGATCTCGGTTGATTCTGATCGACACTCAGCTCTCAGACACGAAATCTTACAACTAGAGTCGCTGGTAGAGCGAAACCAAATTGATCCACAAGATCTGCCGGATAGTGATATGATTGAGTCTGGACTGCGCTCGGATTTGAACGCGGCATCACAACCACATGAGTCAAATATTTCACAGCACGATGACTCACCTGAGACTGGTCTAGAAAATGATGCAGTATTACCGCAAAACTATGCCTCAATGACTGACGATCTGAATATGGATATGGATATGGGAATGGATACGAACTCGAATATGGAGATGGACATGGACGACGAGATTGCTGGCTATGTGTTCAATAGCGACTTCAGGGTCGATTTAAGAGATCTCGATCCAGAAATCTTGACTGCAGAGGAACGCGTAAGGAGAGATGCACTTCTGAAAAGAGATGCAGAAGCAGCTGCACAACTCTGCCAAGTATCTGCCATCCACAATAACGACGTGTCCCTTTCGGAGGAGCAGCACCGCTCCACAGAGCAGCATCGCCTCATAGAGCAGCATCGCCTCATAGAGCAGCAACCGGACTTGACTGGTCTCTCGAGGCGGCAACGATACGAGCTCATGGCAGGACGCGAGCTGTCTTGCGATACTTCACAGATGGGCTCTTCTCCATGGTCCTCAAGCCAGCCAGATATACAAGCCAACAAGCCAGATCCTGCAGCAGATTGTCAGTCCTTGACCGTCTTCTCGGACCTGCCTGATTTTGACGATTTAATGGAAGATGTTCGAGATGTGCAAGACGAGCCGGAGCCTCCACAACAGACCGTTCCTACGCCTGTCTCCGATACGGAGTTTGTGACCGACGACGAATTACCACCAGATTCGAACCCTCATCTTGCAGCAATACGGGCCAGAGCGACCCTCCCGACTGTACCAATATCAACAGCACCAATATCAAAAGCACCAATATCAACAGCACCAAAATCAACAGCACCAACATCTAGCGCACCTATTGCTTCAGAAGTTATTCCGCGCGAGGTACTACAACGCTCGCTATCGCAGCGCACAAGACCACGCAAGAGCGAGCCGATTGTCCTGATCGATAGACCTCCTGGGTCAAGCCAACGAACACGGATTTCCGACTCCATGTTCGTCAGTGATGACGAATCTGACAACATACCACCAAGTTCGAATCCTCATCTTGCAGCTGCATTTCGACGAATGGCAGGCGCTAATTCTGAGACCCCAACATCCAGTGCTTCAACGACCAGAACTTCGACACCCAAACTTCCTCCTCATCTGGCACCTATACGCAAAGCAGCTCACCGCAGATCTCTGAACCCGTCATCTCAAATACCTACAGAGGAGGAAAGACAGATACTGGACCAAACAGAATACGCGGTTGTCGATATCATCAACGAAAGGACTCTGAATGGGAAAAAGCAATACCTGATCAAATGGCAACCCATCCATGGCAGAATGTTCATGGACACCTGGGAGCCAGCGGAGTATGCAAATGCAGCGGCAGTGAGAGACTGGGAGCTCATAAAAATGAAAAAGGCACAGTGGAAGAAGCTGTCAAGGAAACCTACCAGAAACGGTGCACCTGTGTCAACAAGTCTTGAAGGGCAGTCAACAGTACAGCAACCACGGGAGCCATCGCCGGAACTCGGAGAAGAGGACACTTCGATGTTCTTTGTCGACACGGCTGCGGACGAGTCTCTCGCCCGCAAGGATGCCAGGTTCGTGCCCGCTCTCCACACTCAATCGTCGTCATCTCCAAGCTCATCATCAGCCGATCAAGGCCAAGTCTCTCATCGCACTCGCAGCCCCGTGGACACCAGAGATAATATCCCCACTGCCACGACTCATCCCATGGAGAATACTGTGCCAGAGCCAGAGTCTAGATCATCGACTAGGTATGCCACTCAACCTTTCGTCATCAAAGCTGTCTCTCCCAAGCCGATACCGAAACATGCACTAGCGCCAGTCTTAGGGCTACCATCCGTCTCGGTACCTCAGCTAGATGTCCAAACAACACCTAGTAACGCTGTTGCTTCTGAGTCGACACCCAACCACGCATCAGAGCCAGCACCCACATCATCGCAGAAGGGTGCCAGAAACTATTGGNGGAAAGGCAAACACCCCACACAAGCACAGCAGCGTGCGAGAATGCGGGAGAAGCGGGAGGTGAAGAGAGCTGCAAAGGCAGGGAGACTGGCCAACATGACGGAAAAGGAGAGAGCTGATGCGGAACATGGCAAGGCTATGCACACAACGGCAAGGAAGGAGAGAAAAAGAGAAGGGACCTGGAGAAAAGGATCATGGAGGGAAGGGCAAAAGCCAACAAAGAGAGGGAAGAGACAAGCTGCTGCGCAGAATGCTGCCGGGCCATCCTAGATCATGGTTCGTGATTTCGTCGATGATTGACTACACCATATCACGATGTCTGCAATCTCACATGCTCGAACAGTTAGCTACTTGTCGGGAAGATTGCTTGCTCTACACAAGAGCTTGGCTTTTAACGACTAATCATAATTCTTACCTCCTAAATCTCCTTCGCGCAGCTTGTTGCCTTGTTCAGTCACAAGACCCGCCGATATATAGGCTATGTATAACCATTACCTGACCTTTCTAGTATAAGCAACCTACATTTGACATTGCATACCAAAACGAGAATGACAGCCGTTGCGAATGAAGTGCAAAAGAGATCATGACAGCACAAAATACACAAAGTCAGCAGGACATGAGGGCATAAGCATTCAAACGGCACCAAAATGACAGCATAACTTGTAATCGTTGTGCAAAATCGATAGGGAATGTGATATCCCAGCCCCCTGATGAAACGGGTGTCTACATACCAAATACATCCGGGCTGCCAAGAATCGCATTCCGAAGGCCGCGAATACGGCTGGAAGTCAGTCTGCTCGTCGTCAGCTTTAAGGCAACCGCAATTGAGAGTTTGTCGTTCCCTACGAAGCTATTCTCCCAGCGTAGTGTATGTTCAAGAAGTAAGAGCTCAATGAAGCAAGAGAAGAGAAGCCCAAAAGGTGCAAAGCCAAGACCAACGAAACGGCGTTTTGAAATATGTAACGGTCCATCAGCCACACCAGCCTCCTGCATCTTGCGGAGAGGGGTTGACGCGTTTCAGGTTGCGGGATCAGCTGCAGGTTGTTGCATTGAGGTTATTATTACTGCTGCTCCTCCTCCCTGCTGCCATCAGCTCACGGCAGGATCATTTTCTGACTACGGACTCCGAAAGCAACAGCAGGGGTGTATTTGCTTTCTAATACACAGAGTTAATCGCTACACCTATTTCTCTCGCTTTTTACACTTTTGCTATCTACTTGGTCAACCCTACATTCGTTTCGCATACCACAGCGTCAACAAGAGTAGACAGGATGTATTCACGCTATATGCGAGATGTCTCGTCCGAGGTGTCGGATGTCAAAAACACCTTTTCTGGATGGGATCAGTGTATGAGCAAGGCATACTGCAAGTGAGTCGTTCTTTCGGCTCCAAATTTCACACTCGCTGACTCGCTCCTTCCCTAGANNTGGCCAGTGATCGTCGGCATCATCGTCGGGGTGGTGATAGCCATTTCCATCGTGTGGTGTCTTGTACGCTGTCTCTGCTGCGGCGTCGAGTGCTGCTGCAGCTGCCTGTCGTGTTTCTCTTGCTGCACTTCCTGCTGCAGCAACGGCCACCACCGCAACCAGGGATACACACAACCACCACCTCCAGTCTCGCAGTTCCCGCAATATACACAGTACCAACCTGCCGCTGCTCCCGTCTACCGCTCCCAACAACCACAATATGCACGTTTCGATGCTCCGTCTTCGAACAAACCTTTCAATGAAGATGCCCTTCCTGCCATGCCTAGTTGGAGTCAAAGCCGCACTCTGCGCCAACAAGACACGGATATGGAAATGGGCAGTATATCCAACCAAGCAGCTCAACCCATGCTTCCCAAATCTCCGCACGCCAACGTTCAGGAATATCCTTATCAGGCCAATGCAGGTGCTTATGGCGGTGACCTTGGAACCTCGCACTCGCCGTACGCGCCGCAAACTGAACAGTATGGATACGGCCAGGGTCATTATAGCCCTAGAGTTGCTTCGCCTGCTGGTACTGCGGCGCCGAGTTATCATACTACTGCCCCTGCTGCGCCTGCTGGGGTTGCCAGAAAACCTGTTAGTGGGTCGTGGAGGGATCTTTGAGCTTCCTCGCCTTTCTTTTCCTCTTTCTCTTTGTTATTGGCGTTGCATAGCGATGGCGTTTTGATTGTTTTCACTATATCTCTTCACAAGAAAGAGATGGAGAGATGGAGATTTTGGTTTTGATGCGCATACCCGCCCGATGTCATGAGGGAAAAAAACAATTTTGCTGGTTCATCTTTGTCCTTCTTTTGTTTTCCTAGTCATTTAGTTTTTAGTAATTGCATCGGCTCTTGACGAGCTGTTTCTACTGTTTAGTCGGCGATGTCTTGTGACCTTACTGCTGCCGTTGCTTGTTGCCCTCCAGATGCGCATGTGCTCCTGTTTATGTCAACCATGAATGTAATATGCGACCATGAAGGTGGAACTCGATTAATACGAAATCGAGTATGGCAGAGTAATACCTCGCACGCTTTCATCCAACATCTCAACTCGAGTACGTTAAGTACTATGTTTAAACACCTTAGCAATTTACACAGCCCATTCAGCCTTACCGTCGGCGTCGCAAGGTCCTCACCAAGAGCTTTTGACACCAACAAAAAAAGTTTCACAACACCACAACCACAAATACACTTCCCAGACATGCAAAACAATGCCAAAAAACAGCAAAAAGCAATGATTCCGCCCGGGTTCGAACCGGGGACCGCCTGTGTGTTAGACAGAAGTGATAACCAACTACACCACAGAACCTATTGGATGAAAGGAATACTGCTGTATCAAAACATAAATCAAGATCTTACTGTAGCAAATCAGACGCTGAGAACGGAATTGAAACATTGATGATCATGGCGATGTCAATGTTATGCTTTCAGACCAATTTGTCGAGAGATACGAAAAATTTTTCGAGCTGGCGACCGAGATGAATCTTGAGATTGCGAGGAAGTTGTAACTAGCGTTTTCTCTGTTGGATGTTGGCATCGCACTAATAAGATCACGTTCTTGAGTCTCTAGTTAATGAATGTCCTCTAGGTGTCACTTGCTCTCAACCTACCTTATCATAATCGATGCCGACAGCCTAAAGACTTGTCTGTAGTCAAGAGTTTGATGTAGACCAAACATAAGGACATCAAAGAGAGAAAGACAACCAACAGAGAAAACAAGGACCTAACGAGCAGAGAAAGTTAGAACTGTTAGAGCACACAAATGTTCGTGAACATCACAGCGACGAGTCTGCACAATGTTCCTAAACATCATAGCGACAAGCAAACGTCAACCCCGGCAATGAATATACTTCTATACCCAAATCATGAGCGAGGAAAATCGATTTGTTGGCATGACGCATCCGAGAAAGATTGCAGTAGAGGGAACTTCCGCAGCCTATTATCCCCTTCGATCAACATCTTTGCAGTTTGATATGTGTGAACCAACGGCACATGAACAACTTATCAACTTGTGACACAGACGACTTGCTTAGTGAGCTGGCCTTTCTTCGCAAGCTTACCACTCCATAGGACTTTGAGAGAAAGCTTATATACTAGTGTTTTAAGCTGTGTGGTCGCAAAAGTCTACTATCTTGCATGAATAATCATAAAGTCTCTATTGACAGATTTGACCAGATTGGGATGAAAAAGATAATGCCCGTGATGGTGAAACATCTCATACTATACAGAGTGTTCAGGTGAATTGTTTTGTGGGTTTGAAGACTTGCTCGATTAGGGGTCTGGGTTTATGTGTGTCGTAGATAGTGTTTTTCTTGAGATTGGCGTAGAGTAAAAAGCAATGGTGTATTTTGGCTACCTACATATGGCTTTGCCTTTGGCTTTCGTTTGTTTTGTGGTTCTGTTAACAGGATGTGAGGGCTGTCGATATTCCTGATCTTGGGTGCGGACGCGCTTTTCATGGCCATGAAATCGTTGTCCTTGCTCGAGGTTGCATGACCACAAAAGCTCGATGTTGTATATCATGTGCTGGATGCAGACCACAAGGGAAACGGCGAGATACATTTCTCTTGATCCGGGTCCTGATGAAGCGGATCTCAGTTGCATTGATCGCAAGCAAATCCTCGTTAAGAAATCTCTGCCTAAGGTTTTTTGAGAACCCTTCAGCTTGAGCTCGTAATCGAAGAATGATAAGAAAGGCATATCCTCGAATTGGGCGTTGGTTGATGTCGTGGCATGACTTGTGAATGTTGTTCGTGTATACATAGCCACACCTTTTTCAAGCATCAATTCCACAGCTAGGAAATTGACATTGAGCTTCGATGGCAGTGTGGGTTTCAGGTAAGCCAAGAGAAAGCCGGGCAATACAGTAGAGAAAGCAGTAATTGCTACTGTTAGGATCCAGATGTCCAGAGCAGTGATGCAAGGTGCCCAAACTCAAAGTCGGGTGCAAAGTCGTGATCCTGGTTGTGAGTCGAGAAGTGGAGTTTCTGAAGAAACGTTGACGTAACCGCCGCTGCGTTACCAGTAAGCAGGAACACCAGTAGCAAACATGTTCTGATGCTGCTGTGGCTGTTGTTGATGTTGAACTCGCTGCTGCTGCAAAAGCTGCTGCTCTTGCCTCGTCTGACCCTGCAACTGCCTCTCCTCCACGTCCTCAATCACACCTTCCATCTCCTCTTGCTCTCCGTCCCCTTGTTCTTCCAGACCTTCCCTCACTCTTTTCTTCATCAACCCTTTATACTTCTGCAACTCATTCGCAACATCCTTTTCACTAAACAACCCCTCTGGAAACAACTCCCTCAATCTTTGCAAGCCCTCCCTCCTCCCCAAACCCTGTTCCGCAATCTCACGAATGGCGTCTTGGACTCCTTCCGCCTCTCTGGCTCTGCGGCGATGATTCGGCAATGTACGCACATCAACCGGAGGATGGTTGTGTAACGCTGGATCCGTATCTCCCCACCTAATCTCCCACTCTCCCTCTGGGGTGTCCCTATCCACCGCCCACGCCCACACGCGACTCGGACACCCCATCTTGAGACTTGCTTTATCGCGGCGCCGTTGGTCTTCAGTCAGATGCCTTGTGTTTTTGGGTTTGCCGCCTAGCACGCAGGTGATGTGCCATTTGTAGTATACACCGCCGGGGATGATGTGTTTGCGGCCTCCCTTTTGGGATGTGGGTTTCACGCCTGCTTTTTTTACCACGTCGAAGCCGTGGGTGAGCGTGTGGGTGTGGCAGAGTGTCATCAGAGAGGATAATGTGGCTGCGCGTAAACCGCTGGGGATGGGTTTTATGTAGTAGCTTTCGCCGTCTTTGGGGGTGGATAGCGTGCGTGGGAAGGATGGGGCGCTGGCAGTGTCGGGTGTGCTGGTTTCTGTTGTTGATGGTGGTGGTGGGGTTGGTGTGCGGGTTCTTGAGGGCGTGTGCAGTTTGGCGATTAGTTGGTCGTCAAAGTCCATGATTTCTGCTGCTGAGCATGCGATAGTATAGGAAGTCGGTGGTTTGTAGAGGAAGGCGCGGGAAGAGTTGAAAGAAAGGAAGTCGCAATGACTGAATGGGCAGCTGCGACGAGTGTGGGGAGACCTCGATGGATTGAAATCCAGTCAAGACATCTGTCCCTCGGGAAACATCTTTTGGCCGCTTGCCATCGAAACTCCTCATCGAATCTACACCTTTGTACTTGAACTATTCCCAACAGTCTTATACTTCAGGGACTCGGGGAGAGAGAGGTACATCTAGACACATGTTACACTTTCTAATCTTAGTTCCGATCACGTTTGTTGAAGAAGATTGAGCCACGGTGCACAATCAAAAGCATTTGCTTGATAACATCTCAATGATATTGGCAAAGATATTCAGGTATCAGCATGCTAGAAATGTCAGACGTCAATGCTACCCAGAGAACGCCACTGCTAAGACCCCATGCTAGAATGCTCGTAAACAATGCAAATTTCGATAGACCGCGTCAGATAGCAATCCTTCTCCTCTGATCAGCAAGTATTCAGACCATCTCAAACGACTTTGGCCTTTCCTTTTCCTTTCATGCTCTTTTTCGCCTTCTTTCCTTGTTCTTCCTCTGGTATGATTGGCTCTGTAGCATTCATGAGATCAGTCAACCAATCCGTTGGAGCCTCTGTGTCTTGCATGGCAACTGGTTGCTCGATTGCCGGTTCGGGTACAGCTTCTGTTTCATGTGCCGCTGTTGCTTCGTTCGGCGTCGCTTCTTGTGTTTCTTGAGCTTCTTGAGCAAGTCTGGCTTCAGCAGCCTCTGCTTCAGCCTTCTTCTTGGCCTGCTTCTTTGCCGCAAGCTCTTGAGCCTTTCTCTTTGCTTTTGGAATGTAAGGTTGTCCTTTTGGTTTAGGGTTGAACCTCTGCTTTTTCTTTTTTGCTGGAGGTTTGACGGGAGCAGGCTCTGCTTCGGGGCTGGATTGAACGGCTTCCTGTGGTTGTTGTTCAACGATATTCCATCCAGCGACCATGTCCAACTCGTTGCTGATTCGCTTTTGTCGATCTTGTTGAGTTTCGTCGCTGCGATCTGGCTTGATGAGTTCTTTGGCGTCTTCTTCGGTCAGGATTTTGGAAGTGTCTTCGTCGCCAGTGATATGAGCAACGTAGCCAAGCCATTTTGTCAACCATTCGTCATTGACTTCGCCTGATGCAAGCAATTTTGGATCAGTGCCGGCCGGGAACACTGGAGGATTTGGTTCTGGTGGTACAGCCAAGGCTTGTGCGATGGAGTTGATATCGGTGGCCTCCTGAACAACTTCTTCAGCGACCTTTTCAGGTTCTTGGGTTGGTTGAGTAGCAGCACTTGAAGATTCAGCAACAGCAGGAGCAGGCAGACTGAGACGTTGACGTTTTGCAGGTCTCGAGTCTTGGTCGTCTGGTGGTGCTGGTGGAAGAGTCGTCTGTCTCCTTGAACGTTTGTCGATCAAAGCAGGTTTCGCATCAATCTGCAGACGCTTCAACTCTCGTTCCCGCTTGAGGGCCTTTTTCTCTTCTTCCTCCTTTTTCTTTTGGATCTTGTTGGTCGTGGCCTTCTTCTGCCGTCATGTACAGCTGCTCTTGATCTGTATCATGCGGCTTGTCGGGCTCCTTGTCTTGTTGCGGCACGTGTACTGCTTGTGTGACATGGTCCACTACTGGTTCCTCGACATGGGTTGATGTGGTTTGTTCCGACTCTTGGACAGCGTCTGACTTGAGCTCAGGAGCACTGGCCGCTGTTGGTAGTGTAGCAGGTATGGTGACAGGTGGTTGAGGAGCGCTCAGAGTGTTCTGCAGAGCAGGCGGATCGAGATGGTCGCCGTCGAGTTTGCGACGCTTGTTGTTCTTTGGTTGTTGTGGTACAGCAGAAAAGTACTGGGTGATCTTGCGTTTGCCGGCAGATTTAATCGTGAGAGCAGGCAACTCTGTCTCAGATTGGGGATTGCTAGTCTTCGGTTGTGTCACAGCAGGCGGAGAAGGGGCCCGTTCAGTGGCAGCAGCAACATGTGGAGAGTTTGGCGAGTCCGATGGCGACGGGGTGAGCAAGACGCCGCCATCAGGAAGTAAATGAGGTGGCGCTTGGTCTGGTAGAGAGTTCGTTTCGTGTCGCATTCCGGTGCGCCGCGTGCCTCGTTTTGCCGATGCGGATGACGACGATGGAGCAGCAGCGACTCCTCCAAGACTGGGATTCGCATCGATGGTCAATCGACGCAGCTCCTTGCTCATCTTCTTGCTGCTTCCAGGCGCCGATTGGATGTCCAAGTGTCGTTCTGCTGACGGCGTGGTCGGAGGTGTCGCGCTTGCCTGCGCTCGTCGCGTTGCTACCATCACTATCGGAGGGAAGGTGCGGATATAGAGTGGGTGATTTGTCTTGGGTCGCTCCTTCCTAGTCTTGTCGTCTTTTGTGTTTGTGTTGGAAGTTGCGTCAAGATCAACTTGGGAAGCTGCAACTGCCACAATCAAAGCCAATTGTGTTGTCAATGCACGGGCCCAACTTGACGTATCCCTGCATCCACCCACTCCTACACCACAGCCCTACCCGCTCGCCAGTCTTGAACTTCTTGTCAACCTTGATCATCATTCTTCTCTCATATGTCTCGGTCGTGTTCAGTCTCGGTGCTGAAACATCAAGCTCGACCTCGTCTCGACGCTGCATACCAAAGACACCTCAGTGAGACATTAGCTTCAATCGATAACACGATCGATAAGCAAATGTCGTATGCAGTTCGATAACATTATTTCGTCCTTGTAGCGTCCTTTGAAATGATCAGTGAAGTAGACCCAGATTCAATCGCTGCGTTCACATCGTCATCATCTTCAAACCCAAAGCCCCTTTTCCTTGTATTCCACTTTCTGCTCAGTATGTTATCTTCTCTTTCTCATCTTCTCAATTCTCTTTCCATATCCCAGGGCTTGGTTGCGCTTTTGGTCGATTTCGATCATCCTGAGCGACCTTCATAACTCAGGTTCCTCCTGAGGCAGCGTGGAGGTCTTCGATACCACGACAATGACGAACAGTTTTGGTAGCAACAGTAGACGGCAACACAGGAGCATTAGCAGGTCTGATCGGAGTTACAGAGCGGATAGGACTGTTGTTGTGACCCTTTATCGAGTGGGTTGGCACGATACTTGCTCTGTCGAAGCTCGAATGGAATCACTACATCAAGATGCGGAAATTCTTTCCTATTTGTTGGAGGTTGACTTGAGATCATCGAGTACAGGCCTTAAAGACACACGAGTCTTGTTCTCCTGACATCAAAACATCTCCAAGAAAGCTTGTCGAGATACACAAAGTCTTTGACACGACTTTTTCTGTCCCTTGAGAGCTTGGAATATATAGCCCAGAAGTGCATGACGTCTGGCTTTCACATCAACCCACCGTCGTCAACAGAGTTGTGAGTCTCACGCACCTCCTAATTAGGCTTGTCATTAGCACTTGAATAACACTCACCAAGTTATCCTCGCGCATGATACCACGTGCAAGTTGAATCCATCTGGCTATCGCCACAAGCATTTCTACTACCAAGTTGAAATGCAGCTTGGGACTTCATCTGGAACACCTAAATAACATTCACCGATTATTCCTGGCCCCTGATAACACGTGCGTACGCAAACACTCTGCTCTATTGACCCGTCACCTCTTTGACTCGACCATTGAAAGCACCCAAAAGACACTTATTGACTCCATCTGGCGCCTGATAACACGTGCAGACGTAAACAATACTGATCTGTCTCTTTGACACGAGCATCTGCACCATCTAGAAGATATTCATCGATTCCATCTGGCATCTGGCGCCTGATAACACGTGCGCCTATCAACGTTATCAACTCACCACCCCTTTGACACCACCACCTCTACCATGCGCTTCCTCCAGAATCACACCCAGTCAACGAATTACAAGCGCATGCAACGCGCATGACAGGCACAAGCTTGTTCACGAACCCAGGAGGGACTACAAAGCGCCCTTCGAAGCCCGTTGTGCTTTTCTTCCCAAACACTCACACAGCAAATATACCACCCTTGACATTCCACTTTGTCCAAGACCACCTGAGGCAATCAACCTCCAACATGAAGTACACCTACGACATCTACCAATGGTGCATCTACAACTGCTGCCCAACCAGAATCTTCCTCGACATGGACCCCGAAGCCCTCGAACGCCATTCTACCTACTTCCGTTGGTTACTCTCTCACCTCAACACCCCCTGGCACCACCGCAGTCCCGCAAAAGCATACAAAGAACTCCATCTCCATCCTCTACACCTCTGGATGCATGAACACGCACTCAGATACGTGTTTTGCGCTATCAACCGTGCCAAAAACGGCAAAAGGATTTTCCTGGAGATTCCTGGAGATTTCGTGTTGGCGGTCAGGGTGTATCAGGTGTTGCTTTTCTTGCAGGTGGAGGAGTGTATTGCGCCGATGCATGGGCATATCAGACAGGTTATTAGGGAGAGACCTTTGCTGTCTGATGAACTTGAGGCTGTTTGGGCATGTCTTAGCAACATTGCTCCAAGAGTCTATGAGTTTGCTCTTGATGTTCAGTATGAGCGGGAAAGACAGGTCTGGATGCTGGGGCCAGGGCTTGGAGAACCAAAGCAGCAAGAAGACATGGAGGTGTGTCTTGTCGTGGAAGAAGAAGCGGGCTCGTCAGGAGAGGAGACAGTGGTCGAAATTGGCCCAGATCAAGACACAAAGATGTTCATGAATGACACCAACACAGACTCGGATAAGACCAGCGGCTTTACTGCAGGGGACGAAGAATCTGATCAAGAAACCGAGGCATCCGATGAAGAAGACCAGCAATGCACCACACTCATCCCCCTACGACGTCGCAGCGTACCAACGCCTTACTCAAAGCCTATGTACGATATCGACACGAGCGACTTCCGCGAGTGTGCAGACGAGGAGCCCGAATACTGAACGAAGGGTGACAAATCAGGATGCGCTTTACCTTTGGTAACCACTTACATGCAAAACACAAGCAATCTTGGATACCAAACAAACAACACAGCAGATCTCGAATGCTAGATCTGACACAAGCAGCGAAGCAGTTCTAAGAAGCTAGATTCTGACTTCTGGCTGCCCATACATACTAACTTGGATATGCTGCTTTTCACAGAGATCTATAATGTAAGATCTCAAATCAATATGCCTCTGAGGAGCATTTTTCATATATCTGATAAGTCTTGTATTTGTATTATTCTTCTTCGTATCAGTACATGGAGCTGTAGATCTGGTGGATCACTGTTGATAAAGAACGATGGGCGAGAGCCTGTCAGTTATAATGATCCAAGTTGAAGCATACTTCTAATTCACGAAGAGTTGTAGCAGATGTCGTCGAAAGATGGTTGTGGAGAAGGTCGGATAGGAATGTTCATGACGCAATCTGCATGATTGATCAAAAGGAAAGTCCGTCCTACCCAACCTCTTTCACCTCTTGCCTTCTGCCTTGCTCTAATCCCACTAATATACCACTCTCGCTATCGTCGCTGCTCTCGGTCCATTGTTCCTTCTTCCAACTCTTGTCATGACCGCCCACCCTCGGTCATCGCTTCCCCGACGCCCTCCCCAGCTTTCGGCCTCCATCCACCCGACACAACCACCTTTACCGCCGAAGCTTCGCCGCATTGCACACAACGCAATACCAAAATCAGCAGAACTTTGAGTACTGGATAGCAGTAAATGCTAGTAAAACAAAAGAGCAAGTCTTTGGCTGTTGTCAACTCTAGGCTTCAGGCTTCATACTCCCACTTGTCCCCAACACCACCACAACATCTGCCCTTCCCTCGACAAAACCAATGCTCCACACTGGCAAAGGGGTCTCGCCGGGAATCGAACCCGGGACCACTCGCAATCGGCTTAGAGTTTTCAAGATCGCTGTGAAGGCAACCTCCCTAAGCGAGTATCATACCGCTAGACCACGAGACCTGATCAATTGGGTGGAATTGATGGGGGAGCGGGCGTCAGGTGAGTTTAACAATCTGCAGACAGTCAGCTGGGGCGGGTACTCGACGCCTCTTTAACAAGGCTTCCCGCAGATGTTGTTGTCTATATGTTTTAGTCGACTATTTTGGTCCTAGCGCTACGGCTGCGAGACCACACAACAGTACCATAAGGACAAAAAAAGTTTTTTCATCAAGACGAGACAAGCTAGCAGGTGACGAAAGGGACGAATTTGACGATTTGTAGAAGTTAAGCTTAGAAAGCAAAAGACAAGTCAGAACGAACAAAATCATAAAACTTCTTCTTCTTCCCCTACTGTGACAGATGGCGCACAAGTTGTGAGCGCTTCAAGTCTTTGCAGCTCCTTCACTTGCTATAGGCAGACTATGTCACCGGTCCTCACACCGTAGTCTATCAACCCCATCTCTAGTCCTTCGAATTTTCGAAAACAGATCGTGTGGAGATTGAGAGGGTGTCCCAGTTCGGGCAACACTCCAGCGCGGCCACAATGGCATGTGTAGGGTGCCGTTTAGGATGTTTTTCTCTCAAACCAGGCTAAGCTCTTGTGCTGGAGCTTCGCGAGGTTGAGCTCCGTGAAGTTGAGCTCCGTGAAGTTGAGCTTCGTGAGGCTGAAACTTGAGAAGCTGTGTTTGTAGATATGGTACTCAAAGCACTGCTTCGTAAAGTCGTGCTCTTCGAGGCCGCGCCCTTCGAAACTGTGCTACTAGATGTCGCAACTTTCGATATACTGCTGCTTCGAGAGATAGTGCTCCGGAGGTTTGTGGAGGTCTTGGTCCCAGAACTCGTGCTTTGAACACTAGTGGTATGCGAAGCCTTGATCTGAGAACTTGCAGTTCGAGAGCTCGATTTTGGGAACTCGTGGTTCGAGATGTTGTGCGCACCGAATTTGTGGTGCGCAAAGTTGAAGTGCCTGATGTTGTAGTTCGAGAGGTCGAGCTTTGGGACGTTGCAATGTTGGACAGTGTTCCCATTGTAGTCCCGGTAGCAGGAGATACTCCGCAAGTCCCATTGACAGATTGGCAAGACCCGCGAAATACCCTGGCCTCCCGGTCTGCAGCTGCTTGTGGATCCATGTTGATAGCAAACAAGTAGGGAGGCGAATCACCGTTTGAATAGTTGTATGCACCCTGTAAACATGTGTTAATGCTCTGCAATTGTCTGGGATGACTTGCAAACTCACTGCTAAATACACTCTCGTCCGCAGGGGATCATATACCATCGGGGCGTTTGCGATTGGACGTACACCATCAACTCCTAGGAATGGCGTGACGGGATGGGAGACGAATCGCGCTTTCGATGGCTCATTCTCATCGAGTACGAGAGTTAGGACTGACTGTATCAGCCCCTGAGAATCAGCACCGTATTGAATGAGCGGCTGCACCAGAGGCAAGGTTGAGCCGAATATGATAGTGTTGAGACCATCAAAAGCGAAACGCCAATCGCCTATGACCATCGGCAAGGTGGTGACTGTGCTCCATTTGCCCGATGTCAGATCGTAGTACGCCATCTGGTTTGCGTGAAACAGGAACACCTTCGGTCTACTTCTATCAGCAAATAGTCTCCTTCCTGATTGACGATTCAAGACTTGCTTAGACCATGATTCAGTGCACACAAGGCCATCTCCACCCCACTTGTCTACTGGAAAGGGTGCATCAGGAATCTTGAGCGTTTTGTTTCTTGCGTAATCCACGATATATGCCTCTGCTGTCGGATGGAATGTATCGTTCCAAAGTCCGGATAGAAACAATTGGGAACGGCCACATGCGGTGGCTAGGAACACATCGTTCTGAAGATTGGATGGTAATGCTGCAGCTGGCATCAGTACCGTGACACTTGCCAAACAGTCGCCTGACGCGACGCAACTAGGATCAACGACATGTGGACTCAGCGCCTGAGACAAAATCCCATTTCTGAAACCTCTGTTCGGATCGGAGTAGGTCCCAAAAGCAGTCCTCTGCCCTGCTGCTATGGCAATGATGTTACCGGAATCGATAGTTGCCCACCAGGGCGTGCCCCATAATTCGGCTGTGTGACCTGCTGGCGTCCATGTTTGTGGACTGTCTTCTCCCGAGTATAAGGTATCTCCGGCGTTCAGAATGTTCCAATAAAGAGGTGCGTTAGTGTCAAGAAGTGAGATTGTCCAGTTCGTTGTAGATTTTAAACTTGTTGCCACGTTGTCATGGTTCGCCTGGACCATGTTCAATGTCGAAGAAATTGTATACGAGGATTCCTGACATCCGATACCTTTACCAGAGCGATGATACGTGGTAGTCAACGGAATTGGTAATAAAGGGAGGTCGCCGGGAAGAATGACGACCGTGTCACTGGCAACGGCGCAGTCGCATCCAAATATGTCGTCGATGATTGTACCAAGAGCATTATCTATGATGGCACCGACCATTGCACCAATTAAGATGCCGACAGGTCCAAAATATGCTCCGACGGTAATTCCGAGCACTTCTGGACTCATAAGCTCTGGGATTTTGGTTGAAAATCCGCCAATATCGTCAAGAATACCTAGCACTTCCATTAATTAAGACGGATATGAACGGCAACAGGAGCATACCTTCTGAATTGTCAGCAAGTGCCATTGTGGCGTTAGAGAGTTGTTGTATGTCATGCGTGAAAGTATGATTCGCGTTTGCTGAGTTGACTAGAGACCATATGATACTGATGTTGCTCGCACTCGGGGCTGAGAACTCAATATCAAAATTGATCTGGTCTTGAGTAAGGTAATCTTGATCCATCACGTCTCCTAGGAACACACTCTTCCGAGCAATGAACTCTCCACCAAGATGAGTCACTGTTGCAAATAAGGTCAGGGTATCGGCTTCCAAACTTGTTATTGAGTTGACAATGATGCTGTCGACTGTCCATCGATAGTTGTTGTTCAGAGCTTGTGCCGCCTGGACGACCAAGGAACTGGCTATCCAAGCACTGCGGAGGAACATTGTTCAAAGCGGTGGTGAGTCTACCGTCTATTCTCATGCTCGTATAGGCCGTAATGTGGTTATTTATGCTTGTTGTACCCAGCCTAGCCGTTCGCCAAGGCATCTAGAATTGTTTGAGACATTTCTGCGCCACATGTAAGCTAGTCGGCCACTCCGACCCTGGGCAAGAAGTTTGCATGTATGGAGCTGATACCGTGAGTTAGAACACTACCTTATCGAAATCCTCTATGGCACTAGCATCAGCCGCAAATCGTTTCGATCTTAGGATAAGAGGCCTCGAGCTAAGGATAATAAGTTGAAGACATCGACATGGAATGGGAATGGTACTGTGCGAGAGGCCGCGTGAGGGGGGGAATTTGTCTTGACATGGAGTCTGATTTGAAGGAGTTGGAGCCCCTAGACTTTTTCTGAAAATGTCGGTCTTCCTGCGAGAAGCGTTACAGGTGCTTACAGGAACTGGGGATGCTTCAACTCCGACTTCTTGAACGTGGATAACCGCTCGGTTTTCTACATATATCGCGTTCTAGCCCATAGTTCACATGGGCATCGAGCACGCCCATAAAGACCATAGAGGGCTTCAGCTGAAGAAATCAAGGGCGGCTAAGGGCGTTAGTCCGCCACAACCACCGCAAAGGCAGGGCTGAACACGGTCGCGTCCTAGCTTAGTCTGCATACAGCGGGGAGCTGCGTTCGGTTGTCAGCTCTACCATGATTCCAATTATGGTTTGTAACAGAACGCAGTGTGGTTTCGCCTCGGATATCGTGTTTCGTCAAAAGAAAATCTCCAGAAGAAACAGTTAACGGTAAACTCCATGCGGCCCGTTACAAACGGCAAATCTTCGGAAATGAGCTGCCATCAAATTTCTCATCTTTGTATACCCACACCCATCGCCGAGGCTTCCAACAAATGGGGTTGTGGTCTAGTGGTATGACATCTTCTTAGCATTGCTCTTTGAGCAGTTCTGAGTTGGAGAAGGTTCTGGGTTCGATTCCCAGCTACTCCACTTTTGCTTGTGGGAGCTCTGTCTGTACAGGTAGCAGTGCTTGTTTTTGCTTGGTGTGGTGATATTTGTTTTGTAGAGAGAGGGGGAGGTAAGTGCTTTCTATAAGGGATTGTCAATATCCGTTAGCCTGGTCTGCATTATGCCATCAGACATCCATCACTTTAGAGGTAGGTCAGTCAACAGCAGTTTCATAGACACAAAAGGTATTCAGGATAGTCGATTGCGACACGGCTTACAGCAGAAAAAGACAGCGCATATTCAAGTATCAAACCGATACTTCCGAAAAGTTATATTGCTCAGAAACGAACAAAAGGGATATAAAACGAAGTGAAGTACCACTGCAACTCAGAAACAAACCCAAAGCCGTCAACAAAGACTCTCTCAACACCTCAACCCGTCCTCACCACCAGAAGCTTACAGGCACTGAGAGTAATAATCATTCTGGACCTTGCAGGTAGTGCCCGAAACACAGGTTGTAGGACCAGTGTATCCTTTACCACCACACTGACCCCAGTGAGCAGCAGTACCGCTTCCAGAGCCCGAAGAAGCAGCAGAAGTAGCAGGAGCAGCAGCCTCAGAAGTCTTGACAACAGTGGACAAGGTAGTAGCAGCAGGCTTGGAAGTAACAGCAGCAGCAGAAGTGCTAACAGGAACCTTGGAGGAAACAGCGGAAGTGGCAGGCTTGGATGATGCACCGGCGGCGGAGGTGGCGGGTGCGGGTGCGGCATTGCCAGCACCACAGCTGATGACAGCAGGGCCGGGAGCCTTGTACGAAGTGTAGATGGAAGAGTCGTAGATGTTGGCAAGGATACCAGCGTCAGTGGCAGTGTAACCACCGGGCAGCGACATCTCAGCCGACGAGGCAGGCGAGAAGGAGCCAGAGCCGGTAACCTTGATCTGCGCACAGGACTGGTAGAACTGGGCACCTCCCTCGGCGGTGGCAGAGTGGAGTGCGAGCAGCTCGACACGCATGAGGTATTGGCCAGGGGCAATGCAGCTGGGCATGGTGAACTTCTGCCAGCCGAAGCCGGCGGAGTCGGTGTTCTTGATCATGTCATCAACACCCCAGACACCGGACGAGGTAACGGAGTCGCTGGCAATCTTGAACCACTTGAGTCCAGTAGCAGAAGCGGAAACGGCATCGTCGACCTTGGCGAGGTAGACCTGGGTAGGGCCCTTGTGGGAGNNGGAAGCAATGGGGTTGTCCGAGTCACCAGAACCTTGAGGTCCACCGAGGAGGTGAGCCCATCCGCCAGCTACCGAAGCACCAGCAGGAATGGTGATGAGCTTGGAGGAAGTACCGGCGCCGGCACCGCAGAGAATGTCGCTGGAGCTGACGTCCTGGACGGGGTTGTTGGAAGAGGGAGCACGGATACCGGTGAGAGAGCCTTGGTCAACACCATCGACCATGATACGCTGCATGATAGCATGGGCGTTGACTGAAGAAGCGGCAAGTGCCAGAGCAGAGACGACAGAGTACTTCATTGTTGGAGAATAGAAACTGGTATTCCTGCCGGAGGATCGAAAAAGGTATGTAAGTGGTTATGAACGAGAGTCGAAGGTGAAAAAGACTGTGGTGAGAAATGAACGTCGAAAATTGAAAATGATGCTTGAAGTGGAATGGGAAAGTTCAAACCTCGAGAACCAACCTTGGTCTTATACATCCATCAAGAGCTTTGTCTCTTCTCCTTCAAGGCAAAACTCCATATTACACTCTAACATCCACCATTTCGAGACCAGAAAGGACGCCACAAGCGATAGGCTAACATGAAGCCAAGGCGGATAGCAGACATCGTTCATTGAGCAGTACTATGCCAAGTCGTCTTTTGGTATAGGGCAGGGGCTAAATCAAGGGTAGCGATCTGGTGAGATGTGACAGCACCTCGCGTATGCCTTGCGAATGCGAAAACAACGTGCTTGCAGGGGTGTAGAGAGGAATGTCGTATATACTCGAAACAAGTTCGTTGCTGCCAAGTGTGGTCTGCGGCGCTTCGACCCGCTTGGAGGATGTCTAGCTTTAGCGATGCTCGATGCTGTATACATCTTTCGTACGAAACTAGAGAAACGATTTGGGAATCAGGCCGAGGTACCGCAAAGAGTGTGTCGAGCGTCAAGTGACCAACTCGTTGTCTCTATTGGTTATGTCCAGTCCGGTCGAGAAGCGTTCGCCAAGAATATTCATACAATACCAAAGTTCAAAGCAAACGCCCAGTTGTGGGGGAGGGGTTCGTGAGAGGAGACTCATTTCGCTTCAGCATGAGCCTCCTGAAGCACGCTACGCAGATGCATGTGTTTCATCCTTTGCAGGCGCAAGCGACACCACAGACATCGGGGTTTGTTCGCATCGCGATCTTCGAGCCTCTGTCTTCTTCTGGCCTGTGATAATATCATAGAACGTACTCGAACGTGAGATCTGCAATTCCTTTCTTTCCATCGCCGGAACTGGCTATTTTGGCAGTAGAGCTCGCAGTACGGGTCGAGCTTGCGGCTCCAGATTGGGAGGGTATATAGCAGCTCGTCTCGACCGGTTGGCTGGAGCGATAGAACAATTTATTCGTTCGCTCAGCTTCAGTATTCATCTCACCGGCTTAATGGTGTGAGGTCGCTTGAATCGGTATTGACGCTGGTGAACTGTAGATGATGGTTGGCTCTAAACAAACACCTTGTGACTCAAGGGTGCAGACTTGGGCATCGTGGTTACAGCGGCTGTGTACGTGTAGTCGCTATGGTATTTAGGCATGATCGAGGGGCCCAGACTGGAAGCGACATTATTCAATGCTCGCACTGCGTCAATGGTCTGCTGCTAAGGCTGTTCAGGGTGTGTGTGAAAGAGTTTTGCGGCTTCCCCCGCTCGACTGGATCCGAGCTTGCCAGAATTCGACCACGAAGAACGACGACTTCGAGGCTGTTGATTTTGTTCAGGCTATGCATACTGGTAATGACCACATTCATGATGACCGATTAGTTTCCAGTTCAGCTGTTTCATGTGTGACCAGGGATCTCAAGTCCAGCAGTGTCGGTAACAATTTGTGCCATCTTGGAGGAAGCGGATAGCCGCAACGCTCGAAGGTCTGACAGGGTGAGCCTCTCAACTAGCATTTCCAACATAGAAATTGATATAGAAATGCGAGTACACTGTGTATATAATGTCCGACTGTCTTGCAAGGAAGAGGATCATCTGGACAATCTATCTCTCGAGTTTGAAGCCGATGCATAGGATACGTGGACATTGAGGTCAATAAAACAGAATCTACTGTCGGCTTCACAGAAAGACGCTGTGGTATCGCACAGGGCAGAGGAAACAATCTGGATCATGTATGGGAAGTCACTTTTCTCATGGACCCGAGACCATATCTGGCTCTACTGAGACTCGATGCTTTTCATTCGACACCAAGACGTCTTGAGGATGTACGAGACCAGTCGAAATGCTGCTGGAAACGGTCTAGGAGAGTCTGAACGGGCTGGTGCAACCTGTACTTCAATCGTAACCCCTGAACACTCCCCTTCATCAAGGCGAGATGGCCGAGCGGTCTAAGGCGCCAGCTTAAGGTTAACTCTGATACGCTGGTCCGAAAGGGCGTGGGTTCAAATCCCACTCTCGTCAATATCCTTTTGTTTTGACTATGTCAAAGGGTGAGAAGAAGGGAGAAGGTTGGTGGTGAGAAAGAAATTTTTGTGCAGGCTTCTGTGGACCCTCTTTTGATCTGTGAAGCCTCACTGCATAACAAAGCTTGACAGGATTGTGAAGAGCTTGGCGTCTTCGGAAGTGCGGGGTACCGGCATAAAAGTTGTGCACCTTGTATCTGGTCGAGAGTCGATCGCCTGGTCTTCAGCGGGCTCCGCTGTCAAGCAACCAGCGGGCTCCGCTGGTCAAGCAACAGCTAACGCGACATCGAGAGTGTGTTGCCTTTAGCCTTTCGAGTATGCAGACACCGTTCGAGGCTCAGCGGCATTCGTAATGTCCAAGAAATCCTCCCATAAGGTCGACGAACAGGGCACGAGTCTAACATGACATTAGCCTTACACCGCAGCACCAAGAACAGTGCCCACGAGGACTTGAGCGACGCGTCACGAAGACTGTACGTGACAACAGGCAAAAGATATCATCACTACAGAATCTCAGCCCGAGACACGAATGATCTGGGCAAAAGTTCAGGGCGATTTGTGGTACACACAGCCGCGTGGCTCGGACGATTGACATGCTTCTTACACAAGATCTGACAAGATGGTGTGGAGCAGAGATGTACAAGATCGAGTTGAGAGCCGCGGACAGTCGGCGTAAAAGTAGATATGGCTCCGATGAGGCTGTGGGTGTTGATCAAGCTTTGGCGATGGAAGTGGTTACAACGGAGAAATCTAACGGCAAGACACCGGTATGGGAAACTCAAGGCGGATCCTTTCGACCTACAGAATACAGTAAAGAAGAATTACAAAGGTTCCTTGCATGTGTTGGATGACAGGCTGACGGATGTTGGGTTGTCAGATCAGCAAGAGATGCACGAGAGAAGGCGGATGTAACAACCACCGACGCCTCCGACTGTGGATAGGAATGAGACGTCAGTAAATTCTCCGAAGCATCACATCAAATTTCAGCAGGACAAGAAGCATCATGGACCTTAAGGTCAGCTTTTGGTGGTGGTTGGAGAAGAAGTTGATGGTGACGTCTTGCTGGTTTCGGACGACCCCACGGACTTGCTAGACCCAATGAGGTAAAGCGTTCGGACTTTCTGAGGCAGCTTATTCTTATTCCTGCTGCTCTCTGTCCGCCCTGCCTCATGCTTGTTGCAGCACCAAAAGACGTGTCCGAGGGGCGCGCGTGAGCAGCCAAACCAACGAGGACCTTCGGAGAATACGCGTCACTGCTTGTCAGAGGCGATGAAGAAGGGTCCAAAGGTCTGCGACGGTCGGTGCATGACGCGGCTGTGCAACTGAATCAAGGCTATATAGGCAGAGAGGTAGGTAGGTTTTTCCTTACATTCAGTTTTTCTACCCAAAGCCAAACGTACAATCATACACACAACACAAAACGAAAAAGCCAAACCACCCACAATGAAGTTCGATTTCTCCATCCTCGCCGCTGCCACCGCTCTCATCGGCTCGGCCACCGCAGCACCCCAGAACAACAACAACGGTAACAACTGGCAGAGCTACGCTTCACAAGCAAGTTCTTACTGGGCATCAGCCAACCCCTCCGCTACGGGTGATTGGTCTTCGTGGGCCAATGCCGCCTCGTCGTACTGGAACAGTGTCAGCCCCAGTGCCGCTCCCCTCGCAATGGTCGTCATACGCTTCGGCCGCATCCTCATACTGGGCTTCCAACAGTGGTAGCATGATCACTGCCGCTCCCAGCGCATTCCCCTGGGCTGGCGGTTTTGGTCCTGGCGGTCACGGTGGTCCTGGCGGATGGAGAGGCGGCAATGGATACGGTCCTTTCGGCGCCAACAGCAACGGCACAAACTCTGGCTGGGGTCCTTGGGGCCAAAGCGGTGCTTGGACTGACGGACCTTGGACCTCTTGGTGGGGTGGAAGCAACTGCCCTGACAGCACCTGGTCTGGTTGGACCTCTGGCCCCTGGGGCACAAACGCACCCTGGACTTCTTGGTCGGGCTGCAAGGCTTCCACTACTGCCACATCGACCGTCACCACTACCGTCTCGGGCGTACCCACCACTTCTATTGCCTATGGCATTCAGGTGAATGCCGCTTCTGCCGCTTCTACCGCCTCTGGTTCGGGTACCGCCGCTACGGCTTCCGCAACTGGCGCCGCTTCCAACCTCGGTGTTTCTGGTGCTGGTGTCGGTATCGGAGCCGCTGTTGCTGCCGTGTTGATGCTGTAAACGCTTAACAGTTGCATGAATACGAATTGCATGACTTGTTATGAGATGGATACTTTGAAGGACTTGTATGCTAGATTGTCATTAAGGTCATAATGGAATCGTCATTATTCTTCACCTTCTCCTGTTCACGTTGCATAACGATTGTGCTGCGAAGCTTGAGTTGACAGACGAAAACTTGCTCTTCTTCAGATGTGACAGGTATTCGTAGCTGTCTGAATGTGAACTTGCAGTGCTCTTCTAGTTTAGCTGTTTGCGTTTGATGGTCGTGAACCGCATGCGGATGAAGCTGGGCAAAGGCTTTCCGCACCGGGCGCAATCCGAAGCCATCGATGAGCGTCGTCGTTCGTCCAAACTTCAACAAAGATTGTCGAGCATGCACAACTAAGTCGCTACAATACTGTCTTCTCGCTGGCAGACAATTACAGCTTTTTTCTTGCTGAACGAGCACATTGAGCGACTCTCTGACGTATCGGAGGCAGTATAGCACGAATCCAGCCCGAGGCTCGAGGACCCCATGCCTCACAGCTGTTTCTACAATGACCACATCATCAAGAAGCCATTCTCTTCCACCATCATGAGACCAACATAGCATAATGACAGTCCAGGATATAGTCGAGAAGGAGTAACGACTTGTAGCTCATGCCTTGTCTTCCTGCCTCAGGCCAAGGACGGACGATCCTCCACCCCATCTGTCCCGTGCTGTTTCGGTCGATCTATCAACCTCTCGTGCTTGCTACAGGATCATCGTTGTGCTGCTTCGTCTGGTTCAATTTCTCCCGAGGTCATACTGCGTGATGCATCAGCAAGCACATGCCGCACCCATACCGAGTCATGATCATCGCACCTGATGCTTGGGCCGCTCGAACAAGCAATTGGATTGAGAGAAAGTAGCGAAGGGCACTGGACACCGTGCAGTAGCCTATCATAAGGATATCAGCTTGCCTTGCTGTGTTGAAGCATAGGAGCTGTTGGCAGTCAGGCAAACCTTTCGGGTTCTTCACATCACGCTGGTCTCGTACAAGCACATGCCAATCCTAGCCTCGACAGGCAGATGGCCCTGTTGTGTTTCCGCAGTCTCTAGCCGACACTGAAGCAGTGGAGACACCTGCCAACCCTTGTAGCCATGTTGAGTACATTATTGTTCCTGGTTCTCAGATGCCTCTTCCAAGCGATGCCGACGATGCAGCTATGAACAGCCAGCGACCTACAGATACCATGTCATCTCAGCATCATGCATCGACAAACACTCGGTCTGGCAATCACAGCGCCACCCTCGCCTTCAACACTGAGGTCAACGACGATGATGTGCTTCTTCGTACCACGAGGTTGAACTGACAAGGGAAGATGAGCCATCCAGCTGTGGTGCAACCGTGTTTCTCCTGATAAAGCACATCTGGAGTGGATGAACAGGAGGTGTTTGTTTCGAAACCTCCGAGTAGGTGCTGTAGCCCGAAAGTCAGGAGCCAAAGCTGTAGGTTGTTGTTTCTTTCTCCTTCTTGATGCTATAAGGGGTGGACTGAGAGTGCTCCACAGGTAGGTCCAGGAAGTGTAGGTGATCGAGTGTCATCAAGGCTGGAGCGAGCCCTGTCAGGGTTCTGAGCTTGATCGGACAGCTTTGCTCTCTGCCTATCGTCAAAAGCGATAGAAGCGGCGGTCTTTGAATTCGTCGCAGGTGATAGACATCGCGTCCATGGGTGGCAGAGGAACCGCATGGGGCTATCGAACCTAGGGGACACTGTCAGCCAAGTGCTACAGGATGCGAAAAGATGTAGGAGCGAGCATCAGCTAATCGAGGCTTGGATGGGTTGCGAAGGATAGCAGCATTGTCTTTGTTATTTGCCAAAGGAGACTCGGATGATTGCCTAAACGGGACTAGTCCTCGATGGTGGTGTCGGTTCTGCGCGCCCTCGACGGACTATTCGAACGAGGTGAACTCGCGTCAACCCAAGCGAGACACAACAACAGAAGTTTTACCCACACAACCTCACAGTCACGCCCCTTGTGGACTCCTCCTCTCTACCCCCTTACACCATTTCGGTATGGTCACAACTAGAAGTGCTGCGCTGCAGGCCCGCCAGGTCACCAGAAGCAGCGCCGCTGTCCTGAACACTGGCCCATCTCGCGTGAACAAGCGCAAGGCGGCTGCCTCTACCAACAATCAGCGCAAGACAGCTCAAAAGCGCAAGAAGACTGTCCCCAAGAAGCAGAGTATCTCCAAACCTGAACCCACCTTGGAGAATCATACTACAATCGACGCCAATCGCGAAAGAACAATCAATGACGATGCCACTATCAAACCCGTTACCAGGGGCACGAGCAAGAAGGTCGATCAGAATGCAACTCTCAAGCCTTCAACCTTCGCCAACAAAAGTCTGCTCTCCATGCTAGCAAAGGCCCAAAGGTCTCCGACAAGAGCAGCAACAAAGTCACAACTCGCCCCATAGTAAGCCTTCTCCCTGATGCCGCGCCAATCGATCGCAGCGTGCTGAACAACCATAAGAGCTCTACCAGAAGTGCACCCCACGACCTTACTCAAGCTAGAGAGAGCCTCACCACTCCCCCCTCGCCGCGTCACTAGGCGTATGGCAAGGGGGAACACTCTGCATCAGTCTTCGACCACAGAGACAAACAGTCCATCCGCAACCGAGCCTGACCGCACCGTCAATCCTGACACTGAACTTGGACACGAAGGACCAAGAGAACAGCAAGTCACTGAGGAGGTTGGGGATGACTATGTTGGCCCCTCTCCAACCTTCAACGATGATGACCTCTACTATGTGGCCGAGTACCAGATGTCGTTCAGGGCTCACGTCAACCGTGGCCTGCTCAGAGACGCTATCGATCATCTTTACACATGGGAGGCACTCAGTCACGGACAGCGCAGAGAAGTGGTGAGATGCTATGAGGCCATCTCTATGGGCCTGGTACGCAATTGTCAGGAGTTACTTGCTCTCCCCCTAACCCATGTTGTTTGGACTCAAACTGAGCGTCGCGGCATAACTGTAAGTGTGCCCACACGACATGCTGAAAAACATTGCTGATGTACACCCAGGTCATCGATGCAGCCAGAGAGTGGTTCATGTCCTTGTGATGCGACACTGACGACGAGGGTTCGGAGGCCAGTGAGAAAGATGCTAGTTCTCAAGATTGATGTTGTGAATGACCTTGGTGGACACGGGAGAAGATCGAAGGTTTTGGTGTTCAGCTACTGGCAGGAATGGGACAGGGGAAAGTAGAAAGGAGCAGGAGGGCACAGTGAGGAATGGTTGTACCCAGAATGATACCCTGTAGCGCGCCAGGCTACAAGAAAATGCTCTTAGAGGAAGGAGTGTAATAGCTCAAGCTTTCAGTTCGTTCTCGCCGATCTTCAAGTCATGCTGCAAACGCTCTCTGCAGCTTGTTGGTAGCAACATGAAGTGAATTGGTCCTTGGAACTATCGGCCACTCCTATAATCACCTCTTATCCCATAACCAGCCAACCCAGTCCTTGTTCATCACATCAAATCTCATCCATCTCGTAATACTACCGCCACTGTTTTCCAAACATCATGATACTCATCATTGATCTCCTTTGGCTCCTCTTCGCCCTCGCCAACGACTGCTTATTCTTTATGCTGAGCGGTCAGGTCATGTTTGCCTCGCTGGTCTTGTTGTTGTTCTTCTGGGGCGCCTTTGACCGTCGCGGCGAAATCCCTTGGAACGCCATATTCGAGACTGGCTTCATGGTGCGCGATGGCTTCTTGTACTTGTATATCTTCATGACGCTGGAAGCCTTATTGCTGCGTGTGAGTACCGACGTATGGTTTTTGATCTGGAACATACCTGACCTTTGCTTTGCAGCATTGAACCCCTGCGATGAAATTTACACACGTAACATGCTATCACAATGCAGCTTACTTCTGCTCCTGGTATGCCGTCCACTGAGAGCCTTTAATTTGCAGTTACTAACATAAAAAGCAATCAGTCATTCAATGGACATTATCCTACTTCAGATACAATTCTGCATCAAGGCAGCACTAGAAAAGGATGGCATGCTTTGTGGAGACAACGAAAGTTATGATACAAGAACTACGAATCCAAAAGCACTTCAATCTCCCTGAATTTTGCTTCAAGCCTACTGAGATCCATCTCCTGACAGAAAGTGTCAAATTGATCACGCAGTTCGGCAGTCCTCGTCTTCCATCCCTTCACGTCCCTTTGCTTGTTTGCTGAGCGCCTCAATCTGATGGTCTTGAGTTTTTGCTCTCTGTCCTTCTGGTCTTTCTCGCTCGGAGGAGGTGGAGGAGGTGAAGGAGGAGGCGGTGGTGGTTCAGAAGCACCGATTGACGCTTCGCTACTACTTCCCGATTTGGGAATGTGCAGTGTTTTCTTCAAGCATCTGATCTCTGACTCTCTAGCACAGACATTGTCAAGAATCCTAGCCCGTTTGTTGCCGTAATTGATCCTCATGTCTGCAATCTCCTGATTTTTCTGTCTGATGCTGTCACGAAGACGTCTGTTTCTTTGAGCGGAGATTTTGAGAGGTGACTCGTGCTCCTTGTTGATCTTTCGTGCCGTTTGTGACTTCTTCATCTTCTTCTTGATTTCTGCCTTGACTGGCTTGAGAGCCTCGTTTAGAGTGGCAAGAAGTTGAGTCACGTTCTTGTCGTTATCGTCGACGGGGTGTGCAAGTTGATCAGCTGGGATCTTGAAGGCTCCTTCTGACCTCTTCTTCGCGTGACGCAGTCGCTTCTTCGTCTTCTCGAGTTCGCGTTGCACATTTCCATATTCCTTATTGGCCCTGGCAAACTCTTGGTCCGCGTCGACTTCGAACTTTTTGTATCGCCTGAGTTCGGCTTTCAGTTGCAAAATCTCCTGTGTTGCTCTCATAGTCTCTTCCTGCGCGGCCTTTTGGGTTGCTTTGGCGTAATGAAGTTGTCCTTTGAAGAAGTCTGTTGATGAGGTTGATTTGTCGTCTGCCTGTGCGGTTGTCGGCTTCAGCTGTTCGGTGTGGCCAACTGGTGGAACAGGGGTCTTGTTCTCGGTAATACTGGTAGGGACCGCTGGCTCAACGGTATTGTCTGATTCAGGTCTGTCGCCATTGGTCACTTCGTTCGGCGTGCCGAGTTGGAGACTAGAGTCTTGACCAGAGAGCGTCTTGTTGTTGAAACTTGTCCAGTCGAATAGTGGTTTGGTCTCGATTGTGGGTCTAGCCGGAGTAGGGACATTGGCTGGCGCTCTGTTGACAGTGTTGTCAGATTTGGGACCTTCGCCAATGATCTCCTCATTCGTCTTGCTGAACTGGAAGCTAGGTGGCTGAGAAGCGAGTGTCTTCTGGTAAGTTGCCAAGTCGAAGGGTTTGGTCTGTTCGGCGGCTTTGTGTTGTGAGGCTTGCTGCTCTGCCGCAGCTGCACCTTGAAGTGTTTCTTTGGCTGCAGCCGTAGCACAGGCGTTGACCGGCGCACTATCAGGGATATTCGAAGATTTTACCGGCGTTACTGGTAGAGTGGCACCATGAAGTGGTTTCTTGGTAGTAGTGAAGGCAAAGACGTTGGCTGGCGCACTCGTAGGTACATTCGACGATTTCTTTGGCGTCACGGGTAGAGAAAGTGGTACAGAAGATGGCGCTGCTGCTGTGGACTGTGTGGCTGTTACAGGTCGCGCAATGTTGCGCGGTGCTGGTGTTGGATTCTGCTGCAATGTGGCCTCGACTGGTTTCGGCGCACGTGGAGAAGAAGTGTTTGGTGCTGCCTGAACGACAGAAGCCAAAGGAGATGGCTTGTGAGGTGCAGTCGAACTTCCTGGTCCAGCTTCTTGTGATACCTTTTGTTGAGTAGCTTTGACGCGCTCGACGACAGGGATCTTGATCTGAGATGGGGCGGTGGGCAGAGGACCTTTGGCTTCTTGAGATTTAGCGTGCTTGTTCTCAGACTGCTGGCTTTTGTCACTCTGGTCAGAAAGCTTTCCAAACAAGTTGGAGCGATGTTGCAAAAACCCCGAGGAAGTCTGAGCAGCAATTTTCTCCTCTTGAGCTTTCGCAAGTTGAGCCTTGATATCATTGAGTCCTTCCTCAGTACGAACTTCTTTAGCGATCGCTAATTTCGCTGTCCTTTGCCAATGAGAAAGCTCACTCTGGCTTTCGGCGAAGGCTTGCTCTTGGGTTCCAAGATCAAGTCGTACCTTCGCGAGCTCAGCTTCCAAGTCTTCGCAGCGCTTCTGTGTAGCGGGATTGTCCTGAGCTTCGGAATCTCGAGCTGATCGAGCTTCAGAGAGCTCGGCCTGGTGCTTTATGTTTTGGTGCGAGAGAGCTTGACGCTGAGCTTGTAGGTCTTGTTGAAGGTTGGACAGCTCAGTTTCCAGATCCTCACAGCGCTTTTGTGTAGTGGATTTGTCTTGATTTGCGGTGTCACGAGCCAATTGAGCTTCAGAGAGCTCGGCTTGATGCTTTGCGTCTTTGTCTGGAAGAGCTTGACGTTGAGCTTCCAGATCTCGTTGCAGCTTAGCGAGATCAGCTTCCAGATCCTTGTTTCGCTTTTCGGAGGCGGCTTCGTTGGCAATTGCGGTGTCTCGATCATGGAGTGCTGTAGCAAGCTCGTCTTGGGCAAGAGAGTCTTCTCCAGCTGGGGCATGTTGAAGTTGTTCGAGCTTCGACCGAGCAGCGGCAAGCTCAGTTGCCAGCTCATCTCTCTCTTTCCTCATCGCAGTCTCACTCGTGACTACAGCGTTTCGAGCCCTTTGAGCCTCGGAGAACTTTTGGATATTCTGGGCATTCGCCTGCTTGGAGATTCTGTTTGAATTCTCAAGCCCTCTGATCCGCATGTCTTTGCGAACTATGTCATCCTGCAATTTGCTGTCAGGTTGTGCGGGTACTGCCTTTGCTGCTGCTTTCGACGTCTTGAGCTCTTCATCAAGTCGCCGAATGGTTGATTGCTGCTGACTGAGCTCGGTCTGGAGGTTGGCATGCTCGGTTCGTAGTTCTTTGTTCTGGCTCTGGAGAGTGACCAGCTGCTTTCTGAGCTCACGCTCAGTGGTTTGAGTGGTGGTGTTAAACTTTTCTGTTTCGTTGTTTTTGTAGTACTCCTCCAATTCTGCGAGACGCCCCTCAAGATGTCTAATCGTCTCAGATCTGCCAGTGTTATCTTTCTTGATATTTTCATGTTGCCATTTGAGCTTTGACAATTCTGAAGCAAGCTCTTCCTTACTGTGCTGATCGAGATTGTGAACTTCGAAGTTCTTCTTGTCCGACAGACACTCTGCGAGCTTCTCCTCCAAATATTCAATCCTCTGATTTCTTATCCACAGTACATGGGCGAACTCAGATCCCCAGGCCAAGTGAGGATTCTCTTCTTGCCATTCGCTGACGGGCCTCATCAGGCTGTTACGTAGCTCTTCATGTCGCCAGGTTCTGAAGTTGCACTTCAGCTTCCATTCGTAAAGCGCTGCGATAGGCTCTGGAAGCAGATGCTTGGAATGATCAAAGCCCACCATCCCAGGGCAGCAACGAGGATCCTTGTCAGCTTCTGCATAGAGTGAGAAAAAACAGGAGCGACACCACTTGTGGTTGTAGCAGAGTCCTTTCTGGCTATCATCGCTATCATGCATAGCTTGTTTGCACGAGTAACAGATTTCCCTTCTCAAGAGACTGCAATCACGCCGCACATCACTTGACAGCATGTGTTCAACCTCTTCGAAAGTGACTCTGATACCGTCATGTGCCGTCCTCTGAGCTTTCTCAGGTGCAGCTCGGAACGCACGATCGGCGCACTCGTGGCACCAAGAGCAGCAACCGCACCTCAAATTGATGCAGTGAATCTTGGTCACGTCTCGACGGCATTGCCAGCAGGGTGGTTCTGTCGGTGTCGGGCCACCTGGCTTGAAGTTGAACTGATGTGTGCATTCTCCTCGAGTCTCCTTTGAACAAGAAGCACAATAGCTCTGGGCAAAACCTGCTTGCTGACCTCTCCCGTCGTATTGCTGGCGCTTTTCGGGGTCTTTTAGTATTTCGTACGCATAGTTGATTTCTTGCATGCGCTGGGTCGAGTCGGGGTGTTTGTTTCTGTCGGGGTGGTGCTTGCGGCTTGCACTCTTAAATGCCTTCTTGATCTGCGCCGCGGTGGCATTCGGCTGTAAGCCTAAGATTTGGTAGAGGTCTTTGTCAGGCAACATTGCGAAGAGCTTGATAGCTGCGTCGAAGTGTCCGGGCAAGTTGAGCGCTGTTTTGCGAAGGTTGCTCAAGCTCAGTACTGATGTGTTCTATCCAATCTGACAAGATCTTGATGGCAGGACGCAAATGGATGCGGGCGTGTTTTGTTGGAAAAGGCGGCGTCAAGACAACAAAGCAAACACTTCCACGATCGAGGTCGTGGTCACACAAAGAGATGTTCCGCAAAGGAAGCGAACGAACAAAGCGAATGCAAATTTTGCATCAAACAAACAAAAGTAAATTTCACATCTACATACGGAACCCCAGCACAGACACATGGACAGTGACGAGCAACTCTGCCCGACCATCAAAGTACCCCCTCTACCCTCAGAAACCATCGCCAATAGGGGACCCATCGGCACGATAGCACCCACCACCACGAGGCATGCATGTGACACCAGTGTAAGTAGTGCCTTCAGGCGGCTTCACTGGAGTCGTCGTGCTCGGTGCGTCTCCATCATCATCCTCGTGATTCCCAGCACCAGGATATGGAGGCTTGGTACACATAGGCATGTGCCAACAAGTAGCGATCATGATGATGCAGCACCGACACTTTGAGGTGTCGCATGCGGGACTGAGATTGCTGATCACGCCGTTCAGGAAACCTCCGGCACCTCTCTTTGAGATAACGGGTGTCATTGCAGTGCTGCTGATGGTTGCAGACCTCAAGGCGAGGTCGGCAGTAACGACGGTGTGGTTGTTCGTGTTATGAAGCACTTCCAAAGGTCTTGCGAATGCCGTAGCTGCAGTAGCGGCGACAAGGAATAGTGTTATCTTCATCGTTGAGCTCTAAGGGTGTTACGGCAAGTGGTACGTTTTCGCCTACGGTATTAGAGTCGACGTTGGTTGATGAGAGAGAAGCGAAAGCAACTCGCATTATGTAGATCTTTAAGACTCATGATAGCGAGAGGAATTATGAGCAAGTTTGTGAACAGTTCAAATTTGTGATGTCTCGTGGATGAGTCATCCATAGCAGTCATGCAAGAAATTTACGAGAACTACCTCACTCTGGCTTCAGTTTTTATTCTTACCTGCTTGCATCTGTCTAACCGTATTTGAATAGCATTCTGGTATTTCCCTAGGCGATCGAGAATGGTTATGGACGAAGCGAAGTTTATGAGTCTAACAAGCTGTCTAATAGCATGCAGCAAGCACAATAAAGAGGCAGATCTCCGAGACCTCTAATTCATTGGACATATCAGTAGGGGAAAAATGAATCGAGTACCTTGTATCGCGACGTGAGATGTCTTGCGACAAGTACCCGAAATCATCCAGTAAGGATAATAACAACTATATCAGAATATCACTCGATCAACATGAACCCTTGCATTCATAACCTAGTCTTTGGCACAGAGTGGAAATTTCAGCCTGTAATCATTTCCATTTGTAGTAGTATATATTAACCTCCCTGACCTTCTGTTGAGTTACATGATAAGATCTGATGGGAGTAAATTTTGCTTTAGGTAGTACCGAACCTTGCCAGTCTTTCTCTTATCTCCTCACGTAGCTCGTTATCATCAGATTCATTTTCACCATAGAGAACAAACAGTAATCTTGTAGCCTCAAGCTCATAATCAAGGAACTCCTGCGATCTGAACGAGCGAAAATGGTTGTTGAAGAGGTTGCCAATCACGTCCTGACTTATATTGTAGACAAAACCAAATGGCATGTTGACAGGTTCAAATTCCTGATTCGAGAGTTGTCGGCCAATCTCAGTGAGGATCAGTAGAGCACGTGGAGTGATGGGGCGTCAATGTCGTGGATGCCTTCAAGCGTAGCTGAAAGTATCGCACAAATATCGTCGACATCGGTCTCACTGAGCCTCGCCATGTACTCTCTGAGCATGATGAGGAAGACGTGCGCCCCGGCGAGAACCTGGCGAGCTAAAGGGCGTCCGGCGCGCTCGAACAGTTCGTTCGCTTCAGCATCTCTGTGACCAAATCGGGCTTCCAATTGGGCTTCCTGTTCCTCGTCGATTTCTTGTTGAACTCTTTCCGCATCGGCGTGAGAGTCTGGGCAAGTTCCCATACAATCGTCCCAATCTCTTTCGCATAGAAAGCACCATTCATGAAGGCATCCATGATGCAGGAGATGCATGTGCTGGCATCCGCCGTTGCGATAGCAAACAACTTTGCACGAAGGGCAGGGCTTACCACCGTTGGCTTTGGCGGTGTCGATAGCGTCTTGAAGCTCCTGGTCTTCGGTACAGGCACCATCATGGGCAAGCTTTTTGCAGGTCAAGCAGGCAAACTTACCGCAAAAGCATTGGCGGCCACCTCTTAAAGATGATTCGTGAGATGGAGGGATGAACATAGCCCAGTCTGTGTCTGCACACCAAAGGCGTTCGGCACCGGCGGTCGCCCATACAACATAGAAGTTGTTATACATTCGTTCATAGAGCCCAGCTGGGATGAGAGACTTAAGGACCTGCAAGAAATCTCTGCTCCGCAGACAGGACAGGACGGGCGAGGGTTGTTTTCCTGTAGATTGGTCAGTTCACTTGTGTGACACTCAGAGCAGTAACCACAGTGGCCACAAGCCAAGTTCGAAAGTTGTACACCTTCCTCACAGCAGATTGGACAATCGCCTGCAACAGTCGTAGATGTGGGCATTCCAGATGCCTCGAAAGCTGCGTTGAATTGAGTGTTACTCATCTTGAATTCTTTTTTGGGGTATTTTATTTTGGTCGTATAACTGGCGTGGTTCTGAGTCTGGAACTTGTTCAAAGATCAACCCTGACTTGATTTATAGTATTCGTGATACAGTTCCACATGGCTGAAACAATCTTCAAAGGACGTTGCAAAGGTCAAAGGATATCGAAGAATGTGCTGAAAGAAAAGGCGTTGTAATTTCCTGCCATCAGCGTTGAAAGGAACTTTTCCGCCGCGCCCATCGTGCAAAGAAAGCGCCGACAAATCTTTTAGAACCGATTGGTGGGATATAGTGCCTGTATATCCATGAAACCATCTATACATTTCTGAGTAATGCTACTGTACTATGACCATGAATATATCGTCATCGCAACCGATGAACAGTGCTCAATGCACAGGAGTTGTGTAGCCCGGCTCAAGCTTTCTTTCAGCAGCCCACTGCATGATACTGTCCCAATCATAGCATGTATGCTTCTCAGCATTTCCTAAGAAATACTTCGCGCCGTCCGAATCCTCGAAAACATGCATCGCCGCCGGGCTGAGATCGGGCCGGCACTGTAAACTCTGTCTGATATGGTTCATACAATGGTCAATGTGGTCTCTTTGGGCAGCCTCGAGGGCACCTTGGTGCTGTTGTGCTGCGTGAGTCCCATGATTCTGTCCTTCTCTTCGGCCAACATGGCCATGGTCGTGGGCGCCGTAGTAGTCCTTATCAAGCTCCTTTCTCACCGCGTTTAGACAGTGCAAGTTGTGGAAGACGTCGAGGGCGAAGTGGTACTTGCCCGTTGCAGGATGTTTGTCTCTTTCCAAGTCGAAATCAAGAGAAGGATTCAAGGCAATCTCCTCCGATGTGATGGCAGGGTACTCATACTGTAGAAGATCTACCCACGCGGCATCTATGGCGGGGCTCGGCTTGCCAAAGTAGAGTGGGAGGGTGGGGTCCATTTCTCTGTATACTGCCTTGCTTGTCTGGTTGAAGAGGAGGAGGTCGTCGAATGTGATCGTAGCACGTCTGTGTGGTAAACGAGTTGTGCTCACTGTTCAACATGGTCATTCAGCGCTTTCGCTACTAGCCCGATCAGGTGTTGATGGTGAAGTACCGAAGTCTGCCTCAAGTCTCTCGCAATTTGCCGGAGCTGGCTTTTGAGATAGATGAAGTCCTCGCCAGAGCATGAGGCAGAGACCAGACCAAGCGATGTTAGACAATATTAGTGCAATGGTTAAGGGCGACTTTGGAATCCATGGATGCCGCTCTTTTCTCGAGTGTCTCGTCGCAGATTCCGATTTTGGTGTTATGAGGCCTACACCGGCCTCGTCTTCGGCATTAATGGGATCGTGATCCTCACACTCATACCACGCCATGACGATTGGATACTTGCTGAGATTAGGAGGAGATAAAAACAGTTGTCTGGGGTCAGCATTATAAATACTTGTGGTTGAGTCTTACGCCGTTGACGTCAGCTGGCAATGGTTGGAGTAGTGGAACTTTACTGTGCATTGCCTCTAATTGGTGTTGAAGAAGGTTCAAGATGGTCCCCGCACCCCCGCTCGTCCTGCAAAATTTCCGGGGCTCAGGTGCTTGCGGGTTGATCCTCCCTTTCGGCCATCTGGGTTTTGGGCTTTTATGTCTTGACTGCTTCTCTAAACTACCTACGTACGGGATGTAGTTCTAAGACTCTTGGGATTCTCTCAACAGGCGAAATGTGCTGTCACGCAGAGCAGTAACCAGCATGCCGGAAACAAGGTCTCAGGTCGTCTGGGCTTCACATTGAACTATTGGAGGGTTGATTCGCAAGTAATCTCTTCTACAGGCATGCATGATATCACTACAGGTCATTGGGTTTCACAATTGGTGGACGTCGTCAGGAATGTCTGACGGTAACTTATAGAGGCAATGATTATTTAGATGAGCCGCCAGCGGCATTAATTAGTCAATTTCGCTATGAAATATACAAGAGCAAGGCTCAAAGATCATGAAGAATCTGGCCTCACAAAGGACAATAAAAGGTTCATGTAGTAGCGGCGTCTCTCGGCAAGATCGGGTTCCTGGTGCATGCTAAGCATTTCAATTGCCTCCTGCTCAGCAGCGATGAAGCCCTCCGATCTCAATTCATGAACATCTCCCAGAAAATCCTCGATGGCCTGAAGATTGAATTCGTATGGATCATCGGTACGCAACCACAGCTCAGCCGCTGCATGATCGCGAGCCTGTGATATGAGCCGGGCGAAGTTGTTAAAGTCTGACAGATGCTGTTCGTCAAGAGGGTCAAGGCGATTGACTCGATCCTCCAAAACGTCGTCAAGTAGGCCCTGTCCCATATCAAGGAGCCATTGAATGAGAGTGGTTGTGGCAAGGTATTCCCTGTGCACAGCCAGTGTGACACTGAGAACCGCCAGAAGCTCGTTGAACGAGAACATGTCGCGATCATTGAACTCAATACGTAGCCGAGCACCAGCAAATCTTTCAGCGATAGCAAGTGCGTCATCATCCTCGAAATAGTCCCACTCATTTGCCCAATCCGGGATATCGTTGTCGTAAACATCCTGTCCCAGTAAATCATCTTTCGTCCCTTCACAAGTTGCCAAACAGTCTTTCCATTCTGCAAGACAAAGAATGCAAAACTCTTTGTCACAATTCGGGTGGGCATAAATATGTTGGCATCCGCCGTTTCGGATGATCAAGGTACCGCAGAAAGGACAGGGTTTGGCACCGTCAGTTAGAGCTGTTTCGACCGCGGCCTTCAAGCCTTCATCTTCGGGGCAGGCGCCATCGTGAGCGTTGTTCTTACAAGCCAAACAAGTCGTCTCGTGGCAATTCATACATTGGCGACCTCTCGAGGAAGTAGGAGCGGAAGGGGGAATGAACTTCAGACAGTCAGTGTTAGCGCAGTAGAGATGTTCGTTGGTAGGAATGCCCCACTCAAGCATTCTAGTGGTGATTGTAGCGTATTGCTCAGGATCAATAATAGATTCAAAGGCCTCGATAGGAATGGCGGTCGAGCAGGTGGGGCATTCTGGTTTGCGGTCGCCCTCCTGCAAGTGTCTGAGAGCCTCAGCATGACAATCTTTACAATAACCCGTGTGCGAGCAAGGCAAGATGAAGAGGGCGGCTTCCTGGACGCAAACTGGACATTCGCCGAAGCTGAAAGTAGGGTTGGAGTCGGAAGTACTCATGTTGCTGACTTCGCTTTTTGCTGGTATGTTCGATAGAAGTGTTGTTTTGGATCTGTTCTGTTCTGTTCAGTAGCAAAGGTAACCCTGCTCACCTATATACAAACCGCATCAAGAGGGGCAATAAGACCGAGCTGCGTAGTACCTCACCAAGGCGGCTTTGATCAGGCACAATGAACAAAGACTGACTGCTAAAGATGAATGAACCGCTTTCCGAGTAGACAAGGAAACAAAGTAAAATGCACAATGAAACAAAGCTCACAAGACAACAAGGACGTCACTTTCTGATTCAGGATTGGGTGAAGGAACTTTTGATTGCAGACGATCTGAAGAGGTCTGGTGACAGTTCTATGACTGTTGACTGATTGCTGGCTGTTCAACGACTGTTCTGGTGACAGCGTGAAGTGACTGTGGTCCCCAATGTGACGGTCGGACGGTAGATGTGAGCTTAGCTGAGCTTGCGGCGGTTGTCAGGCAAGAAGCCAGAGGTGTCCATGATTGAGGCAGGGCCGCTGAGCTTGTGGTACATGTAGAGAGCGTCGTCATCGTCATCGTCGTCTTCACTGTCGCTTGTGTCGTGATCGGGCAGGGCCACCTGGCGGGCGGTCTCGGCGGTCTCGCGGAGCAGAGCTTCTTCCTTGACACGCTTCTCCTTCTCCTCGAGCTCTCTGACCTCGCGACGGCGTCTGTTGACGCGGTTCTCTTCGTCGGCGGCCACCATGCGCAGCTCGTGGATGAGACGGCGCTCGTTGCGAGCGTGACGCGCGGCGCTGCCAGTGCATTAGTGAAGAACCAGGGGAGAAGAAAGGGGGAAGATCTTACATTATCATGAAGAAGAAGGCGGCGTAGAAGGGAACGAGGAACATGAACATGATGAAGGATTCAACGGTGAGAAGAGTCTTGTAGTCCATGTGTGTGTGTGTGTAGTAGGAAGAGTGGTTGTTTCAGGTGATTGTGTGTGGAAAAGGTGACGTTGCTGCGTTATGTTGTGAAGAAGGGAGCTTGCTCGTGTGAAAGAAGACGTGTTGTTGACAGTGAAGCACGGAACATTCTAGGCTAAGCAAACGATGATGAACGACGTGTCGACGAAGGCCACCCCTTATCTGATCTCCTACTGGCCAAGCCTGGGCACAACACCTGCAGATATGCAGCATAGACCTGGGTACAGAAGATGGTCATGAGAGACTCTATGCATCGAGGGTTCTTCAGTGGACATTCAGAGATCTGGTAGGCTTTTATGCATTTTGATAGGTATCTGAAATCACTCTATGGCAGTGGGAGACGCTTAGAATGTAGGCTCAGATTGATGTTTGTGGAAGAACTTGTCACAATCCCCTCTCAGGCAACTCTCGGCATTACACCTGTAAATATGTAGAAACAAGTTCAGAGCAGAGCATTGCTCAGGGAGAGTGTGTATCTGAACAGCTCTTCAGTGGATACTATGATATCAGGGAGAGTTTTGTGCATTTTGATAGGAATTTAGATCCACGCTGCGGCAACGGGAGATGCTTGGAACCAACTTTAGATTGGTCTCGTTGAAACATCAGTCAGATCTCCTTGTGGGCAAGTCTCGGTACAGAACCTGTAAAAATGCAGAGAGAAGTCTGAAACAGAGCATTGTCCAAGGAGAGCATGTGCCTTGAGCACTCTTCAGTGGACACTCTCAGATCTGGGAGAGTTTTGTGCATTTTGATAGATGTCTGGAATCACGCCGGGACCGTAGGAGATTTTTGAACTGTAGCTTCCAATTGGTTCTATTTAACAACCTGTAAGGACGTAACGTATTCTGCTACAGTAGGAAAGAAAAATCGCCCCGAAATCCCCAATCGTGCAGCATATAGGCAGAAAGAACTTGCCACGATGGATTCCAGCAGAGAAAGAGAAAGAAAGAGAGAAGCACCAAAGTGCACCACTGAATTCATCGTCTCGAACGATAGATCGTCACAACCAGCCCAGAAGAGCGCAAGGATGACTTGAAAGAAGGTACAACCAAGCTGGGACGGAACAAAGAAAAGAAGAGAGAAACCCCAGTTCAGTTCGGCAAAAACGAGGAATGTGGACGCTTTGGGAACAAAGAGAACCATCTTCCATGCCCGATGGGGGACAAGGTGCAGGCTCAAGTCTGGTTTTGGTGATTCTGCTCCTGAGTACGTTGACCCTATGCAGCCTCACACAGCTCCGATAGCGAGTTGGTCTCCTGGGTCTCGTCGTCCTCCTGCTCAGCGAGGTCAGCTCAGACATGCTCTATGCCGGGCTGCAAAGTACTTACATTGGCTTGCTGCTCCTTGCGAGCCTGCTCACGATGATGACGGTCCATGACCTCCTCGAACTCCTTCTCCGTGGTCTTCCACCACATGGCATGGGTGTGACGAGTGCTTGCCATGAATCGGGCAAAGTCTCTGTCGGCTTTGGCGTCTCTGAGCTGTTGAAGAGTGTCTACGTCTGCTGGAGGGTTTTCAAGCCTGTAACTGATTAGCGTGATGCTTTTGGAAGGGACTCGTCACTCGCGTCACAGACCTCTCATCGATGGGATAGCAAGCGGACATGTCGTCAATAGGATCAAAACCTTCATAGAAGGCTACGGCATGACGAATGTGCTGACGCAGGTGTGGGTCATACAGATGCTCGTAGACCGGACGCTGCTGAAGGGCATCTTCGGCGTCGTACAGTTGTAGCTGGATTTCTCTGTGCTTGTTGACCAAGAGCTCTGCCACGGCGAAGTGGCAGAAGTGGTGTTCGGCGACGTCTGCGTGGTTGCACATGTGGGTGGTGTATGGCTTGCGGTCTGCGTGCCAAACAGCTTCGTCGAGGATGATGTCGATTGTTTGGGTGAGCACAGCAATAAGACGCTCCAGCGCCTGAATCTGCGAGAGCACCATGGCTGATAAGCAAGGAGATTGATAAAGTGTCAAACGCGTTGTGGGAAGTGATGTTTGTATTCAGGGGTTCGCACGAGGTTGTGCTGCGACTATACTATCGGGGACCGAAATGTCAAGACCCCCGACTTTCGCTCCCTTCTGCATGTTCCTCAGACGAGCATTTGTGATCCTGTCTAATGTTCCATGGTGGCTGAGCTCTACATGCTGATCTGGACGAATGGACTCCCTCCCTTCTCTCCTCAAGTTCGAACCCCGCGGCATTCCATTACCATCCGCCAATCTCCCCACATCAGGGGCTCTGAGGAGGCAAGGACATCTGGAGCTATTGCAAGTCAGCATCGTGTTCGTTCAGTGAATTTCTGGGCCATGCTCGTATCACATACTGTTGGTGTCAACGATAGTGTCCTTGACTAAAACCCAATCCGGATGGTCGTGTGTCAGATGAGCCTCCACGTCCTTGGAGTTGACGTACAACTTCCAGCAATCAGGGTAGGGGCAAATGAAGTGTGAGTCGATCTCGTTAGCCTCAGCTTCGATCTGACTGTACTCTCCGTTCTGCGATGGCTCGACGGGGTCACCAGCGGGCATGAATGGGTCGTGGCTGCCGACGAAGATCTCGGGGTTGTGAGTGCCAACGAAGATCTCGGAGTTGTGGCTGCCAAATAACACCTGGGGGTCAAAAGCAGGCTTGTTGTCAGGCATGCTAGGGGTAAAGCCTGTGTTGAGAATCAATGCCGAGGTTCTGGGAAAGTGTCGAGCACGTCTGGAAGGGCGTCTATCACCTGTGTAGCTTGGGTTGTCGATGTCCATGTTGGTATTGTCAGAGGCGGCTGGAAAGGCAAGTGGCTCATGGGCAGCGTCGACCTGGCCGTCCTCGGGGTTGATGGGAGTGAAGCCTGGATAAGGCATTAATGCTGAAGTTCTGAAAGAGTGGCGAGCACGTTTGACTAGGCGTCGCTCACCTGTGTAGACGGGCTGGCCATTGGCGATGTTGTCATCGTTGGCGGTTGGCTGAAGAGGGAGAGACTCGTCGGTGTTGCTGACGGTGCCGGCTTCCGAGTTTCCAGAGGGAGACATGCTGCCATTGATGATGGCAGGTGCATCGGCGAAGGTGACGCGGCGCTTGGGACGAGGGCGAGGAACTGCAGTGGGCTCGTCGATACAAGCATCTTCAGGGACGAAGAGTGAGTCTTCATCCTCCGCAGGCTGGACTTCGGTACCAGGGGCTGCAGTGGGTGGCACAACACTCTGAGTAGAGTGGAAGGTGTTCAATGCGTCAGCCACGGGGTGCTGAGGTGGGCGAGTAAGTCCTTGGTCATTCTCAATGCGGATCAGAAGCTCGCGTTGGTCTCGAGCGAATGCCCGAGAGTCCTCCTCAAGCGTAGCGAGGTTCTCATGGAGGCGCTTCTCGCGCTCGCGCAAGTTTGCCATTATCTTTTGGAACTCTTCGGTCGCCATTGGGTGACTATGCGTGGTGTGAGTGTATGTAAGATGGAAGCCGGGATGGTGACCTACTTGGTGGTGTTTGGTTGAGGTGGAGGTTTTGGTGAAGAAGTAGACAGAAAAGAAAAGAAAGCTGGCAGGCGGGCGAGTCGGTAACAATTGAAGCAGCGCGTTCATGGTCTCACTTCCGTGTTGGACGTTGTCCTTCGTGCAACACATCACGAAATCCCCTTCGCAACGTGTTGCAGAAAAACACTCAACAATGTCTCCTGATAGCAGGAAGAGGGGGTCAGCTCCTGAGTGTTGCTTTTGATATCTAAGCTATACTGAGACGAGATCGCATCTGGAATTGAATGCTTGTGGATAGCTGCACAAATGCACCATCTCTAACGTTCATCCTCCCGCTATGTTTCGAAGTTGAGATACATCGCATGCAGAGTCTTGCATGAGCCAACCTTTGTATTCGCACCATCTATCCACTCAATACCTTATGCCTTCCGCGACAAATTATGCATGCAGAAAGGCTGCAGAATCTGTTTGCCGGGCTACGTCGAGATCTGAGACATTGCTTCACGTCCGGGCATGGCACCAAGATCAAAGACACTTCCGCTCGCTTCCATTAACAAAGAAAGTCCACGATAACGAGGGAGAAACACTTTGTCTCGAATGTTCTCTTCCACAAACCGCCCTTGGCAATCAGAACTTGCCCAGGTAGCTAGTCTCTGACTCCACTCTTACGCGTAGGACAGTGGAATGTCATGGCTTTCCCTAATGGAGATTGATAAGTTTCTCTATCCTGTACTTGCTTGCATTCCTTCTCTGGTTCTATTTCTCCTTCATGACCTGTGGAGGTTCTTCATGCTGCGTATCTGCTCCGGTGTTCTGGTTCATACGATAACAAAGGAAGTATTGTATCTTTTGAGTCTCTGCGGCCATCTTTGGAAGCCTGCTTTAGAGAGCAAGGCTCGTGTAGATCTTGTCCTCGTGCTTGCGCCCTACAGTAGTGGGTAATCTCTTCCATTCTCTGCCAAAAGTCAGTCATCACTCACTCGGACCATCTATCCTTGAAACTTACGGTATCCACGCTTGGTCTGCTCGTAACCAAGGTGTGGTAAATCCTTATGGCACCGAGAGTTCGTGATGTGCTCGTCTCGGCTCTGCTCCGTCGTGTAGCCCATCTCGTGATTGTTGCTACACCCGCGCTTAAAGCATTGTGGCCTTCCGAGAGAGTTCCAGTACACCTGAGCGTTGGTCAGAGTATACAGACCATCCGAGATTGTCGTTGTCACAGGTGGGTATCTTGGATAGACCGCGGTTCCTGATCGTGCTTGGCCCTTAGTAATGAGGGGGTTGCTAGGGTGGACTCCATAGGAGTCTGCGGTTTGCCGTTTGCCTGATAACCGTATCGGAGAATTGAGCCCTGCTGTTGAGCGAGCTGATTGGTGGGTGGCATAGTGGTTAGGACTGAACTTGGTTGCTGTGTCAAGGCATGACTCGATGTTGCCTCAGGGCGGTCATAAGAGTGCTGGGGAGTTTTCTGATGCTCGGTCGGCCGGTGATGCTTCGGAATCAATCTTTGAGGCTCTCCAGCTATATATGAAGGATGTCGATTTGAAGAGGGTTGCTTTGCATAAGCTCTCCTCCTGATCACCGATTTCAAGGAGCGATAGCCAGGAGGTACCCCACTACGAGGCGGGGTGTTCTCTCGACAAAACAGTGAGCTCTCCTCGCCTGGACTTCCATGTTCGGATGGGACAGCCTCTACAGTCTGCTGATCCTCCTCTGCATGCTTCTGAGTTGCCAAGAAGCCGTTCTACAGAACGAGTGCTCCCTGATTCTGGTCGCGCGCATCTGCCTCCTCTTTGTCAAAGTCATGGGAGGCCGTCTGGTTTTGGATCAAAGGTCGAGTCAGGGTTTGCGCAGTGTAAGTTCCAGGGGCGATCGAGACTGCTTCAAAGTTCAATCTCTGATCGTTGGTGGCGTTGGAGAAAGTGCTTGGCTTGTCGTTGTCGTTCTGAGATAATGGGCGGCACGACAGAATTTCTCGAACCAGGAGTCTGTCTTGAGCAATAGTTCTTGGGCTTCTTGGTGGGGGACGAGCTGCACGCAAGAGTCCACCAGCGTCTCTGGTGATCTCTCTGTACTCGTCTTCAGGTATCGGCCATGGCTCGCCGAGAGAAGGAGGGCGAGGGCGATGTGCCATGTCTGTGCAAAAGTCAGTGGGAGATTTGGGATGTGATGGCAGAATAGCTTTACCGAGATATGTTAAAAGACGTTGTTGATCGTGATTTGCAAAGCAGTCAAATCACACCAGAGTCCAGTCTAGCGGAGATGGGTTAACTCGGATAGAGAGACGAAAGGAATCTAGGCGTGCTGCGCAGATCTTTTGGAGCGAGCTCTCAACCATTCAAAAACGCCAAGCTGTGTTGGACATAATAATATATCGATTGATAATGCTGCAGCAGTACAATAAACCGATGAGAGAGTCAATCAAATAATGATCGCAGGTTTGGACGTCGCCTTCGAGCTCATTGAGAAGCGCTCAATATGTGCTGACGATATTGGCTGATATGGTACACAGAAATCGCCTCGAATCCATTGAACCTGTCAGAGAAGTCGAGCAAGATATAACTATTAAGACCGAACTAGGAGTCGACACTCAAACATCACACGCTAGAACACGGGAACACAAGAATGAAACGAGATGAAATCAAGCATGAGGACACATGAACATCGACCAGCAAGGCCGAACCGGATATGGCTGTTCAGCTCATTTGTGTCCTCTGAATGTATCACTGACGACTCTGGTGACTTCCATTGCCAGATTCAGCCTCGTGCTTTGGCTCATCCTTGAGACTCGTTCTCAGTGTTACTGGTAGAGTCCTCGTGCTTAGAGTTGCTGCGCTCTTTATCCTTTTCCTTGCAGACAGAATTGGCCTCCTGGTTATACTGTCAGTATGCCACGCAAATCCGAGGTGTGTCACAGGTTCTCACATCTTCAACGAGTACGCGAGCGACGATGTCGCGCATCTCTTGCTCGCTGGGCTCATGGAGACAGTCGTCGAATCGCTAGTAGGCTTGTCTGCGTCGCGCATCTCTTGATCATGAATTACGGGGCAGAAGTCTGGAGCAATATCAGTATGGTGCCCGAAGCGGTAGTACGCAACACGGGACTCACGCGAGTTTGCTCATACTCAGCGACCTCACGCTGCACCTCTTCGATCTCCTGTACTTCTTGATCCATAATCCACTGGCTGTAGATCACCTGGGATGTGAGTTAGTCGTCCACGTTGGAAGGCATGATTGCTATGCCTACGTCAGTGTGAATCTCATGTATTATATAGGGGCAGCAGAATTGCCGTACTCGTGAAGCAGGTGACACTGTGACGATGAAGGTTGACTGTTGGCTTGAAGTGGACTTGTAGGGGCAAGCAGTTGAGGATGCTTGTGATGACTGATATGCGCGAAGGAGAAGAAACAAGGTTTTCACACAAGACGAGTTCGACATGTAGTTTCCAGGGTCGTCGTGGAGGAGAGCAGCCAAGACTTTTCTCGTCTCAACAACACGACTTAGAGAAGGCCTGTATCATCTTCGGGACTGACAGGTTTGGTTTAACAAGAAGCACCATCTGACGGGACGGCTGTCATTCGTACCTGAATCCGGAAGTGGTTTTGATGGCTCTGCTTTCAGATGTTTACACCGTTGCTGTTGGCGGTCTCGTGCTCTGACTCATCCTCGGGACCACCCTGGAGTGGTTCTAGAATACGGTCTCAAAGTGCTGACATCCTTGTCCTCTACTCAAGACCACCCCTGGTTCATGAGTGTTTAGATCCTTGTTCAGTACATTATAGCGGCCAATGGCCATTGATCACCAAGAACGAACGAGATTAGTCTATGGTATGACTTGGAAGGTGACATGGCTGTTGCATTCAAGATGTCGTCGATATGGTTGATGTCTGGCTCCAGTCCTGCTGTTTCCAGCCTAAGCACAGTTATCTCCAGAAGTTTCATACTCGGGCTCGTCCTCGAAATCACCCTCAGAGTCGCGCTCAGAGTTGGTCTCGGCGTGGCTGGCGAATTCCTTCTCATCAACATCGCTGGAGCTCTCATTCTCCTCCTCGTGGCTAGATTTATCATTCTAAAGCACAATTAGTATACCGTTCACCCTTGAGATGTGTTGCAAGCACTCACGCCCACCTCCAGCACGCGGGAAGCGATATCTCTCATCTCCTGACTGGTAGCTTCGTGGGGTCTAGGAGAGCCATCAATAGTACTCGTTTTCACATCACGATTGTCCTCTTCGTCTTTGCCGTCGTTGTTAGCAGCCTACGGAGCAAGATCAGTATCCTTCGCGTCGCGGTGATACGCTACGGGAGATCGAGTAAGCTGGTCCAGGACGACGACAATCACGGATGGTTCTGATCAGTGCATGAAGTTATGTGTAGTTGATCGCTCGCCTAGGGCCTCAAATTGCAGAGTGAGAGATTGAATAAACTCAGCCAGACCCGGGAAGGCGAAGTAGAGGTAGCGAGGTTGAGTGACTGATGAGAGTACATATACGTGCATTATGATGTCAGGCAGGGGCAACAAAAGTCTTGATGTGGGTATGAGTTTTCTCGAACACATCTTTGTATCTCTCATCGTTGATATTCCATTCGTTTCTGGATTCCTGGGAAGCCAAGGCGACAGGCACGAACAAAGCCGGCAAGAATCTATTGATTGTAGTCACCGAGGTTGCAAAGGGCAGCCAGCTTGCCGTTCTCAGGTGTGACCAAAGTAGTCTGACTGCCTGCTAAAAGCGCAAAGAGCAGGTTGCGAGTTGCTCGCCTGGAGCCTCAAAGAAGAGCTGCATGAACTTGACGTTGCTAGCGATCCGCTGCTAGTTGCCATGCACCTTCTGGTATAGAAGCTCGAATTTGCCGTTCTTGGGAGTAACCTCCAACCAAAGCAGGCGCACTGCCTGTTCTGATCCTGGCACATTTACGACAACCACAGCCCGCAGGTTGTTTTCGCCGAGATCAGTGTAACTCAGAATCTGTTCCCAGACCTCGGCAGGGGTCGTACGAACAGCTCGGGAGGCGCCTGCATTGAAAGCCATGATACGCGCAAGCAGACTCGGACAGAGTTTGGCGAGAACCTCGGCAGGAATTTTCCGGTTGTGCTGAATCTCATGATACAGGGTTGTAATTTCAAGGTGAGGGCCTTGATGTGGTGACCAGACCTTGCTGATTATGATCGATCTTCTGGTACAAGGACTGAAGAGAACCATTTCGAGGGTTAGTGTGCTTTTAAAGCAGGCGCACTACCTGCTTGTAGGTGAGAAGCGTTGCTGAGACGACTGTCTCCAGAGTCTGCTTCGAGGATGAGACTGGAACCGGCCGATAAGCATCTGAGAAAGGCAAATTATCTGGCAGGAGTTGCTGGATGGGATTGGAACCCAAATTGCACAGCTCAATGACGCTCCGATCTACCGGAATCCAAGACTGATACCAGGAAGAGTCTCTGGGGCGGAAGTATATAACACCATAATGCATAGAAGGCATCATCAGCCATGTATCACTCCCCTAAGCCGAGCATATATATTTGAAGAGATTATCGAAGAGCAGTTCAGACTTGCGGGGTTTGTAGAAGAAGAGGAGGTATCGCGAAGAGAGGTTGAATGTTGCAGATGATAAGACAGAAGTTGTCCAGGAATGGCCTCCCAGCACATCTTATATATCCGTGTTGTCTGCTGGATCTTCTTCTTGTAGTTTCCGTCAAGCTTAAAGCCGATTCTGCTTGCTCAGCCATCTCTGCTTCTTTTAACTTCTGCAATCTTCCTAATCTAGACCAACTCAGTGGCCTCAACCACACAGTCAGACAAGCAATTGCTTTTGTCAAGAAAGTATCAAATGCCCGACAAAGCTAGAGCATGAAGCTCGAAGCAACAAAGAAGAAAGCTGGGAGCCAGAGAAGCAAACAGAAACCCTTGACATCGTGTAAGCAAACAATCGATACAAAGAGACAAAGCAAAGAGCTGGCTCGATGGCAGGAATGCAAACTTGTCAGATGCAGCAAACGGTAGTCACGCAAACACCATAGAGATGGCATTCGTGCTGATAGACCAAAGACGGACAAGATTGCTGCCATATGGCTTTGGCGCGAGAAGCTTTATCTTATTAATTGTTTGACAAGTTCATGGGAGTCCGTACCTGCCGCTCGCTGCTACCCGAAAAGAATGGGGTTCTAAATCGCTTGAGGAAGTTGGTGTGGGTGCAGAAAGAAAGCACACACTCCGAGTGGGACTTCAAGCAAGGTCGAAAGTGACTGCAATGGGGGTGAGAAGAAGCTGAACTCTGTGTGGGGGATAAAAAGATGGTTTTAGAGTAGCGAAGAAATATACAAATCATTCTCAAAAAGATGCCAAAACTTTTGTGACTCCAGAACTGTGCAGAGAAATATACAGAGAAGGTTCTAGTCCTTCTTGAGACCAACTTTTCCAATCCTTCTGAGTCCCCAAACACTGACAAGAAGACTCGCGACAATCAAAGCAACACAGAACCAAAAAGCAGCTCTGTATCCATGCATCAGTGCCTCTGGAGACGTCTTATCCTCGTAAGAAGAATTTGCAGTGACTTGCTGAGCAATAAGCAACGTCAAAGCCAAACCGACAGACTTTCCAGTCTGAGAAATAGTGTTGAACACACCTCCAGCGACACCTTGCTCGCTGGGTGGGAACATGGAAGTAATGAGAAGGTTGGCGACAGTAAACATGCCATCTGCACCGACAGGGTTGAAGAATTGGGCTACGAAGGCGCAGCGCCAGTATGACCATCTTGGATTGATGATGGCCATCAAGAGCGAAGCGAGGGCAGATACAATGCTCGTAAGGACAACAATCCAGTCTCCACGGATGCGGTGCACGAGCAGGCCGACTCCAATGTTTGCCAGAGCTCCAGACACGGGCGCAGGTAAGAAACGCACAGCAGTGCCCAATGCACTGTTGCCTTGGACGTCCTGGAAGAAGAAATTGGCGTATTGCTCAAATGCGTTGAAAGCAGCCCAAACGCAGAAGACGTTAAAGCAGATGCAAGAGAATCCTTTGTGTTGCCAGAGAGAATTTGGGATGAGTGCTGGTCGCCCCAAGCGTTCCTGACGACCTACCCACAGAACAAACGCGCCAAGGAGGACAAAAGAGAGTACGAGCAGAGTGATGTTGACAGGCTTTTTCATCACGGTCAAGTCGCCTGTCAGAGCACTNGCAACATCTGTCAGTAGGAGCGTATTGCTGAGGTGAGTCGAGACTTACGAGATGACATAAGACAGCATGGCGAGGAAGCCGCTCGCAAGGATCAGACCAAGCCAATCAATGTCAGTCGCCAATCGTGACCAGATTTGCTGCTTGTGAGTGGGAGGAGTTGGAGGAAGCTGCCAGGCGGCCAGAATGAACATGAAGAAGTTGATGATAGCGGCGACATGGAAGCCCCATTGCCAGCCGATAGTACCAGTAAACACACCACCCAAGACCATACCGATACCAAAACCAAANGGTTGAGCTCCGCCCATCATGGCGAAAGTGATATTCCTCTCTTTTCCAGGAGGGAAGACTTCGTTGATGAGGCTGACGGCCGATGGTAAGCAGAATGAAGCCGCGATACCAGAGAATGAGCGGAAGGCGATAATCTGCGCGGTATTCTTGGATAGGCCACAAGCGAGTGTCATGAAACATTGGAGGAAACAGCCAGACAAAAACATTCGTCTGCTCCCAATGACGTCTGAGACCGAGCCACATGCAAGGAGAGTACATCCACAAGCTAAAGAATATACCGTGACAGGCNNCTTCAAATATATTAGTAACTGCAATTTCAGTCTCTAGCAAAGGACGTCGGTTCAGGCCTACCATAGTACCAGATTGTCGGGGATACGAAGGTCTTTGGCCATGATTGGTATGGCAATGGTAATGACACCAGCAAGGAAAGACGCGATACCAGTACTGAAAGCGATGCAGCCCATAACAATTGCATTGCCGCTCTTTTCNGAGGTGAGTTTGAGATCATCCTGGGTCAACTCCAAGCTCTTAACGCGCGAGGCTTGTCGCTGATCACCCATCGTACTCAATTCGACAGCTGGATCACCCCAGATGCCGCCTCCAGATGCAATGGCCGCAGCCTGCATTGGGGTGGGCTCGGTCATGGTGAGCGTTGTAGTGCTCGACGTGTCGCCCTTCATGGTATAAACGAATGCGACAAAGGAAAATGCGACGAGATACGAAGGAATAGAGAAAGCCGTTGCAAGGTAGGGCTCAAGCAGGAAGTCTACCCGGACCCCGGCTCGATCTTCCGTCGCCGATTGCGGACCGGACGGAATTGATCCGCTTGCAGTGGGTAACACCCCGGCCAAGTCCCTACTTATCCACATCTGCTCATTGGCTCCATTTTGGCAGACAATTCACGAGCAGATGATGCAATGAGGAAGCGAATATGTGGCAGTATGGAGAGACAAGTGCATTTCACTGGTACGACATGTATAGCACTAAACTTTTGCATTTCGATAGCTGTGATTGTAGACAGCGTCGTGGAGCAAAACACTCGTCGAATAAAGCGCGTCAATTGTTCTTTGACTGGTTCAAAGGGAAATACCAACTCGTGCCACTCACCAAGATGAAGCTGTAGAGTGTTTCCTCAATGAAACAAACTCATAGAGAGCTCTTTCTGCTTCTCGTCATCGAGAAGAACCTGCTTCAGCTTCTCCTCAATGCTGTCGCTCTTCTTCTTGAGATCAGCACGCTCGATTCTGGCGATCCTCAGCTTCTCTTCGGCGAGCTTGAGCCCCTCCTCCAAGTCCCTCAAGTCCTTCAACTCTTCGATGGCCTCTTCTAATGCAGTCTTGACGCCGTCAAGCTCCTTGTTCTCGTTCTGCTTTGCAGTGCCTTTGGCGGTGGCTTGCTCCTTGGGACCTGGCTTCTCACTCAGGCGCTCCTTGGAATCAGAGTCGACAGCGGCGGGTTCCTCAACAGCAGTTCTGGTAGCAGCTGACTTCTCGACAGCGGACTGCTGGTCAATCGACTGATTGAAAGCACCATCTCCGACAGCTGCCATGACAGCTTGAGTTGCAGCAATGTCTTCTACGTCTGCAGCGCTTTCGGTAGCTTGGATGGCACGCTGGAAGAAAGATGAGTTATGGCACGAAGGACAACAATGCACACAAGACTTACGAGAGCGGTGGGTGAGAGCAACAGCTCACGCACATTCTTCTTGATAGCGCGGAAGTCTTCGCGGACCTTCTCGGGCTCCTGGTCGTGATCGAGGAGATCGAACTCAATGTTCAGCATCAGTTCCTGCAGTCGCTTGAGCTCCCTGAGGTAGGCGACGGGATTCTGAAGGTAGTTAGCAAGTAGTTCAGCAGTGCAGGAACTTGTTCGTACATCTACAGGGAGATAGCACTGCATGGCGGAATTGCTCGTTGAGGTCAGGGGCAGAGCGTCGATGATCGTCCATGTTGATTGAGATCGAGAAGAAAGTCAGCGCAAACAAAGAGAATCAACGCAAAGGAAGAGCGCGAAGAAGTTGTTGTTGACGTGTCGCTCGACTGGAAACGCACTTTCACTCAGTCAACCGCACATTCGACTAGATCTTCCGTGTCGACAAACGACACAAACACAACGACGACATGACGCGCAGGCCTACCTCTCCACCATTATACAACTCCGCCATAGAAGAGCAGCTTCAACACGACCTGGGTGGTACTCACAATGCTGATCAAGTCAACATATCTTCTTTAGAAGCCGAGTTAAGCATTGTTGAGCACCCCATCATGCCTGATGTGATGGCACAGCGTCACGCTTCCTCTTCTACGCCACAACATGATCCACCCGTTTTGCCTCACAGTGCTCCTGTAAGCTGGAACGTTGAGAATATCGGAGGAAGTCACGCTGATAATCCCAGGTCACCAAGGGCATCGAGCAACCTATGTCCTTCTCAAACGCAGAATCCCTCGTCCATGAAGACCTTACTCCTTCCGCTGCAACCACCTCTCACGCTACGCCTGTCGAGCATCGGTGTCCTAAGAAGACTCTTTTGCTTCCCCGTACACCTCGTTGCCAGCCTCGTCGCTTCAAAGGTGCCTGTGATTACGAAGTAAGTGTGCTTCAGGTGCCACTTTTGCAACTCAGTCTGACATAAACAGGTCAGAAGTCCTGCCATCATGACCCCGGCTCGGATCTACAGAGTATCAACCAGCCCTGCTACAACTCAGTCCCAGAACGCTCCTATCGTTCAACCAGGACCTGAGACTCGCGCCCTCCCCATCGGCGAGCTCATCACCTCAAAGGGCAACCGCACCTACACGATCTGGGCAAACGAGCAACAGCCAGCCCAGCAGACTGCAGTTCAAGTCACCATCACCAACACCGACCCTGCGAGCACATTCACAAGCTATTGTGGTGTCTCTCGTCGCTCTGCTTCCGAGATTATGGGGGACTTTAGCAGCCTGATTCGTACTCAGGGGCTTGCTCTGATCAGCCTGAATGTCGTCAAGGACAGTTTTGTGGCTGTTGTCTGCACCGAGAAGGGTTGGGATCAGTTGAGAGAAGGCGTTATGAATGTCACCAGATGAAGGGGCTGTGTCTTACACAGCTATTGAGACAACTCGTCAAACCTCGCTTGAGACAGCCAAGGTCGAGAAAGGATGGAATCGAAGCAGTAGATCGTGCAAAAGAACCAGACCAAACATTCGCCGGATAGCTTTTCCAATTCTCCTTCGATCGCTTTTGCATCGTGAAGTGCCATAAAGTACGTGATATTGCTGACTTCTCAACTAAACGTATAACATTCAAAACCTGCTCGATCTAGCCAGGACGTCCAGGGCTCCTTGCAAAGTATCATCCGCCATAGCACTGATAGTGCTCAACTCAAGCGCCAGCTCAAAAGCAGCCATCCTCTCCGCAAGAGCCCTCTTCTTACCCTGCTCTCTACAATTTACCATATCGAGTGCTTCTCTCTGCATAGCATACATCGTTCCGCCTCCAATTGTACCGACAAGCACACATGAGATGAACAAATTCGCCATCAACTCCTTCTTCTCGGCGTCGCANGTAGTGTCCAGCTGTGCCCATCCCGATTACAGCCCGCTGACTGCATCTTGACCACAGACGATAGATCTCGCAGCAAGAATTTGNGAGACATCGGCGTTAGAGAGAATCATAACAGCACAGGTGCCACCTATCTAGCAAGTCATGACCGTCTCGTAGACCCTAGCTGCCGAACTGCCGAGAACGGCTTTGCAGATCTCGTCTGACAAGACTCCCCACGCAATAACCTAGGCACTACGTGGCTCGTACAGATAGATGTAAGCCGATTTTTGGTCATTGGACATCTGATCATCAACTTGAAAGTCTACAATCTTGAGTTCAGATTTGCGAGACTCGAGTAACTTGTGGCAAGCCTTGTGAGTAGCAATAATCGTCATATTCTGTGCAAAAGTATCGCCACAGCTGTACGAAAAGCGAACACGAACTTCTTCACCAAACAGACGGGGAGTCACGNNTTGACTTGTGGAATCGGCCCAGGACTGTAGCCGTTCCTCCAGTGAGGAAAAGAAACGATAGAAAGACACGGCGTCCCGGGGGCTCATTAAACGGAAGACTGGAGCTCGAGACATGCCTTCCGTNAGGGCGACGGCGTAGGCACCTCCACCTGCTTCGAGAGCCTTGCAGACACGAGAACAACTCGCGACTAGGGTCAACTGATCCTGACGTTTTGATTCTGGCCTTACAAGCGGGAAATCATGTTGGGGAACACTTCAGCTGCCAGTGCAGCTTTTGGCTTCTTGAATGAGAAAGACGAGATTGGAATCAATGCAAGCAGCGGCGTGGTGGGAGGTCTGTATATACCTGATACAATCCATCAGTCAGACCACCTCTTGTTCTGATCAATCGGCTATGAGAGTCTCTGAAGTGCTGTATGGCTTGTAATTGACTTCCCCAATGGCTGCATGAATTAAAATTGGCTAGCTCCCGTCTTTCAGCTGTGTTGTTCAGCTGCGGAACTTGGCTATCAAGGTTTACTAGCGCTCCTACAATACCCGATCAGTATGGTAACCACTCAGGGGTGCGATGGCAGGCGTTTAGCTACTTTTTCGGGAACAATAACTGGGAAACATCTGCTCAGAATTCCGCGCGAGATCTTTGCGTCGAAAAGTTGTAGCTTGACTATAGAAGCACACCACTGAATGAGCAGGACGAAGATACATTGCTTCATCCGAGGAACAGAAAGTACAGGTAAGTACCTCGGCCAGTTTGTATTGCATATATACATGTAGTAAGTCAGGTGTTCAACATCGGTGAGATGCATGAAAGCTTGTCGATGAGCGGAGATCGAACGTCAGCCAACCCTATACCGTGATTCTGAGGATTTCGGTTGCTGGATTGGAACTCCGACGACGTTTGTGGTACGGGATGTGTCTGCAGTTGTTGGATGCCGCGGCGCTTGCAGATTGCGTTTCTCCAGCTTGGTAACATTCGCTATTTGCTGCAGTCCAGATACACGCAAACGCATGAACGTGAGTGCTATCCGCCGGCTGTACAAATGTCCCGGACAGAATGCTGCTGAAGTGCGGCTGAGTCATGCAAGTGTTTTCGAAAAGGTGATTCTTGACAACATTTCGCTGAAGTCGCGCAGCAAGACTATCTCATCATCTGAGCATTGGGTGTTCCGGGCTCGCTCTTGATCACGACATCATCAATGGCCTTTCGCAGCATATCCGCTTCCCTGCACCGACTTTGTTCCGAATACCACTGCCACAAAGTATGTTTAAGAGCTATCGTAGTAGCCGATTCTGTACGCCAGAATATCGTACTCCTTGTGATGGCAGTCTTTAGGAGGGTTTCTGCGGTGGAGATACAAGAGCTTGTCGGGCTTAGAGCGCTCAGAGCATAGTGACATTTTGCAGACGCCTCGAGGGCATCAATCTCTAATGCCATCCATTTCTCCTCGCCGCTTTTTCTTGCCTTGGTACATCGTGAGATGATGTATTCGAAGACTCTCAGCGCTTCGTCATGGTGTGCCAGAGAATAGAGGACTTTGGCGCGAGTAAATTGTCGTTGTATGTCGCTTGAGTCATTCGAATAGTGTTCGTGCCGCTGCGGCGAGGTAGTGGGAGATGACAGTATGTCTCGATGGAGCTGTGAGACATATCTGCCCATTCGTAACGGATGGTTCGAAGAGCAGGAAATATTGAGCCCGTCCCACGAATGTCCGGGAAAAATACCCTCAAGTTGGTCATAGCCGCACTTCCAGCCCCGTTGCATGAGCTCTAGGGCTTGCGATGTAGGTAGCCTTTTCAAGCAGGCAAACATCTGTGCCCATGGCTGATCCTTCTCTTGCTTCTGCGCAGCTCGTATCTCGACCATGGCGCAAATCCTTTCATTCAATATATCGTACATCTGGTTCCAGCCTCTGGTTAAGAGGAGGACAGAGACATCACAAATGGTGTCTATGAGCTTCGGATCCCGTTCTTCCAATAACTGTTCGATGAGCCATAGAGCGTCCGAGACCAGAGCAAATCCTTGAATATGGTATCCTCGCTCAATAAGGTCAATCGCTGTGATACAGCATTTGTAGAAGTTGTTGATTTTGGTAATGCTTGTCGGCGAAACATTACTAACAAGCTCACCCAGGTCGTTGTGGACAAATTGACCATTGTCATAAGCTCCTCTGAAGTATTTGATGATGTTGAAGAAGAATTTGGCCTGTATAAAGAGTTCGTCGGGATAAGAAGGCGTGGTGGGAGGTGACATGTTGTGCTCCGTGTGAACCAGATGCAGGAACCAGTACCGAGAGGTCTCATCCATGAAATCTGCCCATCGCTCAAACATCTCTATTGGGCTTGAGCAAGAACGTTCCTCGCAGCGGTCCGAATCAGAGCCAGTACAGGGTGCAGAGTCCGATCGTTTTACTCTACGCATGGGACGGGTAACGATCTGAATGTGACTGGGCTGCGAAAGCGAGCCATTCGACTCTTCCAACCAGAGTCTCCCCGAATTCCTCGCCCTCCGAACCCGTCGCGCAACTTCGTTGTGAGAATAAGGTTTGCCATCGATATAAAACATCAGACGACTCGTTGAGTTTCGTGAAGATTGCTCATGTTGCTGAATCACGGAGGCAAGGTATTGAATGTCGTCGGGTTTCGCATATTTTCCACGCACCGCGGCTCTGGTTCCTCGTGCATACGGATGAGTATGCGACATGTTCTACGCTCGGGGATCCTGGTCTGTAGATATGTCTTCGAACGTGGCTTGCGCTTTGCTGCAGATCGCCCGACAGCCGGCAACCTGCAGTCAGCCACTACCTGTCGCGTGCTGTGGAATCGATTTTGTGGATTGAAGGGATGTATAGTCTTGGCTGAAAGACCACGACAAGGAACGTGGGAGTCAGGAACACTTATTCTAATCCCCGCACCAAGCTCCTTACGTAAGTCGTATCTGCACCTGTAGTAACGAGGGGCTAGAGCGCCGGTACGCAACGATTTGATTCGAGGGATCCTTTCGCCGAGGTTCGTGGGGAAAGCGGGAAGTACGGAAGCGCCCACGCTTTTGGAAAAAGCTCCTTATTGGGGAGAAATAGGCGGTCCAGACTCCGCGGCTCTGCTGTCAAATACCAGATAGGAAATGCTTTGATGAAAGATGCTGCAAGAAGGCGTCTAGAACACTGAAATGCTCGTCAAATATCTTTCTCTTGCATATTCCACTGCAGAACTCGCTGGTCTGGAAATCTCGCGCAATTCAGATGGTATCCCACAACTTCGCGACCGGCCTTCTATGGATAAGACTACAAATACAACATTACTCTGCATTGAGATAGAATCACAGTGATAAAAGATGGTATGAGAGAGCATCAAAAGTTGTATTGAGCCGAGCTATGCTCAAGGCTGTTGCTGATAACATCACCGGGCATGCTCACTGGCACCCCTGACCTTCATCTCCTCACCCCTGACCCCCGTTCAGTGAAACTTAGGGGCGGAGGGCATCTCATGGGCAGCCAGCTCCTTCTTGGGGGCATGCCCNTTCTTGGCGTCCATCTTGACCTTCTCTTCGACGGCCCTATACCAAAACATGTCAGTCGTGCATTGACGCAAAGGGTTGAGGGACACTCACTTCTTCTCGAGGACGGTGGCGCCGGCGATACCGGGCACGAAGACGATGGCGCCGGCAAGCATGCGGGCGGCGGCAGCGGCGACCTTGGTGGCAGGCACGTTTGTGTGTTGTTTCTTCTTGCGCAGTCAGCACGTGGGATGAATTTGAGTGGTGATTCGATGTATACATACAGGAGGAGGTTTGGAGGAGAGTTGGAAAGGAGTTGGTTGATGATGTGGATGTTGTGGTTGCGTGATGGCTTTCGAAAGTGATGTTGTGGTTAATCGCGTCTATCAAAATGCAGAAAGAACAACACTTGACCGCGGACCCTTGTACTAGAGGACGGAAAATTGGTTGCTGGTCGAGTGAAACTTGGCAGTGATGTTCGTGTTGCTGCACTTCGGTCGATTCTGGTAATTCCACTTATTTTTCTACTTGCAATTCATCCCAGTAATACTCGTTCTGTTGTAGTACATCTCAATGCTCTGGATCTCGAGGATGTTGTCCTTCTTTGGCGGTCCACCACTCCAGCTGCCGCCATTTGCCCAGTTGTTNCCTGCGAAATCTGGTCAGTACGATGTCAAAGAATCTACCGGCACCCGTTTGACTCACCAGACCATGCTTCCAGGCACTTTCGGCACGTTCTTGTTCAAGTCTCCTACATACTTGCCATCCACGTAGAACTTGGTCACGCCCTTCAGCCAATCAAACCTGTACTCGTGGAAGCCAGCGCTCATGTCGTGAGGAGCCGCCGTGTCAAACGTCGACTCAACAGCTCTGCCAGAGGACTTCTGGTTGGTGAGGAAGATTTGACCAGGGAAAGCTGTGCGGATCTCGATATCCGTCTCTTGGTTGTCGGAGTGGTAGAAGAAGAAGCCTTGGCTATGTCAGTATTCTCGAAGGGAAGTCGTAAGGTAAGAACACAAACCATGACATGTTCCTGGCACACTGCTGACTTTGGCTACCGTGCGGACAGAAGCGTACAAAATATCATCATAAGCAGTTGTGATCTCAGCACCTTGAATAGGCGACATGGTTTGGCCGCCAGGGACTCTCAACTGTAACGGCCGACCTTTNTTCAAGAGCACGTTGTTGGGACCATAGTACTGGTCAAAAGGATGTTCGTCGTCAGTGGGATCGGCTTGGATGCCGTAGTTGCTGATGGAAAGACCAAGAGGAAAATGCGTCCATTGGGCAAAGTCGTACTTGACGTATTGATTAAAGCGACCAACGCCCGGGACAGTGACCATGCATGACTTTTTCGCTGTTGCTCGTTCTTCTAGCAGTTCTGTCTCGTTTTGATTGGTGGCTGTGGTGGAAGATGCTAGGAAAGCCAGAATCACGGAAAGGCCGAAAAGTTTTGTCATGATGAAGAACACTAGTAAATCCAGGCAGATTTGAAGATGCAGAAAGACGAGAGGAAAGGCAGTATATAGCAGAAAACAAGAAGCGAACGTTGTCAGCCTGAACGGCTTTCGTTAGATGAGAATCCTTAACGGTGCAGAGCCGTTTCTTCTACTTTTGTGGCAAGACCCCATTTCGGTATACACACTTTTATCATGGTAGAGACATCATCAATGGGTGTTGTGATGGTTTGAGATGAGCGAAGATGGTGAGGAATGTTGAAGTTCAGCATGTGTCGCTGCATGCGGAAGCATGATTTTGACAAGTCGGCTTCGTGGCTGGTGGAACCCTGGCCAGAGAAGCCTCCCTTTCTGTGCCATCGCTATCGATACTTATGACTTCTCTGTATCTCGCATGCCTCTTCGTCTTTCAAGAAAATAGTTTAGAGGGCCCCCTTGGTTGGTCATCATGTGGTCATCCTCCGAATGTCGCTAGGCGTTGTAGGATGTTTCTCAGCCCGGCCTCGCCAGGTCTGGGAAATCATAGTCACCCCATTGTGGACCGTTGTCTTCGACAAAAGTGATATGTCTTTGCCTAAGAAATTCCAGAAAGACATCCTAGCTTCCAGACTCGCAGTGTCAAGTGTCGTTGACAGTGCTATGCAATTGATGACCAACGCCACGTTCAGATCTTCTCCGCAAACGGTCAAACAAGCATATTGATGCCTTGCTTGAGCTTCGATCCGGCAACAACCTCAATCGCGCCTTTTCTCTCCATTGTTGTACCGTCCGGCAGCTGCAATCGCTTGTTGGTTGTTCCCGTAAAGATACACAGTGGCTGGGGCGTTGTTTGGCGCATTTGGCCTCTTGCCATTCGCGGTCCGTAGAGCAACTTGGAGGGCTCTGCTGGCGTCCTGTTTCTCGTCGCAGCATCAACTGACAATCAGTCCTAAGAGCCTCCGCCGCTCGTCATGGCTTTCAGCTCCTCCATCGATGGCCGCTTCTGCTCGTTGACCTGACCAAACATCTTCTCAAGCTGTTGCTTCTGATCGCCCATCGAATTCCACCCCGGCATCAATCCCGATAACGTCTGCACACCTTTCCCAATAATTTCTTCAGGCTTCGCCCACGGCCCATGGATGGCACCAATCGCAGACCCTATCCCACCCAACACACCCCCCAAGGCCAGCGACGACACACCACCAACCAGCGTCCCTGTCAGCGCCCCTAGTCCTGCTCCCACACCCGTACCCACACCCCTCCCGCCAACNAACCCTTGGAACGCACCGGAGCTCAGATATTTCGCGACTTTGCCATATGATTGGGCTTCAATGCTTTTAGCCAGAGCTTCGTTCAGCAGTTTTTGTCGCTCGTCTGGATCATTTGTTCTTGCGGCTGCTTGAGTGAGTTCTTGGGCTTGTTTTTCCAGCTCGAGGGCTTTGCTGGCTGCTTTTGAGGATTCTTGGTGGCATTCTTCTTCGTTGGGCATGTTTTGTGGGGAGTTGGATGTAGATCAGCTGGCTTTATACGCGTCGCTGCTGTCGGCTTTGAGAAGAAAAGTCGTGATGATTCTACGATGATTCGAGTCTTGCTTGTTCAATTGTCTTCGTAGGATTGGAGGGACAGTGTTGCTAAGAAAGAGTCTTGAGGTGATGGTAGAGCAGCTTTCCAAGGACGGGACAGCTCATCAGCCGTTGACGTAGCTTGTGCTGCAGGCAGCCGCTGCCCCACTCCACATCCCGTCTTTCTTCTCTGGCCACCTGCTGACTTCTTCCTCCTCTCTCCCTGTCAAGAGTCGCTAAAACCGAGCTTTCTCTTGCTCAAGACTTGGAAAAGACTCTCTATGCTATGTGGTTTGTCGCTCTTGCACGCCATAGGGCGTCGCCCAAAAGCCCGACCGAGGGACATGGGCTTTGAGTTTCTGTGGGCATCAAATCCGGGCAACAACCTTGGATGTCTTGCCTGTCTGCTTGAGTATTAGCTGGCAAGATGTGTAATAATCGCAACCGAACAAAAGCTGGTCGGATACCTTGTCGTGCGAGTGAAAAAATGACGGTTCAGCTGTCACTGCAGAAGCGGAAGCCCGCATCGACTTACTAGGCGCCCGACGAGCGACAACTTTGGCAAATGTGCTTGCTATATTTCGAGACGAACACTGATGCTCTTCCTTGGTTTCTTCTCGTTTAATACATTCTCGAGGACTTCAACCAGACACTCAGCGCTTTAAACTTCCGCAGACTCGAGGCTACGCACTCTGCTTGCTGTGCCGCACCGTTCCTCGATTGGATTTCTATTCGACATGAGGACAAGTTCGGGCGATGCGAAAGTAGCAGACTGATGTTTCCAAGATAGGAAAACTTAAGCGACGAGATGTTTCGAGGCAAACAGCATCTTGCTGCGCATGCTGGACGATAGGCAGTCGTACCAAATTTTGGTGGAGTAAGCAAGCCATCGTTGTCCTTGAGAAGATCAAACTTACAGTCCAATAATATACGCTCTTGGAAGCAAAAGAGGTTCGCGATGCGGTGAGGGAGAAGCAGTTGATGTCACAGATAGCGGCAAGCTTGGAACAGAGAGAGCAGTAGAGCGTTCATTTCGCAAGCCGAAAAGAGAGATCTGATGGAAGTTTTCGATGAGCTTTTTCGCAATTCGTCCGGTCTTCCCCAAACTCCTCCAGCAAGATTCTTCTCCTTCAAGGTCTTCTCCTTCAAGGTCTTCTCCTTTCCAGCCTTCTCTTCCAAGCCTTCTTCTCCAAGTCTTCTTCTTCCTTCATCTCCTTCACCCTTCGTTCAAGATCCCCCACCAGCCTCCACCCCTCAGTCCGCACCACACACCGACCCGAGATAACCTCACAACACCTACTACAAGCATAGTAGGTGTTGTGGGCTGGAGCCGTTGGTGGTGGAGTGAGGGATGAAAGCTGTAGCCACCCCATCTGATCCTCCAGCCCTTGAACTTCATCAAGACGTTGGAAATGTACTGTGCCTGGGCGCTCTGAACGTGAGCAAGGCACTCAAGCTCCTTGATCTTGGTTTCGAAGGCAGTGAGGCGAACCTGCAGCTTCTCAGCGTTCTCGCGAGCTTCGTTGCGCTCGAGAAGGAAGGAGGTGCTGTCAGGCTGGGCTGCGCGCTGCGAGTAACATGGCTCTGCGCTTGTTGGCATCGGCAAGGACGCGTTCAAGGTCGTTGATCTTGTCGTCCTTCTGGTCGAGCTGACCTTCAAGGTTGTCGATGATTGTATCCTTGTCGGCCTTCTCGGCGTTCAGCCTCGAGACGCGAGCCTCCAGATCGGTTGAGGAGGTCTTCTCTTGAGTTGACTTCTTGAGGCGGGCAACCTCCTGCTCAAGAATGCTGATCTGCTCCTCCTTGACACAGACGGCATCGCGAGCCTTGAGTTCAAGACAGCATCGACAATCCGAAGATCAATCTAGGCAACGACGGGCTTACGCTCAGCAGCTCACAACAATGACGTGATCAAATACAGTGATAGCCTGTAGGATCCTGGAGTCGTATGTCGCGGTATCGCAAGGGCAACCGCTCAGACCAAGACCGATGGCTGAAGTCAAAGACAATCTAGGCAACGACGGGCTTGCGCTCACCAGAACCACTGATGTGATCAAGTACAGTCATGGCCTGGAGGGTCCTGGGGTCGTATGCCACGGTGTCGCAGAGGCAACCGTTCGGCCAAGACCCAATGATGTGGTCAAGTACAGTCATGGCCCGAAAGATCTTGGGGCCATATGTCGCAGTTTCGTAGAGGCGACCGCGCGACCCATCGAGGTGGTAATGTCAAAGACGAATCTAGGCAACGACGGGCTTACGCTCATAAAATTGTAGAGGGCGCATGGTGTATTCATCTTGTCGGTCAAGCGCCTGGCGTTGAGAAGCCGCAGCGGAGATGGAGCGCTTGATTGAGATGAAACGGTTGGGCGCTCATCCCAGCACCAAAGAATGAGGTCAAAGACAGATCTAGGCAACGATAGGCTTACGCTCAACAGCTTGGAGCAGTAGAGGGCTTATGGTGTGTTCGTGTTGTTCGCCGAGCGCCTTGCGATGACAAACCGCAGCGGTGAAGGAGCGCTTGATTGAGATGGTACGGCTGGGAAACGTCCCAAGAACATCGAACACGGACTGCAGAAGCCAGATGCTTGCGCAGTGTCAAGCAAATCAGAGGACCACAAGATTTGTTTGTCAAGTGTCGCGGTACCCCTGAGATAGGAGTGCAAGATTGTGATGTGGATGACTGCCGCAAGCCTGGGATTGACGAGAGGGCTGTGAGTTCGGTCGAGAAGAGACAGATGCTCTGAAGTGATGATAACAACAAGGCTACTCGAGTGAGAGATGCTTTCAGTAGCTGACTGGGTGACGTGAAGAGCATTCAATTGGTTGTCAACTTTCAAGCAGGGTTTGGGAGCAGATTGGCTGCCGTGCAAAAGGGACAAGTGCCGTCAACGCCGACCAACATGGTGCCACTGACGAGATTGGGTACAGACGACATGTTCGAGGCTGTTGGGGTTGTGCGAGACAGCCTTGGTTTGCGATGTGATGAGCCAGATGCAGTGAGGTCATCGGTGTGGGTGAGTGAGAGGTTGACGGCACGTTCAGGAGCGAACGTACACGAAGCACCGTTCTTACCCTCGGGGCGAGCGACGTGATTCTGTTGAGAAACGCCAGCGCACTTTTGAGGAGTAAAAAGTATGCCGATTTGTGGGATGTAGAAAAGCGAGACCACAACAGAATCTTGTGAGTGCTTGGGGCAGTTGAGCATGCTGAGCGCTGGTTGTCGAATCGATAAAGCAGGAGAAAGACTTTTCTCCTGTCAAGATCCATAGTTGATGCTAGTGTTGTGCCGCTGGTTTGTCTTGAGGTGCAGATGATTGATGCAGTGCGCAAGAGAGTTAAGGTGGACAGAAGAAAGCCGTTCGAGAGTGACAGGACACAAAGGCTAGGTATCCGATCGCTTGGCGCGCTTGATGGGTGATTGTCGAAAATCTGCGCAAGGCGAGTAAGTAAGGCTAGTGAGAGGAGGCAGTGAACAAGATGAAGATCGAGGGAAAAGAAGGCGCGAGGGGCAAGGGGCAACGCGACTGTGCGACGGCAAAAAGTTGCGGGTGATGAAGCAACTTACCTCGCGACGCAAAGGCGATAAGAAGATCTGTTTAAGGCGAGTAAGTATGGAAGGTTCAAAGAGGTGGTGACAGAGGCGATAGTCCCGTCAAGAAGAGAGGTTGCGCAGGCATGAAGCAAGAGTGGGAAAAAGGAGGTGGGCGACGCATGAGGTGACGCGAGTGCGCGTTGAGTAAGAGTCGCGGGCACTGACAAAGCTTACTTCGAGGCGTAAAGGTGATGAGAAATGACCAGCGTCCAGTATGACTGGTAAGACCAAGACTGTTTGGCGCTCGATGTAGATGTTGATGGTTGGTGAAGGCGGTTGAGTCAAGCTCTTGATGGAGATTGTGGATGAAGATCTGTGACCGAGGATGTTGCCAAAAAATGGTCATGATGCAGAAAAAGATGGATGAGATGCGGTGGTGGGAAAGGATAGTAAGGGTTTTATGCAGTGAAGTGAAGAGTGAGAGTTCGCTGGGAGTGCCGAGCCTTTTCCGTAGGCACAATTCAGGGGCGCAGAAATTCCGTCGCGAGGATGTCTGAGCAGCCAGAGTTTCTAGCAACAAACCAATCGGATTTGACTTGAGCAAGTCATGTTTTACGTGATAACGAGCATTCTCTGTTGAATTTGCTTTGTTGCGAACAGTCATGGGAGGACAAGGAATAGGAAGGGCTCATGGAGGTGATTACCCTCAAACTGGCTACCAGAGCAAGTCTGATAATCAAGAACTAGCTGGGTGCAAAGGTCAAGCATCATTCAACATCATAATCTCAAAGCTTGCCGCACACTCGAAGCTTGCTGTCAAGAAACGGTCACTGGTTCGGATGGCAAGCAGAGATAGTCATCTTCATGCACCTACATCAGAACAACATGAATAGGATAAGCATCTCCTGATTTGCTTCAAGTCTCTCTACTTCTTGGTCTGCTGTTTCTCCATGGAAGACATGCAGCATCAATAATGACTGCACCACACACCATAGCACTACTTGAGAGGATTACCGATCACGTACTACAGTGACGACAAGAGTTTCTCACAGAAAGGGAAGAACTTCACGAATATAGATGAAGAAGCTGAACAGTCCAAGCTGAAAGTTGGAAGGTCTCCCAGGGAGACTTTTCGACTTCTCAAGTAGAACGACGAGCAGACAGAAGCATGCTCATCAATAGTACAGCCCATCGAGAAGCTGCGCCTAAGTCGGAAGTCTCAAGAGTTGAGACAGGATGGTGAGAAAACTGGCACCACCCAAGGTGCTTCGGCCATTCTTTCACTAAAGTCACACTGGTGCTTGATACTGTGAATAGCCATGCCACCGCCATCTTCCGTCAGGGGGATCTGCGTTAGGCATCACCAACCCGAACTGTTGTATACATATTGACGGCAATCTCTGTGGTGGACATCTCTCGTTGTGCCGGGGGTGCGATTTATGCAGGTCTAAAGCTCATCTCAATCTGGAGAGTTTGTGAGTTCGATTCGAGAAATATCATCTATGCAGGTCAACAGGAACTTCCTAGCACTCAACACTGTCTCGATCAGCTCTTTTGCCGGCATTGTCTCTTTAGGATCTAACGCAATATTCTGTCGGCAGCATTCAATAGCTACGAAGTGCATGTCGTGTCGGTGCTGAGTACATGCTATGCAACATAGATCGTCTACCACGGCACCTGTTCTCCAGTGTACGTCCAGAAAGAAGCAGTGTCCTCCTTCTTGAGCCCATGCAACACCTTAAGCATGCCACTGATACTCTCATGCGCTTCAATCAAAGCACCCTCCCCACCCATGCGAGTCTTGACCCAACCAGGATCCATACTGATGACAACAGCGCCCTGCAGCTTCTTCCTCAACTCCTCGCCTTGGTGTATTGTAAGCATGTTCAATGCAGCCTTGCTGATGCTGTATGTAGTGCACTTTCTCGGCTTGATGCCTATGCTGACTTTCATGCTGCCGAGTCCTGATGTCATGTTCAAGACCTTTACATCCGAAGCCAACAAATCGGCTTTGTGGAAGCCTTCGGTGGTTTTCGCAGGACCCAGAACGTTGATTTTGATGTGCTCGTTCATGTCGCCTTCGGATATGGACAATGAGTCTTGCTCTGGGACGGCATTGATGCCGCTGTTGTTGAGAAGGTAGTCGATTTTCTTGCCGCTGAGAGTGTTGCCACATGCTTCGACGAAGGAAGTGATGCTAGATGCATCTCCAGTATCGCATTCTAGAATGTGTATATTGTTGTTCTTGTTGAGTGATTTCAGGTCGGTCAAGTCGTTTGACATTGAGCGCACGGCTCCAATTACCGTGTTGGAGCTGTCTGCAGAGAGTTGACGGACGAATTCCAGACCAAGGCCTCTGTTGGCACCAGTGAGCACATAGACAGGCATGATGAGTGGATTTTGCGATTGTTTGAGAGATGGGCGCAAGAATTCATATGTAGGGAGGCCTTTATAGTCGTAATGCGGGGGTGGGGTGGGGTGGGGTGCAGGAGGCGGCTAAAAGTAAATGGCGGCTAAAAGCAGCCTATTTTCTCGCTTGTGTGACTGTGTCTCTTCGCATCTCACAAAGTCTGTGTCTTTTTACTGGTGTTCGGAGAAGAAGGGAACAAGCTTGTTGACTGCTGTTTGAATGCCTTGGGTAACCAAGAATGCGTCCATTCCATCAAAGAAGCCTGCGCAACAAGCAGTGCTGAAGCTGACATGAATGGGTATGGCTGAGATGGCAGCCATAAATCTGGGCTATATTACATGCTTACCCAACTCTGTTCAAGAGTCACTGGTTGTCTAGAAGTCCGGCAGAATCGTGATGCCCTTATCCTTCTCAGCGCAGGATATGTCTAAAAGGATTAAATGGAGCCTGAACAGTGCCGTCACTGCAGAGCGTGAGAGCTTTCGAGCATATAGTCCGCTTGCAGATCCGCAAAGTGGTCAATGAGCTTGTTTCAGAGCCCAGGAGCTGCCATATCAACAGAAGTTGGCCGTACGCTTTCGATGACCTTTAATCACTCGATATGAGCATGCTGTCTGGATCTACCAAAGCCTTGACGAAGCATTTTGAAAGGATAAAGATAATCGCGGGGATGGATAAGTAATGACCTTGGTTCATGGCCTGCTTGATGCTGCCCTCGAAGACTCAACATTGTCAATGCCCTGCGTGAATTTTGCCAAATCTTTCGCCCAAGGCTTTGACTGTCCAGCCACTCATTTGCCGAGAAGAGCTCGAAGGGGCCAACTTTTTGTAAGGGTGGCAGAGGAGTCTTCAACATCAATTCGTACTTAGCCCAGTTCTGCTTTTGACTGTTCGTCGCAGAGTCCAGTCGTAGCCGAGTCCAGTTCTTGTACTGACTCATTGTGCGAGGAGATGTTCAGAAAAAGAGCGCCGAATGCGCCACTCTGAATTCTTCGTCATTACCGAGGGTAATTTCTGGCATCTTTGCGCCCAACATGCCATTGTCAGGACCTGTGAGTTTTGAACACATGAGTCGGAGCGACAGTTCGGTGCTGGATACGTCTCTCTTTGGTTCACGAAAAGGCGTGTTGCGCAGCTATGTAGAATGGTGGTGACCGTCGATATGTAGCAAAGAACAAATCTTGAGACCTATAGGTGGCCTGGGAGAGATTTTCGAGCTGTTGTGAGACGGGCAATATGAACGAGAAGGTTTGACTTTGAGAATTGAATAGCGAGGAGGAATGCGTGTGAAGTTTGTTTTTGTATGTCATTGATTACATAGCTTGGTAGTCAATCCATCCACATATCATCCGGACCTTTCTCCACCAACTGTTCCGCAGACTGTTCATGACTTGGGTACAAGAACTGGAGACAACGGTATCGAGGGTCATCGAACAAAACCTGCTATCGTTCCTCCAGCGAGCAACAAGCGAGCAGGGAGCATGCCCTACCAGGTCCCCGCAAATCAAGGTCGCTGCAGAACGTTACAGCATCGTTGAGGCTCTCTCTCGCAAAGAGGCGGTGGCTGGTCCCTGAAACGAGAAATGACATGGAACCTTGGTGAGGCTGGATGTTAAATAGTCGTGCGGCAGCATTGCATTAAGGGCCAGCTTCAGAGGCTCTCTTGCTGACTGAGCAACGGACAAGCGTCATGTCGAGGTTGGGGGCAGATGTGAAGGAGAACTCGGACTGGCAAGGAGAGAAGGTCAAATCCTCAACGCTGAAGCTGGCGTCGGTGAAGCAGAAGCTGGAGTCGACAATGGAGAGTGGAGCAACAGAACAGTGCTTGCTGGCTCTTTTGGATGTTGAGAATGCTTTCCTCGGTTCTCGGTTGGGCTCCCTGAGGCTGCGTGCAACCAGGAGCCAGCGATGGGTTCTTCTCGGTCGACATGGTGTTCTTGACTGCCTCCAAGACTCTGTCTTGCTCGCAGTATTTGTCTGAGAAGGCAGAAAGAGTTGTCTGATCTGGGCAAATGTCAGCAAGTTGCTGAAAAGAGTAGTCGAGATGCTCACTTTTCTCGTCTCAGGTTCTACCAACTTCTTCGACCAAGACATAACGTCTTTTAATGCTCCGTCGGGTAGGCAGCTTCATGGAAGAGAAGAGAGCGTTTCGCTCAATCACGATGGCTCGAGCATCCTCGTCAAGCATGTACAAAGCAATATGTTCGGGTGACCGAGAGCGATTGACTTGTCACTCAGACTGGTGGCAGATTCTTTGCCCAGGATCTATGGTTTATCAGTAACATATATCGAGATTGAGAAGGTTAGGTTTACTTACCTTTCCGAGCCATGACGTTCTTCAAGGTGTACTCGAAATCCGCAATACCATCGAGGGCAAGAAAGAGCATGTTGAAAGTGCGAGTTTATCATTTCGCTGGCCTGGGAGTCTTCTTGGCTCGGGAAAGTTGAAATCGACCACCCAGGGACACAGACTTGATCAAACTCCGTCATTTAGAGGAAGTAAAAGTCGTAACAACATTTCCGCAGACCTGCGGAAGAATCATTAAAGAGTAAGGGTGCTCAGCACGAAGATGAGGGACCTGGAACCATTTGGTCTCAATGAAGGTGAACGAACGAACGTTGCCAAATGTCTCAGCAAACTCATGAACTTTGGCGTAGATGGAGTTGATGTTGAAGTCCATCATACTCTTGGGAGTAGCTGTGAACTCAACCCAACCATCGTAGGCTGCACCAGCCTGTGCACGAGGATGAGAGCGGTAGTTGCCACGGAAGAAGGTCCCCTTTCCATCGAAGTAGTCCTCCTCCTCGTCGTCAAAGCCACCACGGTAACGAGACTGCTGGTGTCTACCGTTGCGCAGACCAGGACGCTGATAACGGGCATTGCCCCGTGAACCAACAAGGCGACGCTCATTGAAGCGGAGCTGGCGCTGCTCCTCGTGCTGACGCCCCTCCTCGACAGCAGAGAAGGTACCGCGGTCGTACTGAACGCAGACAAATGCGATAAGTAATGTTAATTGCAGAATTCAGTGAATCATCGAATCTTTGAACGCACGCGAAGCTGACAGTGGTAAGGGCACTCTCGAGCACGTCCTTCAAGACAGATGCGATGTCCCAAAACCTAGAAAACATCAGTCAAAGTTTGGAACACAAGAGAAGAACAAAGACTCACTTCGTTGCAGTCCTCATCTCCAACTTTGGTCAAGCTGTCCTTATCCACGATGAATCCGAGCGGACCGAAGGTGCAAACCAAGTTCCTCTTCTTGCAAAGGTCACAGGGTGTAGTGTCGGAGCCATTGATGCAAGCACGGCCGCATGAATGACACAAGTTGCACCGACGGCAAAGGCCCTAAGCAGCAGAATTGAAACCTGGTGCCGCAATGCTAGGCTTCTCAATAGCTCTCTTCTTGTTGGGTTTTGCTTAAGGCTCTTCTTCGATAGTTGGCTTACGCTTGCGCGTTCTGACTCTCTTCACGACAGCTGTGCCGATGGGGTTGAACACGCAATCGACGTTTTTGTCGGCGCATCTGTTGCAAAGCGTAGTAGGGTCCCCACCACTGCATGTGCGGTGAAGACGACGGCAAGAGTCGCAGGTTGTGCGAAGATCGTTGGCAACAGGAGATTGCGAACTTCCATTTATGTTAGCCAAGAGCGTGCCGAACGGCGTAACGGGGAGTCAAAAGGAGGAGTACCGATTGGAGATGTTGTCCTCGAAGGCGTCCTCGCCTGCGAGACGGAATCCCGCCCACTCCAGAGTCTGGCCATCGACGAGGCGAGGAGTTAGCTCCATCGAGCCTCTCTCGCGGAACTGACGGGAGGTGAAGGCTGCCTCAGTGGGGATAGGAGGTGAGGCTGGCTGAGTCCAAGTTGAGACACGAGCTGAGATGAGAAAGTCCTCAGCTCGTGTCTCTCTGGTCAACAGTCTTTTGAAAGACTGAGATGTCTGAAATTGATGTCAGCCAATGGTCGAACTTCGGTGAATGCCGCGTGTTGAAAGAAGGAATAGTGGTGGATGTGAAAGGATGTAGGAGGCAGCTCCGAACTGTGACAGGAAAATGTGCTCTTGTGTGGAAAGACGAGTTGATGTGAGCAAGAAGACTTCCAGCCAACAAGCTCTCAAGTGCAAGAAGGAAGCGGGTAACCGTGGATCCAACAGGAACTTGTCAACAAGGCGGAAAGCTCTTTGAAGCACAAGCGATGTGTCCAATGCATGTCATCACTTTCCAGAATCAGAGGCCGCGGCGCGCTGAGGCAAGTGCGTGAAGAAGGAAGAGTGCAAGTTGGGAAACAACAAGAAACAAAGACATGGAACAATGCCTGTAGATGACCAATGCGCATGACGGCAGAACGTTATCAAACAGCAGGTAGATGGACTGGAGAGAACAACCAAGGCAGATCTTGACTCTCCAGACAGAAACGCCGCTGCGCGCTGCAGCAAGCGCGTGAAAAGGATGAGTGCAGGATGGGGAGTAACAGGGAATGAGAGCATGAAACAATGTCTGAGGGTTAAACAACGCGTGTGATGGCACAGCGTTGTCAGGAAGTAGATGGGTGGACGAGGGGACATGAAGAGATCTTTGGAGAAGACGCTTACCTTGGTGCCATGGCGCGCACATTACCCCTTCCCTGCGAGGGAGAGAAGGGAAGAGGTGCGGCCAGAATGGCAGTCAAGTGGATTGCTCACAATAGAGTTGAAGTCCTTGGTTGAGGATGGATGATGGAAGGAGGAAAGAAGGAAGGAGGAAAAGCAAAAGAGCAAAGCTTGAGAAGCTGGGACCGGAGGAGTCACTTGGCACCACTGTCACGCTACATACAAACACAATCACTTCTACACCAATCAAATCACACTACACTTGTCTCACCGTAATCAATATCATAGTGAATAGAATAATGATGCTGATTCTAAACTCTATGCCAGAATCTCGTGATTTCCTTCACCAATTTGGTCACCAACGACAGCTCTCAGTGGCCACCAGCGTAGACAGAACTTCTTTCTGCCTTTTCATAGTTAGCAAATAGTTAGTGTCTGGATCAAGAAGCACTTACGCTGCTATAGACGTCAGACTGTTCATCTCCATCTGCTCTCAATGGATACAAGCTTAAACAGGTGTTCTTTCTGCATTTTGACTGTCAGTAAATGTAACAATCGTTTGTTTGGAGAACACTCACGTTGCCTTAAACGGCTCTCGGGTCTACTTCCCGTCCTCATCGGACTCGTTCTTCTTGCCAGCCTCGTCGGTCTTCTTGATGACGGGCAGTTCGGGCATGTCTCCATCGACGAACATGCTGAGCATGCCATCGGCCATGCTGGTGGGGTAGCGACGGCCGGGAGGCTCGCTGTTGGCGTAGTACTCGGCGAGGTCTTCGACGGCGAGACCCTCGCGAGACTTGGGCTTGTTGGCGGGCGGAGAGGCGGCGGGGGAGCCTTGCCTTTGCTGTTTTGTGTTAGCGGGCACCTCCTGAAAGGTCGGCACAAAGATCTCAAGCATACTCCTGGAGGGCGTCCATGCCCGAGGACTTCTTCTCGTCGTTGGTGGTTGTGGGGGTACCCTTCTGCATTTTGATGGTATTGATCTGGGTGAAAGACTGGGTGAAGAATCGCGCGTGTGAATGTGTTCTGCTTTCACCAGGAGAAATATCCGTGTCTTCGTACGGGGCAAACAGAATCGAGTTGCCAAGACGACTACCTTATTCGCATACACAATAGGTGCATTGAGAAAGAGAATGGTTGAGCGAATGTGTTCAGTATGCTTGTTGCTTCCACATACTCCATTGTCACCCGTGGTATCAAAGCTGCAAAAGCCTCCCGGGCACAACTACCTCACCACCACCACCAATTTGATGTGTAGTTTCCTTGGATTCAGTAGTCGGTAGAAAGATTTGATAACGTCCACTATACATATCCACATCAAAGATCACACGAAAGAATAAAGCAAAGCATGAAACGGGTGCTATCGAGTAAGTGTCACAGGCAGACGTCTAATCATGACATGGGTGATAGAAATTTTGACATCGGTGCACTTTCTTTCTAAGCTCAAGACCGGAGCTGATCAAGGATGAATCCGCCCACGATAGCCCCTCCTCCCCCCTCTTATCAACCTTCAGTACTGGCTTCTTCTGTATGAATCGATGACCACATCTTTCTGGTGAGCAGGAGGCTGAATGACTAGTGACAATCAGCATGAATCCCTAAAAGCTGAGGTAGATGATCTTACACCTGGAGCATGAGTTCAGATCTGCTACCTGATGTTCTTGGGTCCTGAGAGGTTGCTAGAGATGGGCAACTCGCACGGCACGCCCGCTGGAATCCCCTACTCCTTCTTGCCATCGAAGAACGCGTTGGCGTCTTGGACATTGATGAACAAGTTGCCCTTGCGGAAGCGAGCCTTTGCCTTCTGGTCTCCCCTCGACATCAGGCATGATGTCTGCCTTGATGGCGGTAGAGCTGCCAAGCAGTCAGCAGCTATACATGTTGAAAGAGTCATTTCTCCTTACTCTTGGGCCGAGTGCTTTTCGTTGCTGTCTTTGATGGTGGCCTTCTCGTTCTTGACGCTGTATACGAGTCAACATTCTGTTGACGCTCGAGCGCAGAGAAAGGGCTGTCCTGGTGCACACCTGTTGTTGATGGTCTCGTTGGTGACCTTCGTGTCGGTTGAGTTGCTCTTGTTCTCCACAGACATGCTTGTAGTGTTGCTAGCCATGATGGCGACAGTGATCAGGAAGGAAGTTTCTGTTTGATAGAGAAGATGGTGGGTAGTACGTAGATGTCGTGTTTCAGCAAAGGACGAGATTATGTGAGAGACGCGTTGATGATAGTCGACTACACGTGTCTGACACCCTCGAGTGATGCAACAGTAGAATATTCCGGACATCAACTATCACTCGAGACTAGTCTATTGCTTGGCACCATAACACGACCATCACCCACGCAACCCATATCAAATCACTTTCTGTCTCTTGCTAGTCGTTCTTCCGAACCTCGACGCATACCATCAAGATGCACGAAGAACAGCTCGCACGCGAGCAATCGCTCCTTGCAATGCCCTTCCTCGATGAGGACCTCCCTTTCCTCGCCGAGTTCGATGGTGCTCCTTGGGTCAGTGTCAAGGACGTTGTTGCCATCCCTCACCACCAAGTAAGCTCTTCTTTGCGTTACTACAGTAGCTTATTGCTGACTGAAGGTTGCTAGGACCATCACTGTCATAAACGCCCCTGATAAGGGTTCTTTCAGCCCTCCCGAGATCAGGTTCGAAGAGCTTGTCTCTCGCTCCGCTGCTCCGTGGGTTGACTCCTGCTTACACACCATCAACTATTTTTGAACATGTGCTGACGAGAACAGTAGCTCCACCGCCGCCGCCATCCCCTCCGCCTCCGCCTCAGCTTCCTCTGAAGCCACCCCTGGCCCGGGTGCTTTCAAGAAGTCCTGCACAGGCTGCACTGGCCGTAAGATCAAGTGCGAGGTCCTTCCTGGCAGTAGCCCAAAGCAGTGCAAGCACTGCCGGAGAAGGCTCTCCCCTGCGTGTTCGAGCTGAAGAAAGCCTACCAAAAGGCATGAAGACGAAGCATAATGAGTTCACACCAAAGAGATAGAAAGCAAAAAGTCAAAAAGAGCAACTGCAATTTCCTCTCAAAACATCACACCCAATTATGCGTCCTGCCAAACGGCTCGTTTCTATTCCATCTTTCCTCTCCTGTGCCCCAGAAGCCTCTTTCAGCTCTTTTCCACAACATAACCTGCCATAAATCGTTTTTGGGCATCTTGATGGCTTCTAAACCAAACCTCTGTACTTGGTCCAACCACATATCATCGCTAAACATACGTTGAAACCATTCCTGCAAGATGGGATACAAACGACGCGGTTGATCAAAGTCTGCAACATTGACGCTGGGCATAACAGACGAATTGTCGTTAGCAAGTTGGACGTACCATTGATCCCACTGATGCTCAAAGTTGGCGCCAAACGGCATGGCAATGGCTTGTGCAGAATGATACTTGTGGCTCACAGGTGGAATACTGATAATCATCGCGCGCGGCAAACCTCCAAACACGAATTGTTCGAAACAGCAGCCTTGTTCGTTGCAACGGGCTCCCCTGACCCAAGGTTCGCGAGGCTGGATCCAGGGGAGTGGGTCTTCGAAGTAGGCGTTATTGAATGCGTGGACGAGTTCGTGGAGGATGGTGTTTGCGAGCATGAGCGAGATGCGGAAGTATGCTGAGACCAAGTCGATGTGCTCGCGTTTGTGAGCGGGGACGCGGAACATGCGCTGGACTTCGGAGAACCAGTTTATGTTGGCTGCGTGACCTGAATCTATGTGTTTCTTGGTTTCGGCCAAAAGCTTGAGGTACAAATCGCTAATCTCCATAAAGCTGCATCTTGTGTTNTCTGTGAGGGAATTAGGCTTGGAAGTAGATTCTTAGAGAAATGAAGATGTCACTTACGGTCTTGCTGCTGGTATCATCCTGCAATTTGAATCTAATGTGGGTTTTGTGATTCCATAGACGTCGTAGTCTGAAGAAACCATGTCCTTGAAGGTGAAGTATGTGTATATTTGCATATCCCAGATGAGCTGATAGGTCTCACGTTGCTGCGTTTCGGTGAGAGTATCTGGAATGTCCATGATCTTGCAGGTGAGATTGGTATCAGGGTCAACTACAGTAGTCATGGAGCTTGCTGGCCGGCTGAGAGCGTAGAAGTAGTTTAACGTCGTTGGGTCGTCTAGAATAGCCGATGCGAGGTTCAACGCTGGGTAGAGCGATGCGTACTGCTCATCACTGACTCCCTGCCACATATGAGATCTCAAGACAGGATGTATCTTCTCAGCAGGATCCCATGTTGGGTTTCGAAAGGAGGAACCATACAGTCTTCCCATAGGTCCAAAGGTCATACTCTCAGTTGGATAAATCGAATTGATGTAACCAGCCGCATTCAAGATCTTCAATCCAAACTTCTCGTGGATGGGGTTGTAGTCTGGTGCCTCGCTAGGTGGACCCATTGAATACATCTTCGGCCAGTCGCCCTCGAATCTTCGACCCATACCTGTCGGATCATCATCGTTGAGTTCACGTATCTCGAAGTAAGTCTTGTCGTCGCGCAGTCTGACGGTGTACTTGTCGCGTATATCGGACCAGAATTCGAGAGTGATGTTGCCATGCTCGTCAATCTTACTTGGCGGCTCTGGAGGAAGTGGAACATTGTAGCCTCGCGGTTGCTCGGGCTCGGTCATTTCGGCGTCGCCATCGGGAGGATTTGGGTGCGACATCTTGCTATTTGGTGATACACGTGCTTGAGCTAAGTTGAATCTCAGGTGGCAATCGTCAACAACTGGTCAGCTCAGCAATGGTATACTGTCTATGTTCGGCGTACCTCACCGGATGCGGAATTGAATAGACAAAGGAAGTAATAAATCTCAACATGATTTGGGGCTATGTTCTTCTCGAGTATGCACAAAGAATTCGGGCTTTGAGACAGACATTCGCTTTGTCTAAGCCGAACATCGTCCGCTCTTCTGGTCGATATGGGGCAGAATGATTGACACTTCGAGCAACGGGACGCTTTGTCATGGCACGTTTCATATTTCTGATCGCCATTGTGATGGTGTTGTCGAGAGAAGATGTTGTATACAGCAGCCTAGGCGGAGCAAGCCATGTGTGACTAGCATTATGTTATCTTGTCAACCTTGTGTTGCTGGCTCCTTCGGAACGACGAGTCTTGTCTGAAAGGCGAGCGATCTGTGTCCTTTTGAAAGGTGACAACCTTGAGGCGTGGGTGGAGTTTGCAAGGTATTCTGAAGCCATGTCCGTGAAAAGATTGGCTCTCCAAGCTTAAGCCTTTCGGTGTAACCGGTCCATTGAAGCTTGCTCCAGAACTGCGGGTGATGGCTCAAGGTTTGAGCGTGATATGCCTTCGAGGTCGAGACTTGCCAGTGAATGATACCGCGGTCGATTGCAATGTGGTTGAAGCTTGGTTCCTCAGGCCTTCTTCGCAAAGCCAGGGTTTTGCTCCAGAGTCTGACCGATGAAGCCACGAAGAGCAGCCCACCTGTTGGACGAACCGCTGGCGTCAGGGGCGGCTTGACTAGGCACACTCATGCTTGCCAAGTTCTTTCCAAATCTCTCCTTCTCACTCTCCTCCATCTTTTGCTTTCTNTTCAGAGCACCAGGTCGTGATTTGAGCGTCTTCAACTTCATTTTTCCATCTGCGGGCTTTGCCTTCCTCACTCTGACCATCTTGCTGAGTTCGCCGAGTGCACCATCCATGCCGTCTGCCTTGCCATCTTCGTCGATCCCTTCCCACTCGTCATCGCTGTTCTCTTCCAGCTCGGGCAAGGCGTCGGCGAGTGAGTCCAGCGCAGTATTCAGCTTCTTTCCGGGGCGACGGCGTTTCAAAGGCTTCTTNTGTGACTTTTCGATGCGTGAGATCAGGGTATCGTGTTTTAATGCTCGTTTGCCGGCTTTTGTGTTTGCGGATGAAGTTTTCACGTCGGGAGCTGTGGTTGCAGGTCGCGAGGCTGCGGCAACTTTGGCGCGCATTGTCGTACGTTTTTTGCCAGTTGTGGGAGCCTGTCGCACATTAGCAGCTGATAACCAGCATCTTTCCATGTCGCATACCATTTTGATATTTCCACTGTGTTGGTAGAGCTTTCAGGGGTAAGGAGCTATAGAGGTGTCGCGGTAAAGAGTTGTGGTTCAAATGTGGAAGTCGCAAGTGCAAAGAATCTCGGTCGCGTCTTTTCAAAAATCTCCAACATTGATGGGCTTGGTCTGTGCTCGAGGCTGCCTCGGCCCTGGAAGCAACGACGTGTCATGATAGATGATATATAGATGATATATTCCTACTACGAGGAATTGGAAAGCACTGATGATTGCATGCGGCTAGATATGAACTATGATATCGATATTGAATGATATAGCCATTAGTTTGAAAATCTGTTCGTAGTCAGAAGCTCGTCTCAAAGACGTTTTCGGTCGAATCTACATTCCTGGACAGCTGTCAGCCCAGCCACCCTGTCGGCATTAGGTCGCAACTCGAGCATAGCAAGCACAACCTCGTAAAGTCTCAACTCCGGCGGAAGAGTGTTTTGGATGTGCTTCAAAGTTCTACCTTTGTAAGAATATTCTCTCTCATCATATTATGGAAACGTCATCCTGTTTGTGGACTCGTTCTCACCACAGGAAGCAAAAATTCATGATTCTCCACCATGAGCGGGGGTCATTGCGATCAGGTCTACATGGCTGCTTGCGGTATGACCGAATGATCATATACGATATCTATCAACTGATAGAAAGCACATCTTCTTGAATATAGTATTTGCTTCAGCAGTGCGTCGAACATTGTGATATCTTGACCGCTACCACATATTCTGCATTTCGCTGCTCAACACTTGGGAAGATTTTTTGTATGCTAAAATCCGATATCATTTAACAGTATCTTCTTCCAATGACCCTTGTTGGATAGGAAAGACCATCATTCGAGAGTCGAGTGGCCCCAACACCCGGACTGGGGTCCTGTTCGACCACCGCCAAGCTATATGCTCGGCCACACACCAAATGGATACAGTTCTTCGTGTCACACCCGCCACTCAGCGTGTAAGTCTGCATCAAGAAGAACATTGCTTCTTGAACAGGTTCCATCAACGTGTCATCGTAGGTCTTCATCATCATTGATCCCTCAATCATCACGGTCTAACAGCTTTCAAGAAACCGCATCACAATCACCACTGTCAAAATGTCGACCAACCGTTATCTTGACTACCAGAAGGAACACATGGCTTCCCGCGACTTCAATCACCTGGATCTCCCTCCCAAACTCACTCTCACCGACCTACCTACACAAATCCTCGCAACCATCCTTAGTCACGCCCTCCCAGAACGTCGCGAGGGCTTTCTGCCCAGCATTCTGAACACCGCAAACATGTTCAAGAAGACATCTACCNGCCCCGCCCCTAAGTTCCTCACGGTCAACAAGAGACTGCTTCGCATTGGCAAGCAAGTCTGGTTGCAGACTGACTTCACTCATGTCTACATCAACTCTTGGGCACCTCTGCACAAGGGGCTTGTTGCTTCTGCAAGCACAATGTCCTTCGTCGTTCTAACCCTCGACATCCGCCGTGGCGAGCGTACTCTGAGTCAGAAGCTCGTTCCCTCAGCCATGGGCGCAAAGCTGCGTGAGCTCCTGCAGAACATGAAGAATCTGGAGGTGCTGTTGGTCAGAGTTTGGCACGGCATTGGCAGCCTGGCCCCTGTGTCAGAGATCATCATGAACAACTTCGCGGGCGTCAGAGTTGCGCAGGCAGTCAATATTGCCAGCATCGTTTCGACTGAAAAGGGATTTGACCAGGACAGAGGATGCCCAGGCCTGCTGTCTGAAGTCTACATCAAGAATTTCATGTCGCACCTTCTCCGTAAGTCATCATTTCTATACCCTGTATGCGTAATATGGTGGACCTGACTGATATATTCGATAGACATGCCCCTCAACGACATCCCGGAGCCAGTCACCGTCTATCTGGATGAATCTGAGCCTGCGCTCAGAATCCCCATCTGGCGTGCTTGCGCTGCAACTCGCACAACCGACGAAGGTGCTTGGATGCCCGCCGCCATGGGCCACGTCGAGTCTGAGGCCGACAAGGAGAAGGAAGCTCGCTCTGCTGAGGAAGACGAAGCCTTGACTCAGCTTTTCAAGGCGAGTATGAAGGAGGTTCCATGGGTGAAGGTCGCCATGCGCGCTGGCAAGAGAAAGGAGAAGGCTGAGAAGAAGAAGGCTGCTGTTGAGGAGACTGGCAAGGAGGTTTGAGGTAGTATACATCTCGTCGGCGAAAGTGGATCTTCGTGTTGTATCAGAATGCAGGGTATTTTCATAGATAAGGTCTTGTCCATTGAAAATGACAGATCCATCCACTCTCTTTGAACGTTCTTGCCTTTTGTTCACATTTTCGCATCTTTATAGCTTATCATCAAGCTGAATTGAGCCTAGGTTTTACGTTTGAAGAAGCACACATCTCGCCGGCGAAAGCGGATCTTTGTGTTGTATCAAAATGCAGAGTGTTCATACAGATTGAGTCCTGTTTATTGAGAATGATAGTTTCAGCCACTCTCTCTGGATATCTCTACTTTTGTATACATTTTTGCATTGCGATAGCCTATCTTCAAGCATGGAGCGAGTATGAGAATCATGACATGTAATCTGAACGTTGTTTCCATGGAACAAAGCCAAGTCAAAATCTTTGTTCTTTTCATTTCGCATCGGCTTTGCGAGCTGTTCCCGCATCCGGAAGGCTTTGCATGTCAAAGACAGTCACACTTCGCACTCCCAGCCTTGCACACAACTCCGTCAGAACAAAAACTCGAGCACCAGATCCAGCGACAAAGCTACCAAGAACGACAACATGAGCGACGAAGAAGATACAGATATGCCCGACGCTGGCAATGGGTACTATGACGATCGAAACGCCGGCAGTATATACCCTGAGGATGTAACCGCTGGCAGCGCGTACGTCTACCCTAGCGGTCCATACTTTGTCAATCTATGTGCTGGCAATGGCTATGGAGGCAGTATATACCCTGGAGATGTATCTGCTGGCGGAGGGTACGTCTATCCAGGCGGTGTATCCACTGGCGTTGGAGAAGATGGCGCTGGAGATGCTGGCAGTGGATCTCCTGGCAATGGATACTCTAGTAATGGACACACTGGTGACGGAAACGCTGGTGATGAGCCTGCTAGCTTTCGAACGCCTTCGTTCGGCACGCTACCCACCTACAACACCATCAAAGCTCCTGAATTGCCTGATTATACGCGCATACAAGGACAACTGCATCAGACGGACTGGNGGCAGCACTCTTGGCGCTATACGGCACGAGAAGATAGATCTGGCACAGGCTTCGAGGTCCGACAGATGGCTATCGACAACTTTGATGACGACGAAGTTCCTGACGGGAGCAACAAAGGCTACTGGGCGCCGAAGTATCTTCTCGGACCACCAGATCAACAGCCTGCACGTTGGCACGCTTTGATTGAGAGATGGGGCTTTCCCATGCTCGAGAAAGCTAGTTTCTTGAACTACTACCCTCCTGATTCCAACGACTACATGGCCCCTATCGGGAAGTTCGCANAAGAGAGAAACCCAAACGCTGATCCCAATGAGCAAATCCATCCCGTGCTTCGAAGAGAGATGTGGCGAGGCATCAATGACGCCCAGTACAAAGTCCTGAGACAAGTACTTCTTCTGGCAACCGCATTGCTGGACGACCCGGCCACGCTGGCTATCTTCCACGCCATCGCGGATGTCGATTCAATGGGAGAGTTCGATGATGAGAATCATGGCAAATGCAAAGTCTTGAATATACCTACTACTTTGAGCAACGAACAAGAGAAGGAAGTGTACCGAAAACTGTTTGCGATGCGAGATTGGGTGGAATGGCGGTTCGGTGCCCTCGAGGATATGATGAGCAACCAGGCCCTTGCGTTGACTAGGCGCCGACTTGACAAGAACAACGATATGATGAGAACATCAAGAGAGTAAGTATGACAGTCTATAACACTTTGCCAAGTGCTAATGACAAATAGGCACTGTCACCAGTCCACGATCACAATCTCTGAGACCTTCTTCGTTATACTAAAGCTATNNGTGATGAAGACTCTTGTCGTCGTCCCTGAGAAACGCAAACCGAGCAACCTTGATCCAACTTCTGCTCACGAACGCACATGCTTAGTCTTGGCTCACACCGTTGTACACGAGTTCTTTCACGCCTTCAATGCAGCTTGGTTTCCGCGTGTAGACGACGAGACCCCTGTCTCGGCATGGTTGCAAGGTAACAGAAGCAATGAGCTTGGCAACGCCGCTATCAATCGTTTGCTCGGGGGCGAACCATTTACAATGCATAGATACAGCAATGACGCTGTAAAGGAACATCGCCAGCATTGTGCTGTGCCCTATGGATTGTTTTCAAGGGTGCCATGGGATCTATGGGAGGATACGAATGACCAATTCCAGAAGACCAAGATAGCGGGTACACAAGATGCCTTCGCTGCTCGCCAGGTATTCTATCCGGTGCCTCAGAAGTATGTTCACAACATGTTTACCAAAGAGACCTGGGAGCATCAAGTACCTAGATTTGGAATTGCAGCTCTCAGAGTACCACATCTAGAGGATTGGGCAATCACCCACAAGAAACCACATTAAGAACATGTGGGAGAATTTCCATACTTCCCAGTCCGCCATTGTCTGTTTATCTTCAAGTCCTCTTCGGTATGTCAAAACATGCTCTTCCCGTCCGAAACATCCACTGACACCCATTGTAAGGCGCCCCTTTCCAAATCCGTGGCCTCCCCCTGGGCTATCAAGCTGAGCATCGTGTCTACCCAGCACGTAGAGAGCTGAGAATCTACGGCCATCCCAGTAGTCGTTACTTCAAGTCCTGGCCCACTTGGGGTGTGCACCTCACCTCGCTGCTGAAGCAAGACCTGCAGCACTGCACTTGTGTTCTGTGCTCTGCTGAGTGGCGCCACAGAGCACCAGCCAACGCCGCCATCATCGTTGGCCTACCTGCTGCTCCTGGTGGTACTGTTATTGCCGCCCCTGCTGCCGAGGAACAGAGGGTCAAGGAAGAAGAGGCTGCCCTGCAGAGTGTTGGGTTACTTGGTCGCGCCGCTGAGGTGGAAGGTTTGCCGGAGTGGCAAAAAGCTATCATCAATGAGGCTTTGCAGAAAATCGTTGGTGGTCCTCGTCTTCGTGGTTAGGAAGCCCCTTCTGATGCCCTGTCTTGTAGTATAATGTACCAATATCCAGTTTTCTCTTGCTTCGATGCTTGCTGAACGTTGCTTATCACAATGCATGGTGAATTTGTGATCTGAGTCTTGAGCAAAGATAGCATCATTCCAATTGACATCAGGACACATTCCTCTGGTTATCGATGCTACTGAGATACTGTTCTGCAAGTCTATATGTTCCTTCGTATGTGCTTGGTCATCTGAGATAGTACTTGCTCAACGGGCGTTCCAAAGTGGAAAGTCTGATCCTTCCATATCAGATTAACATCAAATGAACAAAACTCCCTCATTTTTTGACGTCTGGGCCAATGATCATGGTGAAATGTGGTCGAAGGTATCCCGGAGGTGGTAGTGCCAAGCCCCTGAGGTCGACCAAGTCGACCTCAGTCAAGTTCTCACGTCAACACGTCTACTTTCCTCTCGCAAACTGCGCAACCACAACATCTCATCGCAACCTTGGAAAGANGTCGTTCAATTGCCCAAAGTCGCCTGATCTGGTCGTTGCGAGTTGTTCTTTGCTTCGAACGTGTCTGCCGTTCAAGCGCGCTCGTCAGCTCTCGAATCATGTGTCTGGGCCCGTTCTTGAGTGGCTTGGACGTTCTCAGAATCGATCGCGCCAACCACAGATCTTCTCCCAATGACGCCAAGGAGCCTTTGCTCAAGCGTATGTGTACATCCAAGTTGATAGATTTACGTGGCNACAGCTAACACTCTGCAGCTGCACTTGTCAATCACAACATCCGCACACCGAACAAGAGCTTCAAGCGAGTGGCCTTCGCGCCAACTCTCCAAGACGTCCAGGCTAGTCTGTCTCGCAAGGAACGCAGAGCTGGGCTGGCTTTGTCAGATCGCGCTACCATGGAGACTGTCGACTTCGACTATGAGACTGGAGCTTTTGCTTCGAACAGCACATCCCTTCTCGCTGAAACTGGTAGCTCAGTTTGCGGTTCCTCTATCAACGACAAGACAGTCCCCCAAACGACTAAGCCTACTACCACCTCGCACATTCGCAACATATCTAACACCGCTGTGTTTGGTGACGAAACCTCGACTTCGACTAGCGGAAAGCAGATCTCCTGGACTCCTTCGGACTCCGAACCTTACATCAAATCCTTGTTCTCATGTCACGACGGCACACTTGGTCCTGCAACCACTGCGAACACCACTGCTGCAACCATCGCCGAGAATGTCTGTATGGCCAATGTTCCCATAGACATCCAGGAACCTCACTTCGCTCCCAAAGCTACTGAGGTCCCCAACTTCAAGGTCCCCTTCGATTGTTCCCGCATGGCACTCCGAAAATACTCGGCTGGTATCCCACCGAGAGCTAGTACTCCTGAAACAATGTTTGCGGGAGGCCCCAATAAGAAGTGCTTTGAGAAGCGATGGACTGGTCAATCAATTAACTCATCTACCAGACCCACTCTTTCGATAGACATCAGCTCCCGTACCCCTGAACTTGAAGGTGTTTCGGTTGGAAGCGTCAGAGCAGAGCAAGCTGGCCAACAGCACAGTTGTTGTATTGGCGTGCTCACTGCGTTCGAAGCCGAGCACCTGAGCGATGAAGACAAGCAAGCAATCCTTGAGGGCGGCTGCCACGGTCTTTGCGCCNCCCAGGTTATGTTCAGCAATCAGAAGTCTTCTCAAGACGACGCAGCGAGAGGAAGTAGCTCCAAACCATCACCTCCTGCTCGAGGTCCATCTGACCGTTCAGCTCGATTCATCTCGCCCATGCCTTCAGACATCATGCCCAACGGCCGTCGTGGTGGGAAGTCAACTCTGCCCCGTTTCTCACGCCGTCGTGCGGCTGCCGAGTACAAGAAGCCTCGACCACCCCTTGCTCTAGTTGAGCCCCCGTCTCACAAAGCAGGCAATTGCGCAGGCCTTCTAGTTGCCGACCACAACTCTCAAGAGCACACCAAGCGTTTCACCCAGCGCCATACACCTTTGAACGTCAGCGCAGATACTGTTGCTCACCCCAGATCACACAAGCTCAAGAGACAGGCCAAGCACAGTGATCTGAGGGAAAGATTCACAAGCCATCAACAGCTTGCAGAGAAGGTTGATGAGATCAAGCAAGCCAAGGAGAAGCAGAGTACCCAAGCCAAGGAGAAGAGCTCGTCGATCCGCAAGCTGATCAGCCGTTTTCCTACTTTGTTTTGAAGATGGCAACGCTCACTGAGGGTCGGCTTCACTAACATGAAGATCCGAGGATGACGATGGGGGAGATATAGGGGCGGCTCGAGAGACGAAGAGTAGACGGGCCTGCAATGCAACGAAGGACAAAGAATGAAGAGCGGAAGCCCTGGATGACCATGGTAATGAAATCAGGCATCATGACACAAGGATGGTAGCAGCAAGGAAGCATCTGTACAATAGTAACTCAAGGTAATGCAAAAGGACAAAAGCAAAGATTCTATACCCACCAACAAGTCTCAAAGGCAGCCCATTTGCGAAACCTTTCTGTACGTACGCGATGATTGGACATCCGAACCCACGGGTTCGAAGAAAGGTCCCAAGAAGCCCATGGCACGTCACCTGACCCACGAAACATACGCAAAGGTATCATCGAAGTTCAACCCTCTCTCCTGCGCGCCATCAGAACAACCACGACAGGCACCACAATCATGCCTATCTTGGCCCCCTCTTCTTGTCCCTCCGAGCTCTGCAACCGCTCATCGAGCGTGTTGGTAACTCGCGACCGCATCGCGCCTGGCGTTTTGCCAGTCTCGCTGCGTGAGCACCCTGTCTGGGGACATCTTGTCACCCACGAAGGCTCTGCTTACGAGCGTGACTGCAAGGTCGCTGATGCTCATAGGTATGTCAAAAGCTTCGTATGGATGGTAGTTGTACTGACAATGGTTGCAGAGCACAAACTTCTCTGCCTGCTGCCCTCCTCGAGAGGAAGAAAGATGACCTCCTTGGGCTTCCCTCGCCTGCGAAGTATCGGTAACAATACCTGCCTTTGAACTGCAAATCAATCAAGTCTAAGTTTCCATAGCATTATCGACGCCAACGAAGCCCTGAACAGCTTCAAGTATGGGAAGACTGGTGGCACAATTCTTCCCCTGGCTTTCGTTGTGGCCTGTTCGGGTGAACAACCTGGTAAGCTGCACACTCCTGACCTCGCGCAGAATCCTAAGCTAATCTTCTCAGCTTACAAGGTCGAGAATGCTTCCGCCTCGGGCAAGCACAAGCTTCGCTGTAAGAAGGCCTGCGCTAACCTCCGCGCAGAGAGTACTGTGTAGAGTATTCTATCAAAATGCAAGGTGCTTTGTCTCATCTGTCTTTGTCCATTGAAAGCTTCGAAAAATACATCTTTGTTGCTCTATGTTGGTTTCTTTGTGATAAATCTGGCTCCTTTGCATATTGTTCTTGTCTCTTTCTTGCTTTGAGCAATGCATTGTTCTTCCAACAAGTCCAGCTGCGGTCTATCTCTGACAAGTATTCATACATAACCGTCGATCTGCTGCAGATAGTAGGCTTACCCAGATTTGCGATCTACCTACTGTTTCGCAGACCTCGACGTTACGACTCAAAGCCCTTATACATACTTCAGGTAAGATGTGTTTTCTTGAAAGACAAATTTTTCATTGTACGTTTTGTGGCGCTGTCTCGCCGGCTGAGACTCTGGTGCTTGGGTGCCCCTTCAATGGAGCTTTCGGTGACTGCAACCTTGTTTTCGAGACCACTGTTAACATGATTAGGGCTCATCCTTCTTGCGTTTCTCTCGATCAGCTTTGTCGCGATGTTCGTTTGGGCGCTCCTGTTGACGCTCCACCACCACCTGTCCACGTCGACTCTCGTATGGATGTCGATCCTCTCGGCTCCCNNCCTTCGTACACTATCGCTGCTCAGACACCAATTTCTCCTAGCGATGCTCTTTCTCTTCCTGCCGGCTGGACCTCTGACAACCTACAGGCTCCGTCTGATGCCCTCAAATTGGCTACTCAGCACCGCGATGCTCTCGTCAGCATGGTTCAAGATTTGATTCCCACTGTTGCATCACTCAAAGCTACCATTGCTCCGCTTAATGATCATCTCCGTATCGTCATTGAGTGGTCTGAAGGCTGGATGGCCGGTATGATCGTCGCTGCTAACTCACACATTGCCAACATCGAAGCCGCTGAGTTTGAGATCGCCAACAACACTGCCTGGTCTGATCAGGCTCGCATGGACATCGCTATCATCGTTGATGGAATTGTCAATCACCTCAATCCCTTCGAAGGTGCGCTGATCTGGTGTCGCCGCTTCACTGATCTGTTCATTCATTTACGTCGCATGGCTGGTGAGCTGTCTCCTCCAAGACCTACTACTGATGAGTTCCCTCCTATCATGAGAAGACGTGGTGCTGTGACTGATCTGATGGATGCTGGTACTACTGATCACTCTGACTTCTTGCCTCCTCCTGAATTTTATCTTGCTGATGACGCTTTTTCTGATGATGGCGAGCCTATGGACGAGAATTTTGATGACTTTGATGCTTAGTATTCTCTTACAGTAAGTCTGGTTCTATCTGGCGTTTCAAAATGGTATTCGATATCACTGAAAATACATAACCATAATTTCTATCCAACAACTCTGTACATTGCTTTCTCTGGTGCCAACGTGATATAGTGTAATCTTTCTGCATTTTGATAGTGTACTAAAACATCAGGCTGGTGTCTTGAGAGTCTTTCGGTTATCGCAAACCGCCCGGGGCACGAATGATTGCTTTCACATCTCTCTGATCGTTGCTCAAGTTTTCTCACGCTATAAAAATGCAAGAATTGGTATCGAAAACTGCGCCTTCCACTGAGATGTCGCTGGTAAAATTGCTTCCTTGGAACGAAGCATGTACCTGCTTGTTATCCTGCATTTCGATAGTGTCCTGCTTGCTGTTTGTTGGACGGTGAGAGTTATCGTTGGTGACCAGGGGTTCGTCTGCTGCTGTCACCCTGGCCTTCTCTCCTCTGTGATATCACCCAAGAACATTTCGCAATAACTTTGTAGAGAAAATTGCTTGTACAGTCTGAATGAGAAATCAAGTTTTTGTGCTTTCGTCGGGAAATGGTGCGACGAAGAATGATCTGAGCAAACGCAAGACCCGCTATGTCACTAGAACTCGCGTGCGAGACACTGCTTGGGTCGTCCATCTTCGTCAATCGCAAACCATCTCTTCTTTCCGGCGAACTCTTTTTGCTTTCCAACGACATAGTCAAGCCACAGCGTTAGTCCTGGAATCAATGCCAACTTCTTCTCACCTCATCTGCGCATCGAAAGGATCCCGCGCTTACACTCCTTCTCATCAACAGCATGTCCAACGAAATCGACAGAGAATCCCTCGAGTATCTACTCGCCTACCCAGAGATGCCACCAGGTTTCCCGGCCCCTGAGCCAGTCAAACAGGAACCTGAGACCGAGGCCGCCAACATCCCCATCGAGCGCGAGCCTGGCACAGAAGACCAGGAAGTCAAGATCGAAGGCCAAGACATCAAGCCCGAGGAACAAGAGATCAAGCAAGAAATCAAGAAAGAGGTCGGAGTTCTGGCGCACCTCATCAACACCTACCGTGCCTATGGCACTACCCCTGACGAAGACGGCTACAATCTCACCTGCCGCTTCTGCAACTTTTCGTGCAGCAATATGCTTGAGCTCAAGGCTCATTGGCCTGTTCACGTCGGCGTGGAGACGACAAAGTGCATCGTCTGCAACATGCGCTGCTCCAACTTGGAGTTGGCTAAGAAGCACGTTACACATGGCAGACATCTGAACAGGATGCGTGTGCTTGGAATTGGTGGTGAAGAGCCCGCCAGAAGAGCTTGAGAGGTATGCCCATATCTTCTGCCATGTACGACCTGGTCTAACAGCTGTAGCGAGTACCTCGAATATGTGTGACAACCGGCGTTGGGGGCGATAATGCATCACGAAAGGAACAATAATGATGGCGAGAAGATGGAAGATTGAATTATGGTTGCAGCGGAGGGTTACAGATAGCATACCCCGAAATGCAACACTACAACTGGTCGTAATATCTACGCAGTTTTCAGATTTGAAGGGTATCGAACAATGTGTATGTTGAGGAGGTGTGAAAGTGTCGGCCCTCAGGTGAGTCGTGGGCCTTGGCGCTGGCTACCATAATGTGAGAACCTGAGTCCCGTCGCGCCATCGCCTTTCGCGACTTGTCATCCCACATCGAACAATTCACGCAAGCAACTAAGTCGCAGACCTCGCAAGATGGACGCTGGCAATCTACCTCCAGGCCGACCTCTGCCTCGCCAGGACGATTGCACTACTCTGTCTCACCACCCCGACGGTATGTGCCATCTCGGACTATGCTTAGTAGGCTACTAACATCAACATCGTAGGCTGCACTCTTGTCACGTACACCAAGACTTGGGATGCACGCCAGCGTGCCCGCTTGGCCGAACTCAACCTTCCCAGTCTCGAAGACGATAAACTCGCCGCCATGATCAGCTTCAAGGAAATAATCTACCTCCCTACTATTCGCAAGGAACTGCGTGACAACTTGATGAAGTTGATGGTGTTCATTATCACCACCAAAGGCGACACCAAGAATACCGAGACCACTGAGGAGGACAACTTCGCCAAACTGCAGGTCAAGATTGACGTGCGTATCTTGAACCAGTTTCTGAAGTCGACCCTGCGCGGTGTTCAAACTTGCGCCGACTCAGAAGTCGATGACCAATCTGCCGAGGTCATTCTGACTTTCTGGGGTGGAAACGAATTTGAGAACGTCGTGTGGGCAGTTGCCAAACACTATGTGTATGTCTACAGCATCCTCGTTTTACATCCCTGCTGACTTTCTGTATAGCCTCCGCACTGACGGCGGTCCTCACGCGTATCTGGATTTCGCCGACCCTGAAGAATTGGCCGAGGAAGTTGTTCTCTCTCGCGGTCAGGTCTACCACCTCTCCACATCGAGTCATATGGCTTAGTACTGCTACTGGAGTGGGAAAGTTGTCTCAACGGTATGCGAAGCAAGGATTGGCATTGGTCGGCATCAACACAGCTCAGGGGCTGGCGAGCTTGGTTTCTCGATGCTACAGGAGGCAGTGTGTCCTTTGCAACTCAATCTTTTCTTTTCTCTATGCAAAACAGCCAATGCACCTAGTGTCTTTGATAGTCGACAATGCGGTCTGCAGGTCTCGCTGGCTGGGGTAGCAATTGAGCAATAACAATGATGAAAACGATCCCTTCTTTCTCCATCGTCGTGTTTGCATTCTCGGTCGTGATGGTCTCCTTTCTATGCATCTCGTGTTCGTCGTGGAGAGTAAGGTCGTGCAATGTTAGCCAAGGTTTCGTTCGGGTGTCTGTCGAGGGCGGATCTTTCATGTCCACTCTGCATGTCTTTGTTGCGTGCAGACCCGCCATACCTCGCTTCTTTGTTTGAACCACGACTCGCAACCACCAAGAAAGCGACCACGCGATGGCATACACTGCCAGGCGTTCAAGAAGGCGTTCAGCATTGGCCTGGCAGTAAGATCAAGTCTAAGTGTTCCCGATCTCTGAGAACAGGCGCTGACAGACGCAGGAAATGAAGTGCAGTACATGCGCCTGGTCTACCACGACGAGTACTCCGCTGCTCAAGAAGCCATCGAGTCTTGCCTAGTCGAAGCACCCAAACGCACCGAAGCTCATCGCAATGCCTCTTCTTTCTACGTGCTCACCTTCGAACACCGTTCTCACGTCCCAGAGATCGTTCATCATTACCACCATGTCTTACGCTACATCTCCCGCGTCATTGACGAGTATGGCACCGACTCAGTCCTCGTCCAGAGAGACTTCCGTCCTGTGGTTCCAGATGTCATTCACCCCTCTCAACCATCTCTGCCCCTTGGCCCTCGCATCGCTAAGCAGATGCCGGTTCTCGACCTCTCTCGACTTTGAATGTTCTTGCGTTACACTCCCCAAGGACGACCGTATCGCAGATAATGCCATGGTCACCCTCACAATCTACAAGACCTTCGAATTCACCCACGAGGAGACCGAGTTCAACGAGGAGGAGCTTGAGTGGACTGCTGAGGCCAACGAAGATGAGGACAGCTTTGCTGCAGCTGCTATCGAGTACGTGAACCCACTGAGATTTGACCATAGCTCACACTGACGTTACTCAGTCCTTGCTGGACTCTGGACCCTAAGAACGCAGAGATGAGAGCAAAGGAGAATAGACGCCACATTGGAGCTAGAAAGCGCGCTCGTGAAGCACGCGCGAATCTGCAGGACTGGGTTGGAAAGAAGTAGGACATCTGCAAAGAGGCTCGTTCACATGGATAGACCGACAGATATACTCGAGAAGAGAAACTTGATCCCTTGCGTTATTCGTTTTTCGATTGCTCCCCTCTTGCTCACCAAAGACCTATCTTGGTTTCAAGAAGTCATGGCATCTGTTGGACACGATGCAAGTTTCCTGATAGACACCTCTACCAAGATCCCCTTATCAGAATGATCAGTCAACTCAATATCACCTTTAGCTGCCATACCTTTTCTTAACTACCTGTCGTGTTTGCCGCTCAACATAGCCTCGATCGGTCATCCCTCGCCAGCGTCACACAGTCGTTTTAATACAGCCGGTGGTCAAGACCCCTGCTCTTGCGAGTTCATGCACTTAATTATCTCTTTCTGGCTTCCAGCTTACAAACTAGTCATCTCTCTTCATCCTGTATCTATCACCACGACCGTTCCACTCGTTTTGTCTGGCTTGATACGCATGTCATCTTGTCTGAGTCCGATTGATCTTGTCTTGTTGAAGTCTGGAAAATGGCTCCAACTTCATCAGACTCTGTTGGCTCACCCTTGGGCAACGCATGCGGACGGTGAGATGCTTTCGCAGATTAGGCGGCTGGATAGGAAACAACATGTCCGAGGCCCGTAAGAATAGAATCCACAGACTAGACTCCTGGTCAGCCCCTTCGCTCTGGAAGGCATATGGAGGTCCCTACTACTTTTTTCCTCGCGTAGCAGGGATGTTGCTTTACTGGCGACGATGCTGCTATGTGACTCCTCGAAAGCATCTGAACATGCCGCACCCCTGTGACAGCAGTGCAACGGTGATTGTGGCGAGAAGTTCGAGACCGCTTAGGCAAGAAAAACACACCATGAGACTTGCTCCGAGATGCTGAAGCGCCCTGGAAAGAAGGGGTCGAGTTCAAAGCCCTGAGGTACTACGGACACGGTAGGTGAGAGGTGAAAACGTGGGAAACAGTCTGCCATTGTGTGCTGTGACTCAAATGGAAGATGACGATGACCTGGTGGTCGTCAAAAGCACAAAGTCCAGTGGTAGGGGCAATCAGGAGTTTAGGCTATTGTGCAGAATGGTCATGGCAACAGCGGCGTTGAATGCTTTTTGTGCTTTTGCGGTTCGAGACTCTTTCCTTCTTTCTTGTTATCCTCTCGTGCTTGTATTCGATGGCTCTGGCAACATCCAGACTGTCCCGTGTCTAGCATCCCAATGTTTTGGCTCTGACAAAACATATTCTTGGCATCAACTACATGTTACACGTCAACAACACGACCATCTTTTCTCCATAATCTTCTCTCTTCCCTCCCACTCCGCAGGTCAGCGTTTTTCCCGCGATAGCAGCATCCCTCTCTCGAAAACATCATTGAATCGCGCGCTTCACCACCAAGATGAGTGGCCGGTGTCTCTCCACAGACGTGCTGGCTCTCCCAGTCGAGTGCCGCGCCTGCGGTGCCAGTTTCGACCGCTTGATGGACCTCGGCTTCCACGAATCAACACACGATGTCAAGCACAGCATCCAAGACCTTGATGCAATGTCTGCAGAAGACGACCCACTACCATTTGATGAGCCCGATCACCGCGACGTTGCCACCGCTGCCCGAACTCTTCTGGAGACCGTCACCCGCAGCTACAGCGAGCTGAGAACCTCGCTTGGAGGATCGCATGTCAACAATCGTTTCTTTCAACCCCTGCCCGCCCACTCTCGAATGGCACCACCTTACCTGTCCACCTTCTCTTCTATCCAAGCCACAGAGGCTACCAACAGCGCCCAACATGGTCTCCCTCTTCGAGCTTCTAGCCGCGATCCAGTGCAGACTGCACCTGGTGGCCAGCACAGAGACACCCACGGCAACACGCAGAACACCACCTTATCTTCTAACCTGGCAAACACCGACAACAACCCGCCAGCCCCTGGCCCACCGATCAACTTTGTGATCTACACCCAGGGTCCATCTTCCGCCCAAGCACAACCCCCAGGCACTCATACTCCGATCGTCCCACCACCTCCTCCCGCCCAGAACGTTCTTTCGTGCCAGTTGACAAACTGCAAAAGCAGCTTTCATGGTGCCCATGCCACTCAAGACCTCTATGTAAGTTTTGTCAATGAAGTTTGAGTGGTCCTTTGAACTAACGAATGCTTCCTAGGAGCACCTCAAACACCACTATCAACCAGGCCAAAAGTCCATCTCATGCCAGTGGGCTGGCTGCACTGCCAAACCACAACGGGACACCTTCTACATGCGTCTGCATCTGCAGAAGCATGCACCCGTTGGCGGCGTCTTGACGTGCAATGGTGGATGTGGCCAGAGATTTACCAACGCCGGCCAGAAGACCGCCCATCACAAAGTCTGTCCTCTCGCGCAGCAGCGACGTTGATACGTTGTCGGAGAGCAGCAGGGTGATATCGGTGTCGTGTTCATTTGCCAGTAAGAACATGAGACTGGTACCAGGAGACTGACTTTTGATCAGGCGTTGGAGGAGATCCACTCGTCAAGGAAGAGGAAGAAGGAGTAATGGGAGTGAACAAGGGTCAGATACACAGAACTCGGGAGGTCACTGACTACTGCATCCCGACGTCAAAGGCCAAAGGAGATGTGTTTCTCTAGCTTGAGGCTTTTCTGTTGTTTTTCAAGAATGGTTTGGCAAGGCAGTTATGTTAGCAAGTCCGAATCCAGCTCAAAACATATCGAATTCTTTGTCTCGAGTCGCCTTTCATGAACTCGTTTGAGCAGGACAAGTGTAAGATGGTGGTAGTGATCACACCAAGCTCGAGCCCTGGAGTTTGCCAAAGGGGTTGGCTAGACTGACAAAGGGGCGTGCGAATCACCGTTGTATCGAAAGTGAAGGCGCGCTCTTTGAGTCGCGTCATCCAGTCTCCACCCGTCCACAACCAAACCACACCTTCTTTCCCTCCACCATTCCTCTAACTACACAGTCCGAGTAACAGACAATCTTACATCATGGCTATCGTCAAATGGGGTATCGACCACCCTAACAACCCTCGCAACAAGGAGAACCCTGGACGTTCGCAGCAGCTTGAGGAGGAGCGCCGCAAATTCGTTGGCACTGCTACCAAGGGCGCCATTCGCACCAACCCTGATGGCACTATCATGGGCCCCATGACCGAAACCGAAGAGTCAGAACTCACATTCCTAAATGTACGCACGATACTGACAACAAGTGTGTAGCGTCGAGACCAGATCCGAGGACGAGGAGCAGACAGACGCTGACTACATGTCCGGCGAGGAGGAGCCCGATGTCAACATGTAAGTTGTGTTCTTCCCGCGTGCGCATTCCATGCTAATCCTGTTCCAGGACCGCAGAGTCTGAAGAAGAGGAAGAGCACGACAACCACTCCACCATGGACGACCACGAGAGCTCCCTTCCCCCATNCCAGCGTTGCCGATGATACCTCCGTTTTCAGCACCGAGGAGGGTATCCTGCCTCCTGGCTGGCTGCCTGGTGTTCTTTCGGATGGCAGTCGTTTCTGGTACACTAGCAAGAGACTTGCGGGACCTATGATCAAGGAGACTCCAACACAGGTGCCTGGAAACTATGTGTTCGACGAGCACACTCAACGCTGGGTGCTTGCCGGTTAGCTTCGCAACAGACAGATATGAGAAAGCTGCTATGCTGAGGAAAGTCAAGACGACACTGCAGTCATACAAGCTGGAGTATCATTCAGCAATTCAATCTTCTTGTCCCTTTGTCCTATCATTCTAGATGTCCCTGGTGAATGGTACAGGCCTAATCCGCTACCAAAATGCACGAATCGATTCTCTTGTCATGCGTTACCAGAGAGATCTTGTGGAACCATCGCTCTCAGTGAACATTACTGCACACGTGTTGAACATTGAGACTCTTGATAGAACGTTCGAAGCATGAATTGGCATATGGAGATACTATCAAGCGTTGCTACTACGTTGTGATATGACGTATCTCCACAAAAGCCAATACAGACTTTACAAGCTATGAAAATGCACGAATTGATACCCATACCGTGTGGTACCAGAGAAACTTGTGCAAAGCAACCCATCTCACTGGACATCAACGCACGTGTGTATAGCGTTGAGACTTTTGATAGACCACTATAAGGGTCATCAACGAGACCGAAAGCAATCAATTTGTAGGAACCCCTGACTGCTTATTCCAACCCGGGGTGGAAACTCCATTCGCCCCCTTTACTCCTTCTACCCTCCACTACTTCTTTGCGTGCATTCTCTCCTCATGGCTGACGACATGGGCTTTCTGCTGGAAGCCTCTGCCGCATTGGGAGCACCAGAAGAGCTTGTAGTTGGGCACACGCGTCATGCAATGTGCGACCAGGAACCTGCGAGTTGCGTGACGGTATGAGCAATTGCCCCATCTGCAGTTCGGGTTGTTGAACTTGATGCCAGGCACGGGAAGACCAATGTGGTCGTTGTTGATCTGAGACTGGAGCAATGTCAATACTGAGGCTTGGATAAGAGGGTGGTAGGGACATACGACAAGCAAGGCAGGGCCATCAGCGCCGGCAAAGGTTCTGCTACATCCGTGCCATTGGCACGACAGACGTTGAGCAGCAGACTGGGTGGCATCGGGACCTCGAGAAGCGACTGCGGGCTGGGTGGAGGCAGCGTCCAGGTCTTCAGGAGCATGCGAGGAAGGTTCGACGACCGATGGTGGAGTTGTTGCGTGCTCGCTGGACTCAACACCTGCAGCCTCGATCTCTTGATGGCTGATAGGGGCGCGGTAAACCGGCAAAGATTCGAGATCGAAGCCGTCAGGAAGAGGTTGGTTCAGAGGTCTGAACCTGGCGATCGCAGTCGCCAGCAGAGCCTCCTCGCTCATCTCATGTGGCAGGCGAGGGCTAGCTCTACCACCAGTTGCTGCGTAGTGCTGCTTGCATGTCAGAAGTTGCGAGATCAGATTAAAGGCACAGAGAACTACCTCAGGGAAGAAGTCTGCGAAAGCTTTGCTGTGCATCTTCAGGGGTGCCTCTTCGGGCTCCTCATCACCGAAAGTGTGGTTTTCTGACATCTCGACGGTATTGTCGCGCTCCATAACAAAGATCAGGCGGTTTGTGACAACTGATCAGTTGTTGGATAGAAGATGTCAACAGAAGAAAGGCGAAGAAACATGTGTGGTTCGCTTTGGTCGACCAGCCTTGGCGCGGTGTGAAGTGGTGCAACTCGCGACCTTCTGTTGCCCTCGGTGCCGGAACCGTCCCCTCGTCAACCCTGACCAGTCTCCTTACTCTTACTCACGCTTAAGCACATCTTCTGCAGCCATCCAGTCAGGATGCCTCGCAAGATCAAGAAGGCAAAGCGTATGGGCAAGAAGACGAACGAACAAGAACATCTTCGCATCGATAACCCGGCCCCCGAAGGCGCCATGTTGGACCAAACCTCTCCTCCCATCACTGGTATCTCTTTCTACTCTTCTTACACACTGGCTCCGAAATCATGCTCATGCGTTTACCAGATAGCGTCATCACTCAAAGCTCTCTCTTGGCCATGCCACTGGAAGTCCGCCTCATGATATACAAACATGTACTTGCTACAGACGATGTCCACGAGGAAACAGGCTCTCCCATTCTCCAGATTGGCCAACGCCGCCTCCTTCGCCGCATCTCTCAAGAAGCACGCGTGAACCACTACCGCCTCGAAAACTTCAATTGGAAGTACTTCGCTTTGTCTAGATCATGCACTCAGATCCGTCAAGAAATCGAGGATTATATGCCAAAGCAAGCTATACAGTTCTCAGACTTCGGTGCTCTGAGAGAGTTTCTGGACATCCAATTCGGCAACTTTGACAAGCCTGCGAACGAGTACGCCAGGAAGGCTCTGAATACAGCTTCGGTCGTCCTCGTACGCGATTATGAAGGTCATTTACAGAGAATGTACTCAGCATATGGATATGATATCTAGGTTTGTGCCAGGATCATGATGTGTTTCGACTTCCACTAACATCAGATATAGATACAGCACTATTGGTTTTGAAGGCTTACGCCATTGGCCTCAACTGGGTGCGAGAAAATGATTGTCAGAGCTTCTGGAAACCAAGTGGATGTGTACCCCTTCAGACAGATGCTGCTTCGCATGTAGTCTCTTACTGGGTCTCAATTATCGTTGGATCATTTGCGAAGCAGTCTCTTCTGTGCTGGAGCTGTCAATGATATGTTCATTCGGCCACATCACGATTGAAATTCAATTCTTGTGTCTCTTCTTGCTCTTGTCTCCTTGAAGTGTTTTGCATAATTGCCATCATGTGCATTGAATTGCGTGACTCCTCGGTACTCCGACTCCAGCTCTGGTTGAAATGTAGACTGTAAAAAGGCATGAGCGTTTTTGGGAGAAGAAGGTTCACCAGAGAGAGTCCACAAGTTCTTGCTTCTCAGTGAATACTGCATCATCTCCTGTTATCACTGTGTATTTCCATAGCTACGTGGGTTACATACTCTAGTATGCAGGGATGGTAGAAGTACCAATGTATGGTGATCAGCATCCACTACTGGCGATACCACGCCCCTAAGGTTTTGTACAAATGCTACTCCGAATGGTCAAACCATTCCATTTTAGACTGCAGGGATAGACGGAAGTATGAGGTCATGCACGTGTTGGTACAGAGGGAGGTTGACTGGTCTTGGCGTTTTCCTAGTGCGGACGTGGTCGACATTCGGGTCAAGTCCGCTCCTTTCTCAATCTTACTGCGCGCACCCCTGTCACGCACAACATCTCTGCTCCCAACTAACGGTGCAAGATGGCGCCAAAGAAGAAGAAGAACGCTGGCAAGTCTAAGCCACGCGCCAGCGCTCGTCCCAGCAGCCAGGGCAAGAAGAGGAAGAGCGACCAGGTAACCATCGTCAAGCCCCTAGCGACTCTACGCAAGCGCCATGCTGACCGCTCTTGAAAGCCCTCCACCCAAACAACTGGCAACGGCGACCCCTCGCCTGCTACACAAGATCTCGAGCCGGGTAAGACAAGCCGAGCTCATCAACGACATGACCATACTGACAGACCTGTAGCTCCCATCACAACAGACTCAGAGATTCGCAATGCTCAAACACAGGGTCTTCTGTTCAAGTTACCCACCGAGATCCGGGTCATGATCTACGGTTACGTCCTCAACAACAAGATCCTCGAGATTGGCACAAGACGTGAGCTTCGCAGTCAATTTCGTAAGCAACGCCTCAATCAGTTTACTCTTGAGAACTTCAACAGCAAGCATTTCGCCCTTATCAAGACTTGCACCGAAATCAGAAAGGATATTGAGGGGTTCGTCTTGCCTAAGCTTGCTTTCAGCTTCGCCTCAATGGATGCTTTTGCGCGCTTTCTCGGCAGCCATAATTGGTTTCTGGACGACGTGGAGCTGTGTGACAACTCCTTCAATCTGCTCAAAAGGTCTCGAGAGTTGAGGTCGTTATCCCGAGACATTTGAGATGGCATCACCCTCTCCATGCCGTGAGTTGGGTTGAGAGAGCCTTGAAACGTCCACTTGACGTCGAGTTTGTCGACTGGGATCGTGACGAGGATTACACCAGCCGTGCATGTCGCGAGGCAACCAGGCGTTGGAACGAGCGTCTGCAGGAGATCAAGGCTCTTCAGGCTGATGGCTGATGGCTGATAGCTGATGAACAGCAGGCGAGGGCTATACAAGAGATGACGGCTCACGTGAAGAAGCTGGAAAAGGAAGCCATGATGCACCGAGGGTCGAAATGATACAGTTTTCTCAAGAACCAATACCCAGAGTTAGGTGGATCAGCTGGCACCTGTTGATCAATCATGCCCTGAAATGTTTTCCTTCCAAGCCAGCCACCAATGCCAATCGAAACGCCATGATGATGAGGCATAGTACATCGGCGTGAGTAATAGTATCTTGTCCACAGCCAATCGTCATGCCGGGTCGTTTGGTGATCGTCTTTCTTGGCGCGACCAATGTTCCTCACGCAAGTCCATGTTTGTCATCGCTCGCGTATCTGGCTCTCTCTCCGTTCCATCTGATCTTTTCGCACGCCAGCCATGCCATTCTTCAACCTCATCTAAACAAGATGGCGCCTAAGAAAAAGACAGCCAAGGCCAAAGGCAAGCAAGCAAAATTCGACCGCGATGCAAAGATAAAGAGCAGCAAGGCAAATACGAGCAAGCCTGCTTACGTCCAAGAACGTGCCATTAGTTACCTCCCACCTCCTGGTGAGACACAAGACACCAGTAAGCAAAGCGAAAAGCACTAGATATTGACTGAACTGACAACACTGGCAGCCTCTTTCACAAGACGCCGCAAGTTCCGCCATGCGCATTTCCAAAGTCTGTTTTTCAGCCTGCCTGCCGAAATTCGCGTCATGATTTACCATCACGTCCTCTCCACCCAATCAGATGGCAACGACTTGGGTCCATACACCTTTGTCATTGGAGATCGACGCGTCCTGCGTTCTCGTTCTCGTGCTCAACGCACCAATCTGTTTGCCCACGTAAACTTCGACGGCAAACATCTTTCGCTTGTCAAGACTTGCACTCGCGTTAGAGCAGAGGTCAATGACCTTATTCTTCCCAAGATCTCTTTCAGATTCCTGTCTAGCGATGCTCTGGGCAAGTTTCTTGGTTTTCGCGAAAGAGAAGATATCTTTGATGAAGATGTCGATGCTCGTCTCGAGAACCATGAAAAGCAGGCACTAGAAACGATCACATCAGCATTGCTCCTAAAGGCAAAGAGAGTCGAGGTCATCCTCGGGAAGGGAGAGTACTGGGATTTGGTCACCGAAACGTTGTGCTGGATGGGCATGAAATTGCTGCACCCCTCGATCTGACTTTCGTCGACGAGAATCCTGGCAGGAACGGGCCGAGTATGGCTTGGAGAGAAGCTGTATGGACGTGGGATGAGTTCAGAAATCTCTCAGAGGGCGAAGAAGAAGAGTCCTGAGGGCCGCTGTGAAAGGAGAGAAAGCTGGGAGGAGCTGTGACCTTCAAGCATAAGTCAAAAACTAACACTGCTTGACCTTGGTCTCGAAGGCAGCAATTCTTCGACGATGATTAGGTTGACTACTTCGATGCATCAGATTGGGGGTTCATTATAGAGGCTGTAGACTCCTAGAGAAGTCTTCCAAGCATATTTCAGATCAGCTTTTGACTCTTTCCAACGTGATGACCACAGCTTTTGCTCCCATTCTCTTACCCCCACTCAAGGCTTGAGCACAGAAAGCGACACCCCTGTTTTCTGATATCGTGACATTAGGTCCTTTGATCGATGTTCGGGCTTGGCTTGTTGTGACTCTCGATGCTGACCAGACCGCGTTTTGTTCTGTTCCTCCACGTACGCCAAACAACTTTGGAACCTCGCCCATCATCTAACAGTCATTTCTCCACTGTCCAGCAAAATGGCCTCCAAGTTGAGAGTCAAGGGTAAAGGCAAGCAGACAAGCACTCGTCGCGCCGTGGAAATCCAGAGCAACAAGGTAAACCACTGGCAAGCCCCTGAAGACGCCCCTTCTATACGCGACTGACACTGCTGCTCAGCGTTCCATCGAACAAATGAGCAACGGCGCCCTTCCAGTGCAAACACTCAAGAGATTGGTGAGTCACTCTCACAGGCGCGTCTGCCCCTCCAGATTGCTGAGTCCATCGATAGGCTCCGCCCAGACAACCATGGCAGAAGGTTCTTCATCCGGAGCAGCCCCTCCAGCTACAGGTAACCCAAGTCCATCGAAGATACTGAGCAAGCAAGCATACTAAACTTCACGATAGGTCCTGCTATCACCGAGTCTTCAGGTGGAGGCGTTGCCCAGACTCAGCCTCCCCTTCCTCTTGCTTCCCCCTGAGGTCCGCCTCATGATCTACAACTATGTCTTCGACACGGACACTGTGGTTACCGGTCCTATCAACAAGAAGACCTTCACACGCATCTATACGATTGATCAGCCCCAGAGCCAGCATGACCTCGCTCTCCTCAGAACCTGCCGCATCCTCCACGCCGACGTCAAGAAGCTTGTCAACCCCAGATCCATCGTCAGAAACATCTCGGCAGCAGCAATTGTCAAGTATACCTATGGCGCCTGCCCCGAAGATGATCACAGAACCCGCGAACCAGAACTCCTGCGTAAGATCATCAAGCTTTCGGTGAGGATCGATATCCAGCGCAAGGGTAACCCCAAGCGCTACGGCACCATGGACCCGAATGCGGATTCGCCTTTGATCTTGACATTCCTCGATGAGGGCGGACGACAAGGGTGATGTCGATGGTACACCCAGCCGTGCTTGCAAGGATGCTGAGCGTGAATGGGCCACGGAGGTTGACTACTACGATTGGTTGAAACCAAGAGCGAAGAGGCATAGCACTTGCGGTTGATTATCGAGGGCGTATGGTGCTTCCTTGGACATTTTTGTAGATAGGGTGTTAATCATGTCTTTTGATAGCCTACCAGAAACTGTGTCTCCTTTTCGGAGCTTCGATACCAATTTCATTTCTTCCATTGTCTGCCCACTTGTGCTTTTCCTCCCTCGCTAATCACGACCCATTCTCTCCATGGTATACATTAATTCAGCTCCTGATTGGGCGCGATGAGGTTCTCCGAAGCCATCGGGTGTATAGCTCGGGCGAGAGGAAGTAGGGGGAAGAGGGACAAGTTCTATACAATATTAGCTACTTCTCACAAGCAGCAGCTCTTGATCATACCAATGTCGCCAGACACCGTGGTACCCCAATACCGCCAGAACGATGGGAAGGACCGACACGTACACCTCCGGCATACAGAAAGCGCAAACGAGGAACCTGCCACAGCGCAGATCAGCCAAAGAACGCACAAGTCGGAAGTAGACCGAGACACACGATCATGCTGATGAGCACATCGGTGGTGACGCGCTTGTGCACGGTTGCGAGAAAGATAATGCCGGCGAGGGCGACGAAAGAGGCGAAGGCGAACATGTACTTGAGGCTGCGGAGCAGAGCGCGGAGGTGGGAGAGTTGGCGAGGGGTTGCCATTGTTGCTCTTGTTCTTGGTGGTGTTATGTAGAAGTTCTGTTTATGAAGCGTTGGCTGGGACGTTTGGAAAGGGGTGACTTGCTGGAACGGGTCGAGCCCGAGGAGTGAACGAGCGTGTGAGGTTGTCTCGTAGAACGTGTGTTGCTCTCAAAACAACCATCAAAATGGAAAACAAACTCCACACCACCACCAACGTCCAACGAAAGCGCGGCATGTTCTGATGATCAAAGAAGAACCAGGAAGAGCAAGGAGAAATACACAAACTGCGGTCGAAAAGAGAAGAAATGCGAGACAGGTCATACCCTGCAGTGGGAAAGAGGAGGACATCACGCAAGCCCGCCATGCCTACCGCGAACCGTCGCATCGAACCGCCGTCCCGAACCTACCGTCGAACCAAGAGCATACAGGCTTTCGTCTCCTGGGGAGAGGGAAGATCACGAAGAAAGAGCTGGGCGAGAAATACAAACTGCAGGTCAAAAGAGATGAAATGCGAGACAGGGACACCCTGCAGTGGGAAAGAGAAGGAATCACCACGATACACGCCTTTCTTACCGCTGCCACCGCACATGCACCGCTTTGTGTTCGAGAGACCTACCGAGGTGCTCCAGCACTTGCAAGACCTGACTTTTCGCTCACGTTGCGCCATCACCACTCTTGTCAAAAGCCTCCAGAACCTCTCTAATTTCGACCTGCCTCGACGCGTAGCCACGACAAGCCACCCAGATAAGAGCTCAAAAGAAGATTACAGTTCCTTGTGAGCACAAGAAGGAGGGCAGAAGATGCTAGGACGGAGGGCTGAGCAGCACGCTGGGGGCCAGTGGTGTTCTTTTGAGTGCCATCTCTGTCAGCTCCTTCCAGTGCTTCAAACATCTTCTCAATCACTACTGATCCAGTGACATCTCGTAACCTGACATGCGATCTGATGAGTTCGCATTCTGGCCTTTTGTTTGACACAGTCATGCTCAAGCTGTCGCTCGTACTGCCATCGCTATTGTGCTCGTGAATGAACGAGCCAAAGGTGTTGGCAGCAAAGTTATCAGCAATGCCCACTTCTGCCAAACAGTGCGGACACCGTCAAGCAAGCTCTCGAGCACGACATTCAGTCCAGTGCCGTTCGAACGCCCTCAATGTCTACAATGGGAGTTGCGAAGATTTCAGATCTTTGGAGTCGATGTCGCTGCCAGACGTATGGAGAAATAAGTTCTGCCATGCTGCCCTTATCCACTTTCCGGGCATGTCGTTGACGTCAGACAACCCAGATGCGAGCTCTTGCCTTGATTGTCAGAAGTTTCGCAAGCCGCGACAGAGCTGGGGTCACGGCTTGCACCGCCACCATTGGTCGTTTTGTTGCTCTTGATGTAGCGAGCCCGAGATTACATCCACAGTCCAAAGCCCACGCCACCTTCAACAACCATTCTTGACTGGGTCAACAAAGCCCTGAAGCCAGAGATGCGCTCCAAAGCCGTCAAACGAGCTCAATTGCGGTGGTGAACATTACGAGAGTTCCTGATGTTCGGAAGTTCATGTCGCTGCTAGACGATTGAAAGACTGCTCAAAGTCTCATATCCCCGCAGGTCCTTGAAGTACTGGGCATCAACGAAAGCATGTCCGAAAGTTCGCATCGCCTCATGTTTCGGTATGCAACTCAATGGTCGCTCTCGGCGTTAAAACCTCAATGGCAGCCAACATCTGCCCTTCTCATCACAAGAAAAACAAAGCATGCCTGATCGAATTCCGAAAGCAGGTCATCGTCCAGGTCCTCGACAAAGAAAGAGGGAAAGAAGAGGAATGGAGCTTCGGTCGCAAGCAAGCTTCACACATTCCTCGGCTCAGCCACGACTTTTGGCCAACTCCTCAAACTGGCTCAACACGAGGCTTTGTCGCTTCTTGCTTGGTCACGAATCATTTGCTTTGGCTCCATCTGCCGTTTTCGTCTCCTGCTTCTCAGTTCACGGTCGCATGATTGATGGCCTCGCTGTCTTCGTCCATCCAGTACACATTCTCGGCCAGCCAGACCCAACCAAGTCACAGCTGCTTCGACCGCTTGTTTGACCGAGGACAAGCCGTCGTAGCCCCACAAACGTCAAACTCGCTGATTGTTTTACGTTCATCTCACGCCCTCTCCCATCAAGTTGGTTCTGTGGTGTAGTTGGTTATCACTTCTGTCTAACACACAGGCGGTCCCCGGTTCGAACCCGGGCGGAATCATTGCTTTTGCTGTTCTAGCATCTCTTTTGCAAGTCTAGGATGCGTGGTGGTACGAAGGTGTGGAGTCGCACATTTTTGGAAAAATTTATGGAAGCGCGGGCGCAAGGTTTGAGGCTTCGGCGAAGCTGTCGCTCGAAGCCGACAATTCGTCTCTATGAGTATGATTGTGGGAGCTTGGTGGCAGTCAAAACGCAGATCAGCTTTTGTTCAGAGTGGGGTGGTTGATTCTGCTTTGAAGACGAAAGCGTTCTCGCGAATTGTTCCCACTATGCAGTAGCCCTCGGCCGTGAGATTATAGTGCAAGCGTCTATGCTCTGAATGAGCAACAAGAACGCCATCGCTCCTCGCTGAGAAATCTAGCTGTCTGGTCAGCACTTGCATTCTTGTACGAATATCTGTGACAGAAGTCGAGTCGTTTTGCTTGTTGAACGGCGGGAGTTGAGCATCGTGTCAGCTCAGGCGCTTGAATCAACGCCGACGAAAATGCTTCACAAAAACCATCACGACTCCGCATGCACACGACACGTTCTAAGAACCATGCACGTTGGTTTATGGACGTTAGCATATCTTGTACGTCAAATTCAATTCGTTAAGGGCCTCAGCTAATCCGAAAAGTGGCATAGGACGTGATGCCAGGGTGATCGTCTCAGCGACAACCCTTACGCTCAGGACAAAAGAAAACCCGCAGTCGAGACATCAGCTCTCAACTCCTACAGTGTGATTTAGAGATGTTGAGACTGGCCGCTGCAGAAGTCCACCTAAGATGCTGGGACCTGCCATCTCGTTCGCAGTCCTCGCCGGGACCAGCAATCAGAGAGACATCTTGGCCATGAATGGACCTGTGACAGTTCAAGAGCCAGCACACAAGCACGTTGTATCTGTCACAAGCACATGCTATGGAGGGAGAGATTGATTACGTAGCTCTCAAGCATTCCCTTCCATAAGTTACCCATTCCCTCGCTGAGTCGATGGCAAGCCATGCTTGGTATCTCACCACTCGTGCCTCGGGAGGTCTTTCGTCGACACAACACATACACTGAGCCTACCACTAGCACACCCGACTCCTGATGGAACGAATCAAGTATGTCGAAAATCTCTCCATCGAGTCTCCCCACAACTCTCACCATTCATCTTCCGCGTCTCCCCTTCCTTGCCGCCAGACAGTACTGGAAACCCCGTGGATAACAAGAAAGATGCTTGATCTTCGCCCCTGAGCTATACTGCAAAGCTTCTGCAGCATGAATACGTTTCCTCAGGCTCCATGAGTCTGGAAGTTGCTACGAGGAGGTCAGGGGCTGACAAGGCGGCGTGAGCTGCAAAGAGACATGCCAACGGCGCTATGTGATCATTGACCTGATTGCTGACTTGTGGTGGGTGCTCTGCATGAAAGGCGGGAGGCAGAAAGGTAAGCATCTCTCATTTGCTGCCAGTCGGAACTGGTTGGTGGTCGTACCTCCGGTATATATGGGCGGTCGATGTCTGAGTTCTCGATATCTCCCTCACCACTCTCGGGCTCGTCCTCCTCCTGTGCCTCAACAGTAGCTTCGGAGGTAGCTTCGGCAGCAGCAGCGGTAGCGGCGGCTTGTGCAGCCTTCTCCTCCTCTGTTTTTCTTGACCAGAATTCGAGGATCCGTTGTGTTCAGCGAATTCGGTAGTCGACGTACTCGAGACCAAGTGTGAATAGTTTTTCTACAGCAGTAAACCCAGCTGACTCTTGAATACTCGTTCTTCATGCTTGAGATGACTCCGAGCAATTGCAGAACTTCTCTAATGCCATCTCAGAGCTTTGCTCCGTCCATGCTGATCGCTTATGCCGTCGATGACTGCAATGCCCGGTTCCTCGTACTTGTCGTTTCCAGAGCTGATGGATCTGTCTTTCCAATCGTCGAATTCATGTGATGAGAATCTCCGAGGTTCAGGCTTGAGAATCAGGGCTCGTCAATCAAGACAAGGCTAAGAGTACACGTACGCATCCTATCGAGATAGGCTGATGTCGAGGCCGTTCAGCAGCTCGTGACCGCAACGATTTCGTCCTCCATACAGA